GTTGATTTTCTAGTGACACTATTCAACAGAGATATCACCATTTCACATTGATTCTCATATACAATATTTGCGCAGATTTGTGTAAATCCTTGGCTGTAGTCACACTGCACAATAAAATGACAGAAATTGCACAAAAACAATGCTGATATGCATTGCAAGCACAAATGAATGATAGATAGAACAAAAATAACACCTGCTCCATCCTCGCCTGCTGCTCCTGCTCGCTGCCCACCTGCTCCTTGCTGGCAGCCCCACCCGTATGAGCAATTGGGTAGCTCTGGGCCATCTAGGAATGGTGATGGTGAATCCCCCCTCCCACCATGAGTACACCGAGAAATGTGAGGCTCTGGAAGATATGGGTAGGGATGTGCATGGGTAAACCCCGGGGTATCACAGGTGCCACCCGTACCCTTACCCGGAGATGTACCCATACCCGCGCTGAGGGTATGGGTGTAGTGATGGGTACGAGGATATAACACCCAGGGTACCACCCATGGTGGGTATACCCTGGGGTATGGCATACTATAATGAAATACTACAAAAAATACTATGTATAATGTAGCTACTCAATGTGGTCCCAACCATCGTCGAGTGCTTGCTCATTAGCATCCTCGACATCAGGTAGGGAACTAATCTTGATGATGTCTTCCGTCTTGACGAGGTTGAGGCAGCTCCAATAACCGAGGCATAGGAGTGCTCGAGTAGACTGAGCCATCAGACGCGAACGCACGTGAGACAGAAGGAGGCGTCCCTTGCTGAACAAATGTTCAACATCGACTGATGTAGCTATTAAAAATAAGTCAGAATGAACCCATAAAGGAGGGCAAGCATGGACTCACCAGGTATTGTTAAGTAGTCTAAGGCCATATGAGAAAGGTGGGGATATACTGCACGGCGTTCGTGCCACCAGGCAATAGGATCAGGGACATCCTCAATATCAGCATTGAGGTAGCGCTTCAGTTCATCCCCCAGGTCAGTTGACTGGGGTGGCGCCAGTGCTGGCATATTGTCAAATAAATTCTAAAAGGTCAAGTTGTAGTTAATGAGCCGTGCAAACATAAAGAAAAACACATACCTCATGAGCCGTAGTATTTGACACCTCGGTATCATCATCGTTCTCTTGAATCCCCACCTCAAGGTATGATCGTTCAAACTTGTCGCGCACAAGTGTGGCCACAGTCTCAATCCAGGTGTCCTCCCACCGTGCGTTCTTGAAATAGGCCAATTTATGGCGTGGATGCAGTACTGTAGTTATAAATAAACAAAGGTCAGTATCATGATATTATTTAAATCAAAAAAAGACTCACCCATAGCAATCTGGTATACCTCAGACTTGTCCGTCAACTGGTAGTACTGGTTGAGTGTTCGTTTTGCAAGGCGAACAGCCGCACGGATAGAAGGGGAATATTTCCGGTTGTGTGAGTAGGTGGTGAGTCGTTCATCAATCAAATCCATTGCGGGAATAACCTTTGCAAGGTTAGGTGTCCCCCGCGAGAAAAACAAAGTGGCATCCTTGAGAATCTTGATTCAATGACATGTTAGTAAGCAATTTCCAGTAAGGCAAGTGACCCACGCCTACCTTCAGTACATCCTGCAACTGTCTGACAATCTCCCAATCACTGTCAACAAGCTCAAACTTGCGCAATCCTAGGTCACGCCGCTGAGTGACTGTGTCAATTGCTTCCCGATGGACAACAGCATAGTCCAGCATATTGAAGGTCGAGTTCCAGCGGGTGCAAACGTCCTGTGGCATATTCATTGGAGTCATTTGCAGGTCAAGGAGGATTTTGTGCCAGGCAGGAAGCAAGATGGTTGTGGAATTGATCAGTTTGTAGGAAAGCTTGTGCAGCTAGAGGGAGCCATCAATATTGAGGTACACTCAAAGTTTTGTTTTCGTCTTACCTTCAAAAGCACTAACTTTACTGGTCGTATATCTCTTTGCAGCTCAATTCATTCATCCTGGTCCAACAGTGCTACTTCATCCACCCAACCATCCTCGTTATCTGGCAACTCCTCATCTCCAACATCAACATTGCCTCTGGCGTCCTCACTCTCAACTTCATTGCTCAGATTAGCAAGCTCGGTATCACTTGTATCACTCGCCACATCATCGTATGTTTCTCTTGCAGGCTCGGCCTTCTTCGTTACATCGAACTCACAAAGCAGGGACTTGGCGATCAGATTCACGGTGTGCAAGAAGCACCGTGTGTGACTTGCTGCCCCCCCAAAGTCAGGAAGCAAGTCCTCGAGCCCGTCAACCATGATGTTGTTGTTCGAGGCATTGTCACATGTTACACTCAGTATCTGTGGAACAAGTTAGCAAGTAAGTTTTTCTACTAGACGCCTTGTACCTTGTCTGATATTCCAAACTCTTGTAGCATCTTTGCAAATACTGCAGCAAGTTCCGCGCCGGTATGGGACTGGTCAAGTCATCATGTCATTGTGTGTGGGCACCTCGTAAGTCTTTCAACATACCTTCCCCACTTCAACTATGTCTAACGGCAGACTCAGTGGGACTCCTTTGTGCTCGAGATGGACCGATACCACCACAAAGGCTCTATGGTTGGTGGAAGTCCAAGCGTCCATAGTAAAATTGAGCTTTCCCTCATGTTCCTGGTAAGTCAAGTCAGTTTCACGCATATTGAGCATTAAGTCACTAACTCTCAACATTTTAGCAATACATTGTCGAGTGCGCGCGAAAACAAGCCGTACATCACGCGATATGGTGGTTGGGGAAGGTAAGTAGTAATCTGGTCAGCCTGTTTTCATTAATGATTGAAACGCTCGGTCTTTGACTATCTCGAACGGTCGAAGGCTTTCAGACACCCAATGCACAAGCTCAGCTCTGCGTCATGTTAAATTTGTCTGGCTGAATAGTGTCAAAGACTTACTTGGTCTCAGCACGGGTGTGTTGACGGTTGGAGTATGTCACCTTCCCCTTCCCCTTGCGTGCAAAGGACGCCATTATTGATCCATCTCACAGGATTCCTAGAATGATTTTTGTGCGGACCTCGCTGGCATCCTTTGCGTCATCAGCAGCTTGCAGTACCGCATCACCCCAACACGATTTGACGTGCTTCCTCATATTTCCAGTGGACCAGGCATCTTTTTTGTCCAAATACCATCAGATGGTGGTCTTTGCATCCTCGCGCACTACACTTGAACTCATGGGCCCACCAACCATCATTCTCGATGATGTGTGGTGTTGGGTCAAAGAACACGTACACAGGTTAAGTCCATTCGTCCATTAACCGTTCTATATTTTTATTTATTAACGAGAACATTTGCTTGAACAAGGGTTCTCATACTTAGCTCATCAGCAGCACTCTCAACATCTGGGCTGGATGATCGGTGCTCAGCATCATTGTCGTCGTCGACCCCATCATATCAAGCAGCCTCTTCTTCCTCAGTCCGAACAATGGCCCTCTGTACTACTGGCGCTGGTGCCGGCTGTGGTGGAGGTGTTATTTCTTCCAAGGATGATCTGTTGCCAGAACCATCTCACTGGGTCGCCTTGGCCTTTTTGGATTTAATGGCCGCTGTGCTGTCTCCGCTTGTGTGGTGCTTCCGTTTCTTCGTTGAGGCACCATCAAGCTTCTCCTCGATAGCGGCTTTCACCTTGTCAGTCAATTTGGTGGCTCGTTTAGCAGTTTTCGAAAGCAAGTTGAGCTGCATGGTGTGTAGGCTGTAGGGAGCACTGACTATCATTCATAAATCTACGTAGCAAGTATCATTAGAGTTTGACAGCTGTACAGTAGTGGAGTTTTTATTTTCTTAAATTCTACATTCGTTTTCATGTGTCAACCCGAGGCAAGGGTACGGGTAAGGGTATGGGTAGGCTTGGACCAGACCCCCACCCATACCCCGGGTGTACCCACACCCGAGACCCGCGCGGGTTTCCAAAACCCACGCATATTGTTGGAAGAGAAGAGAGAGACCGCATGCTCGTACGCTCGGTGTTACAGCGGCCCCATCATTTTCTCATCATCATGCTTCTCCGATCTATTCCTGTTATCTCTGACTGCTTATCAACATGCACTGCATGAACATTCTAGATACTTCCGTCTATTCTTGTTATCTCTGACTGCTTATCAACATGCACTGCATGAACATTCCAGATAGTTCCATGATGTTCTTCTTGACTCCTTTCACTTCCATAGTCGGCCTGGTCCGTGCCTCCTTTGTCCATTATAAATACCGCAGTAGTTACGCTTGTATTCTCTAACTTGAATCTACTTGGTTCTCGCTGATACTTGATCATCTTCTAAGGAAGATACTTGATTCCGATCTAGCTCTTATAGAGACTAGTCTATACTCGAACTTCACTTAGAGGGAGAGCCCCTCAAGTGTCTGAACTGAACGTCGTAACACGAAGAACTCCTTTATTGGATTAGTTACGCAAGAACTATCCAAGTCGTAACACTCGGAGGATTAACCTCCGAGCTTCCTTTCCTTTTTGGTCTTCTTATCGCATCTTGCACCTACCACACCGCATGTTCCACCACTGGTATAGTTACCAGTGGTAGCTTCGTTCTTCTTGCTAAATCTTGTCATGCAGTAGATAAAAATGTCGCACTCAGACTTTATACCTCAGCGTTGTTTCCCCACTCGCTGAGGTATGTATTTACTCTGCTACTCGTACCTAACATAGCTAACATGTACGCTAGACTCCCGCTCTAGGTAAATAGAATGTTAGCGTTGTTTCCCCACTCGCTGAGACTCCCACTCTAGCCAATACATATCCCTAGATATGGGGTGTCATTCTGGTTCAAGAAGAGATTTGGATATGGTATAGTCCTGGGATGAAGCTATTATAAAGCAACTTGGGATGCGTACACTTACTAAGTCAAATATGCTACAAGCGATGTGCTTGATTGATTGATCAATATATCTGCAAATATACAAGAAGACATTGGCAAATTAGTGTGTTTGTTTTGTGTTTGCTCAACATATGTTAAATTCACGATTTGCGTAGCTTTGACAATATTTGATTTGTAAATATACCCGTCGTTTTGCGTCGATATATGGTGAGGTCCGGTTTTCACTGGGAGTCAAGGTTGACTCCAATGTATGGCGCTTAAGTCACGTGCAAGTAGTTGAACACGAGTGACTTGTCAAGCTCAAGGCTGGAGGGCAGACGCATGCCCGCAGTAGCCTGCAGCTGGCACTACAAATAACGCTGGCGACATTGAACCTGGGTTTGTACTGAAAATGGATTCTAGGAGAACGGTCTCCGATTTTTATCGTGGAGGTTCACCATCGACGCCTTATTACACAGCTCATCCATCCCCAGAACCTCAATCTGACGAAGAGCAGCAGCCAGTGGCAGGCCCATCCAAGCTCACGTTGGACCTACCCGTGTTCTCTCTTAACTCGAATACTGCTCTCCAGCCCTCCGATGATGAAGACGATGAGCACTCGAATCTACATTTGAACATCAATTTCAATCTCTCATTAGACTTCAGTCAAGCTACGCTGGGACACTCTCGCCCGCCTTCACCAGCACCAACCGCAGACTTTAGCATGATATCACCACCAAGCAGTCCTTCTTATGTTCAATACCACTCTCAGTTCCTTTCACCACCACAAGGACGAAACACCCTTCCTTTCTTTCGTACTTCTCCGACCCGCACTTCCACCCATCTACGAAGTCACAGTATAGCCTTGGGAAGCGGTACCAAACGCCGCGTTCGTCCTAATATCACAAAACTTTGGGAAAGCATATCTTCCCCATCTCCTCGGGGGAGCAAATCCTCACCTACGCTCAAACATCCATCTCCCATCCATAGGCACTTTTCTAGATCCTCGCCTAATATCTTGCGCGCGAGGCGCAAGATCAAACGTCCTTCGGTAACTGACGTATTTGGTTGTGGGTCCGGAGTGCAGGGTAATGTCAATGGGGGTGTAGACATAGACTACGGTGCACTAGACCCACTCGACGGCGAGGAAGGCGAACTCGTCGATCACGACGGTTATTTCGATGCAATCCAATGCGATCTGACAGGTACGTATTTCTCGTGTCCTGTTTATACAGAACTAACATTTATCATGTAGCTTCCCCATCTTCCTACACACACTCCGCTTCACCCTCACCCCTCACCACACCAACCTCGTCTCACCTCTGCCTCTTCCGACCTCACACCCCTTCCCAAGCCTACACCCTCTGTCCCACATCATATGCCTCAGCCTCCACATCCACTTTCACATCTACGCAATACCTCCCCCCCGCCCAAACATCCCTCCCCCTCCCCCCAGAACTCACCTTACATATCCTCTCCCTCCTTCCCGTGCGTTCAGTCCTAGCATGCATGCTCGTCTCCAGCTCCTTCTACACGCTAGCCAAAGATACAAGCGTCTGGTTAGGAGTATGGAAAGGCAGAGAAGGCCGTCCAAGAGTCCGAACCCGCACACCCCGTCAAAACCCATATAACTATCCTTATTCCCATAGCTTTTCATACGGACTGGGGCCTTTGGTAAACTACATGTCTTCCTATTCCTTCCCCCGAAATTCCGTCCCCAGTTTATCCTCTTCTTCCTCTGAAGACGACTCGGATTCGGATGTATCGTCGCTGCGTTACGCCCACGCAGACGAAGGTGTACATGGATTCCCGCTTCTTGAGGACTCCGAAGATGTGGAGGGAGATGGTCCTAGTGGGTGGGCTGTCGATTGGGATCGGATCGAAGCGTTAAGACACAGCGGACGCTCGAGGGGCGTGTTTATGGATGAAGAGGAATATGCGAACCGTACATCGATCCGCATCCCTTGTCAAGATCTGAGTTTAAGAAGAGGCACGAATCTAGGCCCTCTCCGCCTCAACTGGCACACCCTCTACCGCTCTCGTGCCACACTCGAAAAGCGGTGGCGAGATCCACGCGGCGAGCCTCGGGTGATGCGAATCGAGGGGCACGGCGATAGGTGAGTTTTAGTTCCATCTCCTCTCCTCTTTGTGTTTGAATTCAAGTTTGACTTTGATTGACGCACGCCCCACAGCGTCTACTGCCTTGACTTTGACTCGCGACGGATCATTACAGGATCTAGAGACAGAACCATCAAAGTGTGGTGTATCCGCACAGGCGAGTGTCTTGCGACGTTTGAGGCGCATTTGGGGAGTGTGTTGTGTTTGAAATTTGAAAAGGATTTTGATGCGAGGCGATCTTTTTCTCGCGGGGCTGGTCTTAATGGTGATGAAGAGCAGGGTGGTGCAAACGAGGGGGAAGAGGAAGAGGAAGAATCGCACGGTATAATGGTATCTGGGTCTTCCGACTGCACAGTACGCGTCTGGGACCTACACGCAAAACATCGCGGTTCGAGCATACGGGCAGACGTACGTGCGATTTTGCGGGGTCATTCTGGGGGCGTGTTAGATTTGAGGATGGATGAGAATTGGATTGTTAGCTGGTAAGTTCCCTCTTCTACCCATGTCTGATCCCCCAAAATCACATCTGATATTTTTATCGTCACGCTACCCATCACTAACCTCCTACCGTACTTAGTTCCAAAGACGCACTCATCAACGTCTACTCCCGATCCACGCTTACTTTACACGCCGTCCTACAAGGCCACGAAGGACCCGTTAACGCTATCGGTCTCGAAGGGGGGAGAGTGGTAAGCGCGAGTGGGGATGGTAGGATGATGTTGTGGGATGCTGCTAGTGGGAGGTGTTTGAGGGTGTTTGAGGGGCATGAGAGAGGGTTAGCTTGTATTGAGTTCAAGGTATGTTTCTTCCTTCTTTCCTTCCTCCTTCCTCCGTACTTTGACCTACCCAAAGTGTCGTCGTTGGTAATCGGTAGTTTACTAACCCAACCCCACCAGGACGATTTAATCCTAAGCGGCTCAAATGACTGCACCATCAAGCTCTGGCGCGCGTCAACAGGGGAATGTCTGCATACATTTGCGGGTCATACATTGTTGGTCCGTGCGTTGTGTTTTGATCCGAGGACTGGGTATGTGGTTAGTGCGAGTTATGACAGGAGTGTCAGAGTTTGGGAATGGAGGGAGCCTGCTGTTCCTGCTGTCGATGTTGTCCCTTTCTCTTCGCTCTCTTCTTCTTCGACCTCTTCTTCTTCCTCGTCGACTTCTTCCTCCACCTCGTCATTCCACTCGATGCATACCAGTACCTCGACGCACACCAGCAACTCGACACATGACCGTACCTCGATATACGCACATGACACAGACGGTGCAAGCGTAGTAGGCGTCGCAGATGGTGTGGTCGGGTATAGAAATTCGGGTATGAGCGAGAAGAGGGGTGTGGGGAGGTTGGTGAGGGAGTTTAGGGATTTGCACGCGAGTCATATCTTTGATGTCAAGTTTGACGTGGGGAGGATTGTTAGGTGGGTTCTTTTTTGGTGGTTTTTCGTGGGTTGGAGTTGGAGTCAGGTTTTGCAGTGTTACGTTTTGGTTGTGGCTTTTGGCCTTGATTTGCATAGTCTTTGGTTCTCGTTTCTTGTCCCCGACCTGTGGTTTGCTTGACCTATGGTTCTCGTCTGCTTGCCCCTTCTGCTCTTTTGGTTTTGTGTTGTCGACGCCCTTTGGTTCTTGGTCTTTCGGTTTGCTTGATCATTGATTCTCGTTTATTTTGCCTTGCCCCCGCTTTCTTCCCGTGGTTCTCATACTCTCAACCTCGTTTCCCCTCCTATTGGTGAAATGAAACCTACTGACACCATTTTCCTACAGTACATCCCATGACCAGAAGATCGTCGTTTTGGATTTCACAGACGGCATCGAAGGCGCTGAGATCTTTGTGTGATATAGGGCATCGGATTCCTTTCTCTTCATATTTCTCTCCATCCCGGGCCTGACCCAAACCCTCGGCGATACCCCAAGGATACGAGGACCCGACATCGAATTTATCTATTTATCACGCATCTTATATCCGTTTCGAGCATCTTGCATTGCAATTGGACTTGCCTCGTTCGTGTATCTAGCTATACCTCTAGTGTATGTATATTATATTTGGTGAACGTCATTGGTTTCGTCTTGCAATTGGCTGTTGGGGAACGTTGGCTGGCGGTGCCGCGCCGTGTTTGGCTGACTGGCTTACACTACCACGGACCAGTCGAGTGTGGCTACGTCAGAACTCTTCTCTCTTAATGACGTACTCAGACTGGTTACAAGTCTAGCTGGCGGTAGTCTCCCGTAGGCAGACCCTAATAGAAGATTGGAAAGAAGACTGTCGTTCATTAGGCTGATAGTATGACCATGTATCGGTAGCACCGACAGTTTGGCTGGCGGCACCGTTGGCCCTCCAGAGTTCAGAGCTTATCAAGAACTTCGGAACGACTGGTCTGGCTCTGAGGGGAGACTAGGTCCGATCGTTCTTCGAGTCTCCACACACGTACGTGGCTCATGGCAAGGGGTCCGCCGAGCCGGAAGCATCGAAAGATAAGCAACATTGTTCCAGACTCCACAGCAGAGGTCCGAGTCCGTGGTAGTATACTAAGCCAAGCCGGTATCGAGCCACATATCATCATGACAACTTGGTCGATCCCGAATTGCTGCCTGCGTCACCAGCACAAACTCAGAGCATCGATCTGTACCGATTTCATATCAGGTCGTCCGGATGTCGTGGAAGCCAGCCATTAATTTGATTCCGATCGACGTGACGTGCACCCGCATGCCATCATAGGTTCTAATATTCCGTAGCCTGGTACGTGATTGTCCGGGGTCCTGCCAGCATCCATACGCGCTGTATATGAAAACACACACGCACGAATTTCAGAAGACTCGGTGGAACACCAAACCCTCGAAGAGTCGAAATTATGGACCGCGATGGATACCAAATGCCCGCGACCACGGTCGACCACGGTGCTCGCACGCGACATCGACTGGCTTCTTAACTTCTTGAATCTTGGCAATATTTGCCACGAGGGTACTTGGTCATGGCGACTGTATTCGAAGTTCGAAGTTCGAAACTCGAAAACAGCTTTCTCAGTGAAAAATGGGCCAATCAAGATGTTCCATTCCAGCCCTTCATCCACGTGTGATCATCATGATCGGCAGGAACGACAAAGTGCCAGCACTGGTATTGACTTGGCACTGACAACGCAGGGGACGGTTCCACACAACGAAATATCGGAGCCGTAGTTGTGGAGATTGGCCTGATTGGCCTGGTGATGAAAGCGGGCGGATGTTTGGTACTTTTTGTGCCGGCGGCCCACTCAATCCCGGGTTTGAAAGGTCACTCATGTTTGATGGTAATAAAAACAGATTTCGGAGTGGCGGGCGGCGATGCCACCGGTCCTATATGCATGTAGCGTTTAGAAGATGCTGCTATTTTTTGGTACAGATGTGAGAGAAAGGTGGATGGTTTGGTACAGGATAATGATTCGATCGATACATACAACGAGTGACAAATCTGTCAGTTGAGTAGAGAAGCGAAGGGAACAAGGCATTTAAAAAAAAACGCTCTCCGGTCCCGAGTAATCAAGTGAGATGTGGGCTCATGCCCGTGACTAAAGGCATGATCATCAGCCGCGGTGGTATATCAAGCTAGATCATCATGCATTTTCAGTTAGGCTTAATGCTTCGACCTTCTTCATCTGAACGCTGATACGCTTGGCATGACCCAATCGCTGATTTTCAGGAGGCCGATATGGAAACTCGCTTGTCTGGGTCGATGTAAATCTATCCACGACAGCCCCGGGATCAGAGGTCGAAAGTCGGATGACCTCCTGCACAGGAACTGACAACTGCTCTTTCGGCTTGTTGATCTCCAGAAGCTGGGGATCAGATGAGTTGTGGATTTTCCAGTCCCCATCAGGATATGTCCCTTGATCGTATACATGGCTAGAAGCCTCGAGCGTTCCACCAGGATAGTTGCGCGCATAGATAGTAGGATCGCAAACACTGTGCGCGATTGTGGCGTGATCGTATAACATCGATGGACTCGTGGGCAATGGCACAACTGACATGTGTGGGCCGAAATACTTTGTTCCGTTGATCTCGTATAAGCCGCATGGCAAAGCGGATGTTTCACTAGATACCGGGGGCCCATCATTTTGGATGGCTGGCACCCTAATGCCGGTCGAAGGGAGTGGCAAGGGCAAGGGCGCAGGTGCTACAGGAATAGAACCGGGATGTTGAAATGCGCAACAAGCACCATCTGAACAATTCGGCCAGCGCGGGCATGGCGTATGAGCAACGTCTGTGAAATTGAAATTCGAGGTCATTCGGGGTCAACAGAATGGTAGAATGTGCACTAAACACGGACATAATGAATCGTCTTCGGGGTGCAAAAGCTGACATCCCGGGTTCATGCACATCCCTTGAATGTATGCCCAACAATACTCCCGTGTCGCCCCCATAGCAGTGTTATCAATACTCCACGGTTCCTTAGCACAAGCGGCACATCTAGGAGAGACATCCCGCCGATTTTGTATCTGGTCAGAACCCCGCGAAGATAGCAATGCTGCATCATGAATACTGTGAAAGGGTCAAAATCAAAACCCCGCCCATATCAGAAAGAAATGATGATATACAAGTTACAAGCATCGCCAAGGGGACACCTGCCCTGTGTTCTGACAAAGTGTTTGCAGACATTCGTCCTCCGACCCTTCGGCCGGACGATCACATTCTCTCGTGTGCCTGGGATGGGCGCAGGGGACAACGGTGACGGGGAAAATGGCGTTTCATACACAGGCGCAGCGTCTGTGGTGTTTGGTCGCAATGCTGACCATTTGAGCACGGGTTGTCTTGCAAAAGGTCTCAAGGTGTTGGATGGTGGAAACAGTACAGGGGGCGGGTGAATGAAGGTGCAATTAGTACCATATGCACATCGCCCCGCCACGAAGTTGCGACAAATTTTAGCTGGGTCGAAGAGTAAGTATCCGGGACATGTTATTAAGCGTAAACTTACTTCGATACTTTGAACGCGACGCCATGGAGAAGTGTCAACGAAGAAGATTATGATCAGATACGGCACCCTGGCAAACTGAGAGGCAGAGAGACTGAAGATTGAACTGCAGGTACGCAAGTTCAACTGGCAGTGGGGAGCTTATAAAGGTCAGCGACAGACTGCACGACAAAGGCTTTAAGATACACATGAGTGACATGCGATTATCAAGGACACCAAGGGCGACTTCGGCTTTTGTGCCTCATCGAACAAACGTATTGTGGTGGATGTTGGCAAGACCATCATTGAGCTGAAGCTGACCATAACAACTTGAAATGCCGCTTGACCAGCAAGTGTTAAAGCGATTGTGAGTTCAATGTGGCGGAAAGTACCCTGACAAGGTCCAGTTTTTGACATTGGACATGGTGAAGTTGACACGAGTACAATGTCTCGTTCATTCCAGTGGCGTCTTAGGTGCAGCACTTTGTTGACCGAAGCAGACGAGTGAGAGTTAACGCGTTAACGTTGAAACGACATGTGTACGTAATAAGGTCAAGGTTGTACCGTGATGCTTACTTAGCCCACAACAAAAGCTCACAAAGGATGTAAACTTGATGTAAACCACTAGAAAAATGCGTTTTGATGTCCCCTCGATATAAATTGTCAACCTCATGCCTTCCGTTGGGAGATGGGTCAGCCAATTAAATCATACACTAGAAACAACTCGAAGCCCGCATTTGAATTGCGTCGCGACGCCATCATGCCGTGGACACTCATCTTGTTTCAAACATAACAGCATGCTTTAGGTACTGGCAAACAAGAAGTCTCGCCACGTATGCATCACGGCATGCTGTTCTTCCGACAGAGATAGCATATACGAATGCTTATGGATTCATTACGATTCTCTTGTGACTCACCTGAACATTTCTGGCGCGGTCTGGCGTCCCGTCGGCCAAATCACATGGCCACATGGTATCGTCAGGTTATGACACTTCTTCCATGCGCAGTTGAGCTGACGAATGAAACAATCGAGATCTTGTGGTGATCTAGAACGACGAATCAATAATAAGTATAGCGGTGTAATACAGAGCTCCAAATACAATTAGTAGCAGCACAGTTTGCCAGAAAGCGATGGTGAGAATGGGATGGTATAGAATGTCCGACAGAATAATAATATGCTGACCATCCTCCCCAACTAGGAAGAGATGGTTATAATATGCACGAAACCAGGAATCTGGATGACAAAATTTCCTGAAAAATGGAAAGTCGCACCGTCGGCGGTTTTTTGAACGCCGATGGGCGACCTGCCATCTCAAAGTCATAGAGGCAGTGCTATGGCCTGAGATATCAAAGGTGCACTGTGACCAGACGGATTTACTATGTGATGCAAACGCTTGCGTGGCGGTAGATTTGAATCCTGAAAGTCTGTCGTCTTCTCAGGACCAGGTTCCTAACCAAAAGGTCTTCGCCACATACTATGTACGTCAACCTGACCACCCTCCTCCCAACTCCGCGAGTGCTTGCGCTCTGGCCTGTAGGATGGATCTCTTGATGATCGCATCTGCCCGGTAAATTCAGTGTCAAAAGGGAGTTCCAGAAAAACATCCTTACCTCGGATTGTGGGATTGCTTCAAGCGCCCCAGTAAATGACCCTGTCATATCAGGCTGACGCCAATCAACTCTGGGACTGTTTTGTGATGGCACCATGTCAGCTGAGGGTCTCCGGTCGACAAGATGATGAGACGAATATGCATGCTGCAGCGGAATGAGCGGTGTATCTCGGGCAATGTGAATTCCAAACGCACTTCTTGCTGACTAGACGAATCATCGTGGGGTAATGATGACTGTCGCGAGTAATCTTGAAGAGGAAATAAGATTATAGTGGACAAAAAATAAATGCTCCAAATAAGATCCTACCTGTTGAACTCTGAGTTCTGGATAGAAGCGCCGTCACTGGCAGGAGTTTCAATAAACGGGATAGTGATGCTAGCGCTGTACAGTACACCCACTGAGTTCGTCACGATGCTGTTCTGCGGCGTTGACATCCCGCCTAGCACGGGCTTCCGCGTCCAGACAAACATTATACCGTTGAAACGCATCTTGTGTTTGTGACTGCGCGCGTGCTAGCGTTGCCCGTGCTTCTTGAAGGTATTGGCCTTATTAAGAACTTTAACGTGGAAACATGAGGAGAGCTGATGAATGCAACGAACCAGATGACTGCGCGTCTTGTAATAGCTGCTCATACGTTGCTGTTGAAGGGGACGAGGATGTTCGAATGACATGTGGACGAGATGTGCCTGGTGACTGCACGTAGTTTGGACTTGAAACATTTGAACCACTTTCTGCAGGCAGGGAGTCAATATGACTGCGTGATAGTACTTGGGAGCGATCAACGCGGCTGACCTGGCTGCAATCGAGCGATATGATCCACTAAACTGGAGGGCGGATAACTCCCTTCAGATAGCTCAGGCGTTGAGACCTCCATGGAGTCGTCGATGTGCGGAAGCTGAGGAGCGTTTGGACCAAGGTGTCGCAAGCGGGGGTTGTGGGGGATGCCTGCGTTGTGTCGCTCAATAAACTTCCTCAGAAAGGCGAGCTCAATGTCGTCAGGCATCACGTATGGGGGGCCTTGAATGTCGCCTTTCTGCATCAGGACCTCTAAATGTGACATTGTCTTATCCTTGAGCTGTTGCAACCACTCATGCAATTCCATGTGGTCTTGGTCTGCGCGAGCGTCACTGCCGTCAAGAGCGTCATGTCAACAATAAAGCATGTCTGTAAATTATCATTGACAAACTAGTCTTGACGTCTTCTCGCTTTTCTCCAGTAGGTTTTTGTTAATTTCAGGGCGCGGTTGACTTCATTATCGAGGGTTCGATACCAATCGCTTGAACGTCGGTTTAGCTTCACCGCCAGCACGCCGGGCTGAACTCGTAGCTGGAGCACACAACGACCCTCGGCATCAGGAGGGCCCAAGGCACCCTTTTGACCTTGATTGCCCCTGGTGGCACCACGGGATACGTTGCCAAGTTCTGGCCATGGGAGGTCGTCGGATTGCATGTTCACTAAATGATTGATACTCGGTCTAAGGAGTGGCGAAGTTGAGGAGTGTTGCAAGAGTGGAGATAAAAACTCGTCCAAGATAATCATGCGGCAGGCTTATAATTGAAGGTGTCTTTTCTATGCAACGTAGCGATGCGGCTTTCACCATACGCACTGCCTCGGTTAATCCAATCAGTATTCGCTGGGTGACATGTCAACATACTCATGTCAGCAGGGGTGACATCTGGCACATCAAAGTAGATCTAAGTTCAAACGTTCAAGCCAGGTCACCCTCGTTGGCGGATTTTCGGACTGCTCTCACGTTTATATATCATCGCGACGCTGGCCGGTGTCCTGATATAGGTATGGTTGTGATGAGAGAAGAAACGGCAGCTATGATTACAAGAATAACGATGAAGGACAACGACAGAAAGAGTGCCATTGGGTACCCATCCATACTGGGGTTGACCCCTGCAATCACCCTAAATCCCAATTGCGGTGCCACGACAGCCGCGAGATAACTCCTGGTCCAATCGAGCATTCAGGTCTCGATTGACTTTCAAATTTGTCATGTGGAGAAATCCACTCCCTGCGCCAGTGGTGCAGCGTCGGAAAAATTCACCGTGCATGCACTCCAGCGAACGTACTGCTTCCAGGCGTCTCCGCCGGATTCGCGGCCCCTGAAATATAGAAGTCAGAAGAGAAGCAGATCTGGCTGGAGATGTCCTTACCATCCGGTGCTCTATAGGTGAGAATGGGCGCAATTAGGCTGCGAAGGTCGATCATTCAGAACAGAAGCTATGACAGACCTTATTGCCTCCAAATGCGGCACCTATTTCGGCGCCGCTAGTCCCAACGTTGACCTGAAATGTTTCGTTACAATAGGACTGTGCGTCCCAAAACCAAATGGACATACATTGACAATGCCGGCGTCTGAACCTTCGGGCCCAATCCACTTGCCAACATTCCGAAGGTCTCTGGTCCAGAGGCTGCTAGACAGTCCTTGGGGAACAGCATTGTTCCATTCAATGGCCTGCTCCAGCTCATCAAACAAGCAGACGTTCAGGATAGGTGCGAACGTTTCAGTACTCCATATCTTATCGGCAGGATCCGTGGTCTTTGGAACTGAAATCGTAGGTTGAACAAAATTACCCTGGCTCAATGCCGCATGATCGTATTTCTTTCCACCAGTAAGAATGTCAGCACCGGATTGGCGAAGTCGCTGCACAGCGTCGCTGTAAATTCCAACAGCTGCACGTGTATGCAAAGGTCCGAGCAAAGTGCCTTCTACTAGAGGGTCTCCAACGCATATGGTACCGTATAATTTCTGAAGTGCGTCGAGGAATTTCGGCGCAATGGAACGATGGAGATACAGTCGCCTGGTCGATGTGCACCGTTGACCAGCAGTGCCAATAGCACCAAAAAAGACAGCTGGAACAGCTAATGACATATCTGCGTCTGGCATGATGATTGCGGCTGATGGGACGTTATTAGAAAACATCCTCGTGGTCCTTCGGAGCAAAGAAATTACCATTGTTCCCGCCCAACTCCAGGATGCTTTTGCCGAATCTAGATTGAACAGCCTTGCCAACGACCCTGCCTACGGCCTCACTGCCTGTAAATGAAACTAAAAATTTTGCATTCAATAAACACCCCGCGCCGCTTGAATACAAAAACTTACCAAGGGGTATATCCCGGCTTTCGACGATAGCTTCTCCGACATCCTTTCCACCCGTGATGAGAGTAGACACGGCGCCAGGGAGGCCGTTCTTCTCTAACACACGCGCAATGATCTTTGTGATGGCAATGGAACAAAGCGGGGTGCTCGGCGAAGGTTTCCAAACGTTCGCATTCCCAGCGGCGACTGAAAGCGAAAAATTCCTAGATTCAATTACTCAGTTAGGTCTCCCGCCAACCATAGGAAGTCGTACCACCCATATACTGCCACCGGAAAATTGAACGCGGTAAGCACGCCGACGACGCCGATGGGGTTGGGCACTAACAAAATAGTGCATGAGCATAGCATGTCGTAAGTCGAATTTAACTGCGCATTTGACCTTCCAAGATAGTGTGACCAGGTCTTTCAGATGCCACAACCCTGCCGTTCATCATTCGAGATAAGCCCACCGCGTAATCGCACTCAAAGGATCAAGGGTTTCAAGATCAGCATCGAAAGAAGCAAAAGAACCCGCACAATATCCACAAATTCCTGGACTTCCCCAATCCCTTCTGTTTTGATTTTTCCCATTTCAAGGGAGACCAGTGCCCCGAGAACGTCACGCTAGAAAACAATGAGACTACCTTTGGAGGTACGACATTTCGTGGAAACAGGGGCTCTATACCTTCGCGGAAAGTGCTTCCCTAATCTGTCGTAAAAGCTCGCCTCGCTTAGGAGCAGGGACCATCCTGAGATGAAGATAAGCTTCCTTCGACTTCTCCAGCGCTTCGTGCAGCTCATGAGGTGTCGCCTGTAAGATATTATGTTACATGCCAGACACCAGTACGCAAGAGTACGCAGTGAGCCTACTATGTACTTACCGAACGAACACGGGCAAGTACCTCCCCAGTCGTGGGACACACGCTTTCCAGTATTTCTCCAGAGCCAGACCACTGTCCGTCATAAACGCCTGGGAGTTCTGCAGCACCAGCAGGGATGTCAAGTGCTGAAAGGATAGTCGATGCGCGCGTCGACAAGCTCCGTGCGCCTCGGAGAGTGCAGACTGCGTGGCGCGACAGTATCATACCGTTCAACCTGGAGAAGGTGTGCTGTAGTAAACCAAAATGTTTATGAATGCTGCAGTCTACAGTCAAGCAGATTGCGGCTTTGTGGGTGACCAAAACGTTAGTGCAACGTTGAACGTTGAGTTCTAAATTTTGCTAAAGACAATGCCAAGAGATGGAACTAGATCCGTGTGGTGTCACGTGATTTAGTGCGATCCGTTACAGCCAAAATTTTCCATGCGGAGCACAGCTGAAGCGCCGAAGCGTGCATAGTATGAGAACGGATAGGATACACAATGGGAGCGAACACGAATGAGATCGCATAATTACCACACAACGAGTTTCTAAGCGGTGAGCTTTCGCAGATCTATCTGTCCATTAATAGACTATAATGACAACTTGAGACCCATCCAGAACCATAGCCCACGGATCTCATTGAGATGATGCAGTATGTAGCAACCAAGAACACTGACAGGGGTGGATAGTCGTGGATGCACTAATCTCACAGCCTGCCTGAGCCTCCCGACGGGTTGAGTATAACTCTCCGGTCCCTGAACGGCTGTGAGTACTTCCCGTATTGAGAGGCAAAGCGATGAGATGCACCTATGGGGATCGCATTAGTGTCAAGGGCAGTGATGCTGATAATGTATGTACAAGATGCCCTACGTCGGTGTTGTGATCATAGGCCCTTGAAGAACGAAGGGTCCGCATCAATCTGGTTCCGCGCCTTTTTGCTCCTCCCCGCTAATGCATTTTTGCTGCTTTTCGATTTTCTTTTCTTCTCCTTCAAGGAGTCCCGTACGTCATCGTCACTGTCAGAGGCTTCGATTACTGATGCAGTGCCCTCGGGAGGTGCTTGGGTTTCGACATCAGCTCCGTCGGGTTCCTGCGGGTCTATGTCCGAGGCCTGAATAATTTGTACATTTTCGGAGTCCTCAACCTCTTCACCCTCCTCGTCTTCAAAAACGGCCCTGAGATCTGTCATCTTAAGCGTGTCATCGTGACCTGCACTACCGACCCATCTTCCCTCCCCACCGAGATCGACTGCAATTCTTTCGATGGGAAAAGATCCGTGGTCAGCGACAACTCCAAGGAGCTTGGTAGGAAATAGCTGCACAGCCCTCAGAAGACCGTCCGACGATCCCGTGAGGATGGTGGAGTGAGAGGACGGGTATGACGACGGTAGCGTACAAAGAGCATCAATCGACTGAGGGTGCCTGCAACGACGATGAGAGAGGTGTTCAGTGAAGCATCCAGTAACAGATGGTTTTTACCCAGGAACTCTGTCGACACAGTCTGCCCACCCATGGCTACGATTAAACACGGACAGAATCCCCGTCTGGGTGCCGACTACTACTTTGGACCCGCTGTTAACCCAGCATTTTGCATGCGCGCAATGAGCATGTGTAGATACATGTGTAGGGGAAAGTACCTTCGAATAGCAACAATAGAGAGCAACTCATCCTCCTGATCCTCGGACTGTGCCACCGGTTCCGGCTTCTTTCCACGTACATCAATCACTGATAGTGTGCCATCGCCGCTTGATTATCGCACACGAGTAAAAAAATAGGAGTGTTGGAATCTGGAGGATACTGTTGCTATGGCTTGCTTACCTGGTTGTGATGAGGTGCTTCTTGTCGTCCAACCAAAGGAAATCAGAGATGAAGTCATAATGATGGGTATAACTTCGAATGGGATCAGACTTTCGAGGGTCCCACAGCTATCCACAAAAGATAAGTAAGAAGTTGATCGTGGCGTATCAGTCAGAATCGGCTGACCTTGATGACCCCGTCGTCATCACCAGTGCTTAGCATGTGGGGCATGAGGTGTTTAATGCGATTCACTGGCGAACTTTAATAGGCACTGCCATCAGCTTTCTCAACGAATCGTGGGGTCACATAAGGGAATCGCTGACTCACTCGTGGGCATTTTTGCGCGTTTCACTGACCGTTCCAGTAGTTGTATCGATCGTGCTATATGTCTTTAGTACAATGTATAATGATCCAAATATCATATTAGACCATACAAAATAGCCTTTGCCTTTCCGGTTGCCCAAAGACGAGAGCCATCCTCGCTAGTATCCAAGCAACGGCAAGAACGCTTGGAAGGCCTTAAAACGAAACTTTCTTCATGTCCTTGTTCATCATACCGAAACGCCTTGACCTTTCCGTTGAGAAGGCCGGTATATACAGTCGAATGCGTGGGATGAAATGCGAGGTCGAAAATCTGAGATCCAACTGGAATATCCGGCATGAAAGTAACGTGCACGAGCTTCTCGTAGCTACGTTAAGCTAGACTTCAGGTGAGGACAAGCAGTAAGCCAACTTGAATCTAAGTTTCGCGGTCATGAATTGAATGCCGTATCGTGGGACCGATATTAAAGGACAGCGCTGGTCTCCAATAATGCCGGGCTAGTCTTGCGGTCCAGCCGGTGGTCTAGATGTCGGGATAAATCATTGCGCCTGTTTACTCTGCACAGCGTCCTAAACGTTTCATCTGCGTCGGTCAATGGGGGAGAGAAAATCCCTCATATGAACCCATGGCCTCTATATCTTGTTTCTCAACCATAATCGTTTTATTCGCAATAATATGTCTCGCCCAGTCAGTCACACTACACGCTGGTCTCAACAACGCCCTCTCTTACGGTGCCGACACTAAAGTGGTTAGCGCTCGACATTCAAGCAGGGCATCGTTTGCGGAGGATAAAGAGGATGTAACCCTGCTCGATGTCGTTCTCGTTGCCTCTGTTGATGGTCGATTCCACGCGCTCAACCGTACCTCTGGACAGAAACTCTGGTCCATGTCCCATCCTGCACACGAAGCCCCGTCCAGCCTTGCGCCGCTCGTTCGTACTAAACATGCCACCTATGACTCCGACTTGACGGACGATGACGACGCCCATAATGAGGTGTACATAATCGAACCACAGTCGGGCGACATATATGTGATGGCTACCCCCAGCAGTAAACTCCAGCGCCTCTCTTTTTCCATGGCACAGCTTGTCGAGATGTCACCCTTTAAATTCGCCCGGGATGACGACGAACGGGTTTTCGTGGGAAAGAAAGAGACATCCCTATTGTCCATAGAACTGGAAACCGGGAAAGTCAAGGCCATTAATGCTGAGTGCCCTTGGGACCCGTTTGAAAATTTCAGCCATAAAGAGGAGCTTGACCTGGATGAGCTTGAAGATTATATGCCAAACAAGGAGAAAGTCATTCCGACAGAGGTCTTTATTGGACGTACCGGTAGGTGTTCATTTCTTTCATTAGTAATTGCATTTAAACACTATTTCCTCGCAAGACTACCAACTATCCATTTTCACCCGCTCAAATACCCCCAATGGTCGGAAGGTTCCTATACAAAATCTGTCTTTCTCCACATATGGTCCCAACAATCAGGACAACGTCTTGCAAGCGGCGTACCGGAAGACGCAAGACAGCACATACATCGACTCCCTTCCCTCTGGCACAATAGTTTCACTCAAAGCACATGAAAATGACTCCACAGGTCCATACTCTCTGCAGAAAGCGCAGTTCATGTGGACAAACCATTTTGATAGCCCCATGTGAGGAATGTCGTGCGTATCACCGGAATGTTTCTAATATTTCATTCAGAGTGGCTGTATTTGATGTTCTGTCAAGCGCTCAGAAACCAGATCCATTCGTCCTCTTGCAACCTCGTCCTGACATTTTGCGCGGATCAGATGTCTCCTCGCTTGACATCAACACAGCTTATGTTGGACTCGTGGAAGAGACAAAGTCACTCTACGTAATGGGTGTGGACCACTTCCCGCTTACCGCATTCGGCGATACCGAATTCAACCACAAACTCATCGAGTCTGTCGACGGTATCACTCGGCGGCGCAAGCTAGTAGAGCTATGCGAACGTGATCCAGGCAATACCCGCTGCCTCACGGGTAAACACCATCTTGATTCGTCTTTGAATAACAAACAACTCCCAGGTGTTCCTGGTGCGATGCTGCCTCCTGGCGACAACTTGAATCAACCAATCGATGTCATAGAGGCCATACCCACCCTGTCAGATCCCAGGGACAACACATCCGTGACCGTACCAGGCTGGATGCCGTGGTCGGGCACTAGCTCTGATGCACATACGAAGGTCATCGGTCCAGCATCCCCCATTTCTACCATTGGTTCCATGTTGCTTGCCACTGCCTTTGCAGCTGGGTTTATATTCCGGTCAAAGCTTCCCCGCGTGAGGCTTCAGATGGCGCCCGCTACGGCGTCTGTTCCAAGTGGAAAGACGGATTCAGATGCGACAACACCGCCTCCTCACCCGGATACCCCTGTCACACTCGCAATGGAGATATCCCCGGTTCCCTCCAAACCCGCACCAGTTACCATCAACTCAGGACCTGCGTTATCACCAGACGACACCCCTTCTCACGTACTGCACCCCACCACCCATTTCGCAGAGCTTGAACAACCTGATACCCCCAGCATGGCAGTGATTGATATTGGAGATGCAGAGGATAGTGACAGGGAGAATGCAACGCCGAAGAAGCGCCCTCGACGTGGGCGCAGAGGCAAGAAAGGAAAGGGCACAGGGGTAGCCGTCAATGGCATGGGGGATGATCTGGATGACAGGGATGCTAACGGCCATGTTCCTGAGGTTGTGGTCAAAGACAACCCGAATACCCCTTCTCCCACACTCGTGGTGCCTCAGACGCCGCAGGCCGCCACATCTTCCCTGGTCGTGTCCGATACTATACTAGGTGAGTATTGATCATGAAATATGTCTTATCTGTTAACACGTCCAAGGTTTTGGCTCTCACGGAACGGTTGTATACCAAGGCTCCCTCCAGGGGCGTGCAGTAGCTGTTAAGCGCCTCCTGCAAGACTTTGTCACTCTCGCCTCCCGCGAGGTTGATATTCTTCAAGAATCGGACGATCACCCAAATGTCATTCGATACTACTATCAAGAAGCCCATGCTAATTTTCTCTACATTGCTCTCGAACTTTGCCCCGCCTCCCTCGCCGACGTCATTGAGAGCCCTGACCAGTTTCGCGAGATATCCAACTCATTCGACCCAAAGCGTGCCCTCCGTCAGATAGCATCCGGGCTCCGCCACCTGCACTCACTCAAGATTGTCCACCGCGATATCAAACCCCAAAACATTCTCATATCTGCACCGAAGAAGGGCGCGTCGGGAAGAGATGGCGGGCGGAGGATGCTCATCTCCGATTTTGGCCTATGTAAGAAGCTCGAGGTAGACCAAACGAGTTTCCTGCCGACAGCACATGGCGCCATGGCTGCGGGCACCGTCGGATGGCGAGCGCCTGAAATCCTGAGGGGGGAAGTGAAGCTTGACGACTCGATGAGTGATGACCATTCACAATCATCACGAGGTAGCGTCAGCACTGCAGTGAATGGGTCAACATCAGGCAAGCCAACGAGACTGACTAAGTCCGTTGATATTTTTGCGCTGGGGTGCCTATTTTACTATGTCCTCACTAACGGCTTACATCCATTTGGGGATCGGTTCGAGCGGGAGGTCAACATTCTAAAAAATACCAAATCCTTAGATGGCCTGAAGCAGTTCGGAGAAGAGGGCTCGGAGGCGGTAGATTTAATTACTAAAATGCTAGATCCTGAAGCCTACAATAGGTACGTTTCTCATCTATGGTCTATTTATGGGGTTTATCATCTGTCTAGGCCCGTCACGGCATCATGTCTTCTACATCCCTTTTTCTGGGACTCAGGACGTCGCTTAAACTTTTTACAAGACGCATCAGATCGCTTCGAGATCATGTGCCGAGACCCCCGTGACCAAAACTTGATCATCCTCGAAACCGGCGCTTTTGATGTCCTTGGTCAAGATTGGCATGCACGGTTAGACAAGGTTTTTATTGAGAACCTGGGCAAGTACCGGAAGTACGACGGCAAGTCTGTGCAAGATTTACTAAGGGCTCTGCGAAATAAAGTGAGTCAAATCGTGTACTTTTTTTTTTCTGCCAGAAGCTAATGTGCACTTGAAGAAACACCATTATCAAGATCTCCCAGATCATGTTAAGCGGCATCTAGGACCCATGCCAGAAGGCTTCTTATCCTACTTCACCCGCCGTTTCCCCAACCTCTTCATGCATGTGCACGGCGTCATATCCAACACATCCTTATGCCACGAGTCCATGTTCAGGACATATTTCGAACTGGTCGATTAATATGCTGTCTATAGTTATCCGTCTGATCGAGGAGTGGAAGTCCACGATCTTGCTTGTCTTTGTATTCGCCTTTGCATATTTATTTTACATCACATCCAACCTCATGTATCTGTACTTGTAACTGTTGCTTGGTATACATCGTCCTGTGTAATGAGAATCTTGACTAGACACATCCCCTTCATCCGTTTGACGTCACACTTTACATGATGGTGCAACCCCAGCCTGGTCGTTCTTGTTCCCTCGTCGGCGCCCGGACGCCCCACTGTGGCGCGTCTTGGTGGTAATTTTCCAAAGCAGTCCGTCTCGCTATTTCTCTCCTTGCGTATGCCACTCGTCTCGCCTCTTCCAATCTCGTTGCTTCTATCCTCGCCTCTACTATTCGTCTCGCGTCTGCCACTCGTCTCGCCTCGTCCAATCTTGTTGCTGCCTCACGTCTCGCGGCTTCTCCCACGTTTGCCAATCGCATCTCCTCCGCATCCCGTCTCGCCGCGTCTACCCTCCTTCGCAGCTCTTCCTGCTGCTGACGTTGCTGCGCTGCCAATCCGAACAGCCACTGCTGTTCTTGTACATTGACAGGCTCATCAACGGGATTCTCGTCGTAGATCGTGCCATGTTCACTCCTCATGTGTGTGTATATGGTATCGGCAGAAAAGACACCCATGCATCGCCAACAGATATGGCTCTTGCACCTGTGCCCGAGCGAATCAATAAAATGAAAACAGAAGTACTACGGGCGTGTTTAGGACAACTTACTGTGTACAGGTCATGTGATTGCAGCCATCCACTTTCTCGATCAGCGCTTGACAAGTTGGGCATTTCTTTACGCGTCCACCTTGAGCTGCGAGCCATGCCTCCGTTTGTCGCTCCTCCTCAGCAACGCGTCCGGTTCGCTTGTAGTCGGCACAGCTCATGCCGTCGTGGCCATCCTCGTGGCACGATGTACATATGTTTGAGAAACATGAAGGGCACTGGCCACCCGCGGCCGTAGTGTTAGGGTCGGTGGAACGGTAGATCTGATTGCAGTCTGGTGTCTTGCAATATTTGAATTCCTGTGGATGCCGAGATATATGCGTGTTGAACACTACTTCCAGCAGGCGGTTGAAGGAAGTTTGAGGGAGGAATTGTTGGATGGTGGGAATAGGAATGGGGACTTTACACTGGGATTCATCACCCATGCACGTGAGTGGAAACTGACCAGAGTCCAAAGCGGATGTCAAGAAATGACGCATGCAAGGAGCACAGTAGATGTGCCCACAACCAAGACGAAGTGGGGCGGATATGTCATCATAGCAGATAGGGCAGGACTGCTGTCCCGACGGGTCCGGGAGGATCTGTGGTCCACTGAGCGATCCTTGAATCAAGCGCTCAAGGGCGTGTCGAGCTTCCTCGCCACCCGAGATTGTGATTTTACGCGCAGATATAACAAATTTAACGTTGTCTTCTCCAAAGGTTTCCTTCAGCTCTGGGATTCCATGTTTGAGGAAAAATCGAACGGACTGTTTCGCGAGTACTTTGGTATACTCGAGGGACGAGAGCTGCTCTAGCTTGGCTTTGATCAGCTCACGAGCCTGGTCAACAGCTTTTGGTTCTCCATAAACTTTCAAAACCTGTCGTCTCCAATCTGCACGTAGGAGTGCGCCCGTGTCGTCAAAAACCGAACGCAAGAACTTGTTGTTTGGATATCCGAGTGTCATGTGCCACCCTTCCACCTTCTCGCCTGCAATCAGGCCTTCCGCTCTAACTTTAAGTGCGCCCATGGCCTCTTTCTTGGAGCCGGACAAGCGCATCCGGACAACGGGTCCCTGCTCATGAATGTGCAGCATACACGAACGCTTGTCCTTGATGCCACCAATCAAGGCATCCCACAAAGACTTTTGTGCACGGAACTGCTCAGTGGAGATAGTAATCGAGTATTGTGTGGGATTCGGGAGCCGGAACAAGAAAGACACGTTCCCGATGCGATGGTTAAGAAGACGGGTGTGCACCGCGTCCGCGTCCTCCCAAGAAGAAAACTGCGCACGGACTAGAACGATACCATCAGGGTTTGGAGTCGGCAGCAGTGGCTCCAGCGACCTTAGGGTTCCAGGAGAGATGCATTCGATATCATCCCGCAATGTGGTAGCGATATGGCCGACGTCATCGCTGAAAACCCCACCCTTCACAGCCAACCGCCTGACATCGTCTGAGCCAGAGAATCTTTCAACTTCTCCGTCAGAGACAGTCGGCGGAAGGAAACTAATCTTGACTGAGTTGTCGTGAAATGTTGGTACGAAGCGACCGGGTGGCATGGTGTTGACCTCAGCTTTGACCCGGCGCCCAGAGCACATCTGGCGGTTCAGTTCCCGCGCTTTCGCAGTCACATTGACCGTAACAGGGTACTCTGCGACATAGCGCACGGAAGGGACACGCCAGGATATCGTAAGGACATTACTGTCGCGTTCAGTCGTCGCGGACATACTTCCGGGACTGTTGTAGCCTGATACTTCGAGAGTCAGAACTTCATCCCTAAACTCGAGGCCACCGAGGTCAACCGAGAGTGCTTGCCCGGACTCAGCGTCTGTGATGATTTCAGCGCTAAGCTTTCCGCTACCTGGCATGGGCTTGACGCTAACAAGGTGGAAGCGCCCTCGATCAAGGCCTCGGCTTGTGAACAGCGCAGTGATTTCGTCTTCCCGCACATTGGGAGGCAGATTTGCAATATGCAAGGTGCAGCACTCGAATCCGGTGATTATGTGAGATAATTCAAGGCCTGCGCTGAATGTTACGATGGATCCAAGCACAACGCTCTGGACTGTCTTCGCAGCGGCTTCTTTGGCAATTTCGGCTGCACGAGCTTTGGCAATTTCAGCTGCACGAGCTTTGGCAATTTCAGCTGCACGAGCTTTGGCAATCTCAGCTGCGCGAGCTTTGACAATCTCAGCTGCACGAGCTTTGGCAATCTCAGCTGCACGAGCTTCAGCAATCTCAGCTGCACGAAGTTTGGCAATCTCGGTCGCGCGAGCTTCAGCAATCTCAACTGCACGAGCTTTGGCAATCTCGGCTGCGCGAACCTGCGCAGCTAGGTTTGCTTCTGTTTCCATTTGTTGGCGAGATACATCTTCAAGATGCTCCTGATAGTCCCCAAGCTCAATACAAGGAACAGAGGCACCCGAAAGATCCACGTACTTCAATAGTATGCAGAAATCGGCATTTGGCACCTCTCGTGCACGTCCCGGCCTTCCAAGCGCGACACACCTTGGAACCTCGGGATGGCCCAACAGACGCATGGCCGGAATTATCCGAGGGAGGCTTTTGAGAGATGGTGCGCTGCGCCTGTAGACCAGCTGCCCTGGGCTGGCCGGTGTGCCGACGGCGACCTTTGTGGTTGGATGGGCTGTTGACAGTAGTACGGTTCGACTCGGCACCTTCAACATGCTGAGTGTGCGCTATTGGGCTACCCTATAATGACAAGCTTCAGTACATTACCCAGAATTTCTGAACAAAACTTGCCTGAATTTCGTGGCTAAACTTGCATTTCGCTCCATAAATACAACGACCTTGAATGTAGTATTGGCACGACATCATGGGGATGAAACAAAAGGCTTGAGTGCCGCGCACCTCGTGTATACAGCAAGCTGCGTCTATCCAAATTGCTCAAAACAAAGTATTATGGAAGCATAATCATGGCCAAGTAGAGTGGGCGCTTGGTGGGTACATCCAACTTCGTTCTATAAATAAACGCCTAGTATGTCCCAGCTACTAGCACAGCTCGAGTTGCCCTTGTTTCCTGTGTTAAAAGATACTGAGCCACGACACATAAATCCCTAAATCATATCGAAGAAGCTGGGCTCTGTGAGAGTGGTAGTAAATGGTGAGAGTTTGTGTCGTGATGACTCCGACTACTCTCGTTCAAACTCTCTTAGAGCTGCCTATTCAGCTTCACGGGTAAAGCTTAGATAGGCGAAGAGTTGAAGTCAAGCCTCCGTTGCTGCCACTGAAAACGATCAGAAAAGAAGCTTGAGTAGATGGATGGGATACGTACAACTTGTCTTCCGCTTCAACACCAGGCGTAGTCGCAGCTAGTCAACGTTCCGACCCTTCTCGAAGTGGCAAAGTACATCCGGCTGCCTCTCTAGCTCTCCAACTTCTTTCATGAACTGCTCAAGAGGTTCCTTCTGCCAGTTTCACTAGATTCTAAATTCACATGAAGCTGCGTATATCAGTGCAAACTCACATAGTTCGCTGGTCAGTGTACGCGCACTCTTTGCAGCCCTCGCCGCAGTGGATGATCGCACGTCATCGGCTTAAAATTAATTCACTGCCCAGGCGTTGCTGTTTAGCAAACGATTTTGTATGATGTGAGCAGACGCACCCGTTTTCTACCATACTTCTGCTGCCTACACATATAGATGGCTACTGTGCTTTGTCATGGTCACGAAGGTCTGAATCAAATCACAAGTCAAAACTCAAAATGGCGTCGGAACGGGTTACTCCGAGACTGCTCAGACCATCAAAATAGGCACCGCCGCACCGTGACAATCTCCACGATTAAAAGACCAGGACACTATGGCTAACTAGTATCCATTTTGCCCGTCATCTTCCATTCTGATATGTGCTGGTATGTGTTTTCCATGATTAACTTATTGACAAGGAATGAGATGGGCACTCACCAAGTGAGTGCGGAGCGCTGATCCGTTGAACCTGAGCAAGTTGAGTGACTTCAAGTCATCACCTACTTTTGGTTTCATAGTGATACACACCGCACGTCATATTCAATAGAAAAGTGGTGCGCTGCATACATTCGTCGTCACCGTCGTCACCATCGTCACCGTCGTCACCGCCGTGCGGGGAACAACTCAACGGCTTGGTGAGCTAACATAGGTCTAAAACGGCTTAGTGGCAAAAAATAAGGTTCTCAAAAGTAACTTAACATCTGACAACTCCAATGGTTAAGGTTTGGTGTAAACTGGACGGGTCTTAAGTTAGTGAAATTCTTCAAAAAATCCTTAGCAAAAACACTCTAATCAGCTGTGATGATGCTTCTACGAAGGATGACGTCGTCTGTTGGTGAGGTTGTAAGCCTAGGCTTACACCAGAGTCGCATATAAAAACATTGACACACAGTGCTACGAGATATTATCCATGTCGCCATTATCAGGCTCTCCCAAGTTTCGAGTAGCAATCTGGTGAGTCGGACAACCCCTCATGAACGTGAAACAGACTGAATTTCATGTGCAGTGGTGCAGGTATAGGAGGGCTTGTCCTCGCCATCACAATCGGGAAGTTTGCAGGTCGCGATATCCACATAGACTTGTACGAAGCGTGTGACACCATCACCACTGCTGGGGCCGGCGTTTCACTTTGGCGACGCGCGACGGAGATCATGGAGGAACTCGGCATGTACGAAGAAATATCTCACGTTTCGACGAAGCCCTCTTCCTCCAGTAATGGTCTGTTCAAAGAACCTGTTTTGCAACCACGTTTTACTTGATTCGTTCTGACAGGATTAATATTCAGAAATTCTAATGCCTCAGAGGGTGGTTATGAGTGGTTTAATTATATCTTTGGATCATGTCCGTACTACCCCATTTTGAACCGACAGTTGCAAGATGACTAAATCTCTCACAGACGGGCCATCCAATATGCACCGCCAGCATCTCGTTGACGTTCTCAAGAAAAACCTCCCCTCATCATACACTGTGCACTTTAATAAACGGCTTACTAAATATGACAACCAGTCACCAGGATTACTGGTCCTCCACTTCGCTGATGATAGCACTGCGACTACGGACGTGTTAGTAGGAGCAGATGGTGTCCGCTCCTCAGTGCGGAAGACGCTTTTCGAAACAATAGACCCAAGCATCGTAGATCCAAGCAATATAAAACGCTACAGCGATCCATCTTGGACCGGAACACTTGTCTACCGTAGCGTCTTTCCGGCAGAGAAGCTCTCCAAGATGGATCCAAATAACGTAGCTTTGAAGGATTTCATGATGGTAAGTCCTCAGAAAGCGGTCACGATCGTCAGCAATAATTTTCATTTTGCAGTTCTGCGGGAAAGGAAAGGTAGATCATCGTAATCCAACGGTCTCTGCTTGCTTACGAATAATTCATAGCACATCGTCTCGTTTCCAGTTTCACGGGGAACGCAAATCAATGTCGTGGCATTTGTTTCTGATGAACAGAAAGCTGGTGTACATTTTGAGGGTCATTGGGTTTCAAATGTGTCCCTTGAAGAGGTTGAGGAAGCATATCAAGACTTCGAGCCCGATGCCAAGCGCCTTCTGAAAGTAAGTCTCCGGGCTGAGTCGCTCATGCCGCCCTCAACCGACGTTAATTTTTGCAGTGTTCCGAAAACCCCTCGAGATGGGCACTTCACGTGGTAAATGAATTACCGCTAACCACTTGCAACAAAGTCGTGTTGATAGGTGATGCGGTGCGTGTCTATTCGCTGACTTGAAAATCCTTTGACGAGATTGTGCAGTCCCATGCTATGAGACCTCACCTCGGCGCTGGAGCTGGTCAGGCAATCGAAGTATGCGTGATCATCATTTGGAAAAATATGCAAACTTATATTGTATGCAGGATGCTTTTGTGCTCGGCCGCCTTCTTGCGCACCCACTCACAACGTTGGATAAAGTACCCGCCGCGCTGAAAGTATTTCAGGATGTCCGTCGCCCATTCGCTCAAACCGTAGCGCGTAAATCGGAACGCACAGGATATATGTATGATTTTTTCTCGCCTGGGTATTATGATGGAACAGATCGAGGAAATGAACAAGAGGAGAGAGAAGTTCTGAAACGGAAGATCGTGGACCAGTGGGATTGGGCAGGTGAAGGAGGTGCCATTGCTGAATGGCTTAAGGCAGAAAAGCAACTGCAGGAAAACGTAGGTTTGTAGAACGGGTGATGTGATAATGATACGATGTGTTCTACCTCAAGTTTCATGCACCACACGAAGTGCACTCATCCCATTTTCAACTAAGATAGACCTCGTTCATACACCGGTTCATCACGTGATTTGAGGATAGAATACATGATTTTGGCTCGTTACTCTTTTTGAACTTATAATTAGCTACATCTGTTCCAAGATCTTGTAGGGATGTACTACAATAACAAAGTGGTCTACTCAGAATCCATATTTTCGGCGAATTGAAGGAGTAGGCATTTTTGTAGCAAATTCACCCTTGTGACCCATTTGTGACTGTAGCGGTGCTCCACTGAGTCCACTTGGGACATTTTGACAATATAATGCCTACTCGTCCCTCAGTTTCTTACATTAGATCATAAAAAAAACATGTCCAGCCTGCTACAGACTGTTCACATATAATTTTGGAACAGATTTTGCTCACACTTTGTGCATGAGTTATATGCAGATTCATTGAAATGTCACGCTAGGTCACGTGATGAATCGGTGTATGAATGAGGTCTATCTTGGCACAAAACAGAATGTACACGCCGTTATCTACAAAAAGGATTATACAAGACATCTATATTTGCTTTCTCTGCAAGTTCTTCGGTAGCTCCTTAACCCATGGTAGGAAGTCCCGTCCCTGCATATACGGCCTGAGTACCTCAGGTATAACGAGACCCTTAGGGCACATGCAGTATTAGCGTCAATTCCTCGCGTCGCAGAAAGAAAGAGGGCATACATCTGGCGTCTGATAATTCTCGACCAAACAACATAATGCGCGCTCCGTAGCGCACATCGTTTCGTTGAGCATATGGACGTAGACCTTCCGTTGCTGATCCTTCGCCTTGAGACCACACCGGATTTCTAGCCGCCTGCTCTCTGTAGTGTCAACGAGTCCACATCAACGGGAATTTTACAGATGAGAATGCAACTTACGATAATCCGTGCAATTCGAGCAGGAAACAAGCTCTTTGTATGCCCCTTGGAATGGGAACCACACCTCCCAAAGTACATCTGGCTGCCTCTCTAGCTCTCCAACTTCTTTCATGAATTGCTCAAGAGGTTCCTTCTGCCAGTATCACTAGATTCTAAATTCACATGAAGCTGCGTATATCAGTGCAAACTCACATAGTTCGCTGGTCAGTGTACGCGCACTCTTTGCAGCCCTCGCCGCAGTGGATGATCGCACATCATCAGCTTAAAATTAATTCACTGCCCAGGCGTTGCTGTTTAGCAAACGATTTTGTATGATGTGAGCAGACGCACCCGTTTTCTACCATACTTCTGCTGCCTCTGGGAGGCACATAGTAGATGGCCAATATTGTGCTTTGTCATGGTCACGAAGGTCTGAATCAAATCACAAGTCAAAACTCAAAATGGCGTCGGAACGGGTTACTCCGAGACTGCTCAGACCATCAAAATAGGCACCGCCGCACCGTGACAATCTCCACGATTAAAAGACCAGGACACTATGGCTAACTAGTATCCATTTTGCCCGTCATCTTCCATTCTGATATGTGCTGGTATGTGTTTTCCATGATTAAGTTATTGACAAGGAATGGAATGGGCAGTCACCAAGTGAGTGCGGAGCGCTGATCTGGGCGAATTGAGTGACTTCTGCGTGATTATTTTGCCGCGGCCGAGTGATATAAGTTACTGAATTCCCAGAGTATGAGCTCTGACTTACAAATATCAGCATGTGGTTTCATGAGCGGCTATAACACCAGCAGCTTGGCGACTCAAATGCCGCAACCAACTGGCAACTGCGGGAATGTTCTCCGCGCCGGTGGCCAGAGTCGCACATTAAAACATTGGCACATGCTACGAAATATTATCCATGTCGCCATTATCAGGCTCTCCCAAGTTTCGAGTAGCAATCTGGTAAGTCGGATAACTCCTCATGAACGTGAAACAGACTGAATTTCATGTGCAGTGGTGCAGGTATAGGAGGGCTTGTCCTCGCCATTACAATCGGGAAGTTTGCAGGTCGCGATATCCACATAGACTTGTACGAAGCGCATGACACCATCACCACCGCCGGGGCCGGGGTTTCACTTTGGCGACGCGCGACGGAGATCATGGAGGAACTCGGCATGTACGAGGAAATGTCCTACGTTTCGACGAAGCCCTCTTCCTCCAGTAATGGTCTGTTTAAAGAACCTGTTTTGCAACCACATTTTACTTGATTCGTTCTGACAGGATTAATATTCAGAAATTCTAATACCTCAGAGGGTGGTCATGAGTGGTTTCATTATATCTTTGAACCATGTCCGTACTACCCCATTTTGAACCGACAGTTGCAAGATGACTAAATCTCTCACAGACGGGCCATCCAATATGCACCGCCAGCATCTCGTTGACGTTCTCAAGAAAAACCTCCCCTCATCATGCACTGTGCACTTTAATAAACGGCTCACTAAATATGACAACCAGTCACCAGGATTACTGGTCCTCCACTTTGCTGATGATAGCACTGCGACTACGGACGTGTTAGTAGGAGCAGATGGTGTCCGCTCCTCAGTGCGGAAGACGCTTTTCGAAACAATAGACCCAAGCATCGTAGATCCAAGCAATATAAAACGCTACAGCGATCCATCTTGGACCGGAACACTTGTCTACCGTAGCGTCTTTCCGGCAGAGAAGCTCTCCAAGATGGATCCAAATAACGTAGCTTTGAAGGATTTCATGATGGTAAGTCCTCAGAAAGCGGTCACGATCGTCAGCAATAATTTTCATTTTGCAGTTCTGCGGGAAAGGAAAGGTAGATCATCGTAATCCAACGGTCTCTGCATGCTTACGAATCATTCATAGCACATCGTCTCGTTTCCGGTTTCACGGGGAACGCAAATCAATGTCGTGGCATTTGTTTCTGATGAACAGAAAGCCGGTGTGCATTTTGAGGGCCATTGGGTTTCAAATGTGTCCCTTGAAGAGGTTGAGGAAGCATATCAAGACTTCGAGCCCGATGCCAAGCGCCTTCTGAAAGTAAGTCTCCGGGCTGAGTCGCTCATGCCGCCCTCAACCGACGTTAATTTTTGCAGTGTTCCGAAAACCCCTCGAGATGGGCACTTCACGTGGTAAATGAATTACCGCTAACCACTTGCAACAAAGTTGTGTTGATAGGTGATGCGGTGCGTGTCTATTCGCTGACTTGAAAATCCTTTGACGAGATTGTGCAGTCCCATGCTATGAGACCTCACCTCGGCGCTGGAGCTGGTCAGGCAATCGAAGTATGCACGATCATCATTTGGAACAATAATATGCAAACTTACATTGTATGCAGGATGCTTTTGTGCTCGGCCGCCTTCTTGCACACCCACTCACAACGTTGGATAAAGTACCCACCGCGCTGAAAGTATATCAAAATGTCCGTCTCCCATTCGCTCAAAGCGTAGCGCGTGAATCGGAACGCACAGGATATATGTATGATTTTTTCTCGCCTGGGTATCATGATGGAACAGATCGAGGAAATGAACAAGAGGAGAGAGAAGTTCTGAAACGGAAGATTGTGGACCAGTGGAATTGGGCAGGTGAAGGAGGTGCCGTTGCTGAATGGCTTAAGGCAGAAAGGCAACTGCAGGAAAACGTAGGTTTGTAGAACGGGTGATGTGATAATGATGCGCTGTGTTCTTAGAAGTTTCATGCGCTACACGAAGTGCGTCCCATATTCAACTAGCACAAAACAGAATATACACGCCGTTATCTACAAAGTGGGTTATACAAGACATCTATATTTGCTTTCTCTGCAAGTTCTTCGGCAGCTCCTTAACCCATGGTAGGAAGTCCCGTCCTTGCATATATGGCCTGAGTACCTCAGGTATAACGAGACCCTTAGGGCACATGCAGTATTAGCGTCAATTCCTCGCGTCGCAGAAAAAAAGAGGGCATACATCTGGCGTCTGGTAATTCTCGACCAAACAACATAATGCGCGCTCCGTAGCGCACATCGTTCCGTTGAGCATATGGACGTAGACCTTCCGTTGCTGGTCCTTCGCCTTGAGACCACACCGGATTTCTAGCCGCCTGCTCTCTGTAATGTCACCGAGTCCATATCAACAAGAAGTTTACAGATGAGAATGCAACTTACGATAATCCGTGCAATTCGAGCAGGAAACAAGCTCTTTGTATGCTCCTTGGAATGGGAACCACGCCTCCAAATCGCATTTCTTCGACGCTGCGAGGTTCAGTGCGCCACTGACGATCGCCACCACGCGGTAAGAGAGACCCAAACTCTGGTAAAACGCCTCACTGTTCCCCAACATGGTATCGAATGCATTCCAGCTCTCTTCTGGAGCGGTGATCACGAACTGTTCAACCTTCTCAAACTGGTGCACACGGAAGATACCCCACATGTCACGTCCAGCCGAGCCAGCTTCTTTACGGAAACATGTAGAATATCCAGCGTAGTATATAGGAAGCTGAGTTTTGGGGTCTTCGAACCATTCGTCTTGGTGAAACGCTGATATAGGCTGTTCCGAGGTCGCGATGAGATATTTCTCGTCGTCGTTGGCAATAACCTGAGGATGATAATATCGATTAGTTTTGAATAGCGCTATCCACCAACTTCGTCATGCCTTGTACAGTTCCTCGTCGAACTGGTCAAGCTGCGCGGTCTTTGCCATGACGTCTTTGTTGACGAGAAATGGCGGTTGGACTTTCTTGTATCCATTTTTGCGGAGGAAGTCAAGGGCATATGTGATAAGGGCTTGGTTAAGATCGACGCCATCATTTGTGAGGAAGTAGCCGCGGTGACCTGCGACCTTGGCACCTGGTACATTGGTCTCAATACCTTAAAGAATATAAATGAAGCGAGAATCAAACCTCGATCAAGGTCCATTGCATCTAATCTGAGCAAAACTTCGTGGTGAGGCATGATGTCCGTCTTCTTTTCTACTTGACCGTTAGGACCATCTGGATGCCAGGTGCGGAGCGTTACATTATCATCCTAAAACGTTGTCTCAGTTTGACAGGGGAGATATAACTCGGAGACTGACTTCGGTCAAGCTGACAGGGACATCCTTCGCCACGAGGTTTCCTACCGTCGAAGCTTTTTTCCGCATCTCAACCTCGAACTCGCGAGTTTCTTTCCGTTTCGCGTCAACCTTTGCATCTAGCTCCTTCTTGGTAGCAACAAGGTCATCAGCTGGTTGTTTGGCCTATAAGAGATCATAAATTCAAGCAAGCGAATAGATAAACATCAAGAACAACCTTCTTCTTGACTGCGATCTCCTTTTGCACTGCGTTGACCTGCTTGCTGAGGAGATTCGCCTCAAAATCCACTTAAAATCCAATCAGCACACGGGTGTTATGTTCCAAGACCGAGAGCTCTCAAGATCGTGCTTTTGAGAGGGCGATTTGGCTCGCCGATCATGAAAGGTAATCAAACTCACTCTTCACCCACTCCGCATACATATCTATGACCTGATCGACCAGCTCTACCGAGTCTCCTCGTCTCCGCTGCGATTCACGAATTTCCTCGGCATTCCCTCCTTTGTTGTCTATGAAGCTAGTCACGTCAAGTGTCATGGTAGTTAGATTTCTCTTCTAGTTTTGATTAAGGGTCTGGACCGTTGGCGATGGAGAAGACGAGGATCGATGGGATTGAAAAGGGAGATAGCGAGTGCTCGAGATCAAGGGTATGATACAGCTAGTAGCGTCGGGAATCAAGATGCTTCAAGTTGGCTATCCTTTTGATCTTCTTCCTCCTTCAAGTCCTTTCGAGTCATGATCACGTTACGTAAGCGCGATACCTGCATTCACTGCACCGTTGAAACTAGTCATTGCGAGAGACATGGCAGAGAATATAGCAGTCCTTGCCCTACATGTACTAGCGCTTCCAGTACGTGCTCGCATGCAACTTGATGAGCTTCAAATTTTGCTTTGGCGAAAAAAATCAAGTCCATATGACCAAACAACTGTCAACAAAAGATCAAATGTTCGCGTCTGTTGAACTGTTGTAAATTCGGTTTCTGGTGTACGTAGTAGTACATCAGCCACCCAACTGCAGCCTCTATCACTGTATCATTACCCTCGCTTACCCCAGATTATTATCTCTCTCATTTCGCCTGACACGTGCTATACAAATGTTCAAGTTCATACGTCGTGTTTCAACTTCATTTCTGCCACGCCCAGATCGGCCCTGGAGAGATGATGGTAAGTCGTGTTTCATGTCCCAACATGGTGATCTGATGGTCTTTTGAAACTGATTCGCTCTTGTATTACTGATATGCAGCAACGTCCAATGCACCTACGATAGGCCGGAAGAGGCGCTTCAGTTTCGTTGAGGATGATGACGATAACTCTACTTCTACGGGTGTTAAGAAACTAAAGGGGGACTCCACGCAGGCTGAAGGCAGTACCCCTCCAATACCAGCAGTCCCGGATCAAAAGGAAGGAGAGGATGTTAAGTCAGTGACGCAGGGGGTGAAGGATGTGGAATTGGATGGTACGATTCAGGAGTTGGACTCATCCTCCGGCCCCGAGGAAATCCCTCTACCAGATTCTCCCGGTGGAGCTCCACAACCGGACATCAAATCGACAGAAGAAGCAGCTACGGCTCCAGAGGGGAAGGCCGATAAGCAAGGCGCCCAAGATAACTCGGACGCCGATTCGGTGGCTTCTTCATCTGAAGTAGTTTTGGACGAGGGGCAGCCTGAGGATGATTCAAAGGATGATACCAAGACATCTCCTACCTCGGCAGCTGCTTGCCTGCCCGTCGAGGATGTGCCTACCACAGAAGGCACTCCTGCTGCCGATGTAACCCCAGCACTCACAGAGACCGATGTATGACGCGAACCATATTCTTGCTTTTGCAATGTTCATTACTATATCTATCGATGAACACGAGTACGCCCTTGGTGCGTAGATCTAGTTGTTGATGAATGTATGGATACACGATAGATCGCACGCTGGTTGGTGCAGCTAGAGGGTTCTACTAACGACTTACGATACCAATACCTGACGCTGTTTATACGTACTGCTACTAATTCCTCACTCCCCTGTTGCTTGCGATTTACATCAATGTATTCAGGATACCGATTGCTTTGATTGATTTCATGATGAAGGATCTCTGATGCGTGTCAACATGCATGTACAGCCACATGCACTGCATCGTGACAAGAATAATGTTGGTCTTCTAGTACGGTCTCCCCTGAACAGAAGGATGACATTGATAATTATTTTTCATTAGTTTTCTCCAATCGCATTCCTTGGACAGGCTCATGCCATGACGCACATCACTAGCCATGTACACGTGCTGAATATTTCTCGTGAATGTCTATTTCACGCGGCGGCCATGAGTAGGCCTGCATGCAGCCTGGCAATTGCTACTCTTTCATTCGCCTCGTGTCGTTCAATACAGTACTTATGATCCGCTTGACAGGCAACAGGCAAGCACATTTGATTCAGCACCCTATGTTCCGGAGAGGAGAGGTTTGTCGTCATCCTGCTACCTGACTCGGTCCGATGCAGCGGCTGAAATAGTTTGACCATCTATAAAACTGCTAACTCACCACGAACAGTAATCCACAACGGTTTATGAGATACTAGCCGATATGGTAGTACTCGCCTCATGTCATGGGTGAGGCAAACACGCCTTTTCTTGCGCCCGTCAGCCTCCTCACACGATAATCTGCACAGCCAGCCGCCTACTCTCGATGGCAATCGATTTCATTCTACGAGCCTTGATAGTGATTTCGTGCTTCTTACGCCCCCCTTTTCCGTGGAATCCTCACCTCTTCACAGCAAGCGTGCCCGCCCCCACACGGTACTTATACCTGACACTGGTTTCATGCGTCCGAGGTTTCCTTGCACTTACGCTTTACACGTACTTACCTCCATTGATCGTTCAGCGCCCTTACTACCTGTCCACGCCATCGATCACACGCGGGGGCTCTACACTCGCAGGAAAACCTTTTGTAACCACTCACCCAACCCAATCCTCTATCTTGCATTTGCTCCACTACCATGTTCCGCTTCATGGGCTCTGAATTCAACAGCAAGGGCAAGCAGCGTCAGCAAGATGCTGACCCCCAACTTCAGGTACATGTCCAAACCGAAGTTCACTCGAATCCTCCTTCTGCGGAGAGCCAGGGCTCCCAAGCCCTAGGCAGCACATCCTCCCTCCCGACTACGCCCTCAAACAGTAAGCGCCCGCTGCCTCCTGGCCTCCGCGTGCCAACACACCCTTACCCATACTGGCAACATCATACGCCGGCATCATCTTCCCAGAGCAGCCTCGAATCACCTAAAACCCCTTCGCAAGTTTCCTGGCTTGGAGGGGCTGCAGGGACCTCGATTGCTCGTGCCGCATCATCATCAGCACCTAATCTTCTGCCTCACCACTTCCCGCCACCACCTCCCACCTCACCACCAACAAATGTTCCACGCACGCGGACCTTACACCCCACTAAGAGCTCACATTCATTGCGAGTACCGGTGCAGGAGTACTTTGGGCAGCCACTCTCTCCAATTGTTGAGCAGGACTATATGTCACCTGAGAAGCGTACCACGTCATTACCGAGCAGCCCTGATGGCTCTGGTTCTCGTGCGAGTGGTACCACGGGTACTATGATGACACCGATCAGTCCCTCAATGATGACCCCAACAAGTGCAGTGGCTATGTACACCGCACGCCCAACACCCACGCCCACCACCCCGGTCGCTCCTCCACAGTTTGCGAGGCGACGAGAGGATTCGCTTGTTGGTGACTCACCACGTTCGTGCGCGATTTCTAGTGTTTGGTTTCGTAACTCATTGATTTAAGCAGGTTCATCGCCAGTATATTCAAATTTTCTCTCCCGCCCACTGAACAGGTCCATAAGTATGTCGTCGACGAGGACCCACCAGTCTGGCAACTCGTTATCGGCAACACCGCCTGTTATCCCTCCTCTTGATCTACGCCCAGCGTTTCCCGGACCCCTCCCCTCGGACACACTTTTGCCCCAGGATACCGCAGATGACGATGAATCGACGAAACGTGAGAGTTTCGTCACAGCTCGGTCAGCTGGTGCAGTTCGAGAAAGCAGGTACTCTGCTATGCTTCTAGAACCGGATCATGAGCCCCTAGATGATCAGGAACTCCCATCAAGCCGAACCGCGGAGTCATCTAAGGGTTCCCCCGAACATCAACAAGAAATACCCCAGTTACCTCCACCAGCACACACCCACCTACTTACCCGTCCTGCATCGCGAACCTCAACATACCCACCCTCATACTCACTACCACGGCCTCGGGTCAATCACGATGGGATCCCTCCTCCTAGCCAGCGTGAATCTGTTCAATCGACGTCATCTTCATTCATCGACCGTCGCTTTGCAGAATCAGAGCTATATTTCGGCTCGCACACAGAATGCTCTAGCGCGCGCCAGGCCAGCGAGAAATGGACCAAGCAAACTGAGAAATCCGACACCGCCCGGACGCTGTTCTGGCTTGGGTTCATCGCGCCGTGGTGTTGGCTCATCGGTGGATGGCTGGTAAAAGCCAAGAAGAATGATAGCTATGGCCGGGGCGGGAGCATGATGCCCTTGTGGACGGGCAAGAGCGCGCAGACTGTTGACTCGTTTAAGATGCAGCCGTTGCACCACGGTTATCCCTTCGTGGCGCCTTCGGTGCAGAGCTTAATGCCGCCAGCGTACTCACGAGGGACGCATTCGGCACATCCTCGTGGCCCTTTTTTGATGGCAAGGAGTCCGTGGATCAGGAGATGTAGGGTGGCTGCTGCTGTGAGTGGGATTGTTATTATGCTGCTGTTCATCGTTGCCCTGGTGGTCGTTGGGAAGAGCAGCAGTTGAGTCGATTTTTGGACAGCTAATCATGAAGACTTTGTATCTGCATATCGCATATCCTCAAAGTAAAATGAGCAAAACGATCTTTACCGTATAGTACTATATTTCTCCATTGCAGCGTTGATCATTCTGCAAACTTATCATCATAGAGACCTGATTCAGACCTGTAGCACGTCACGAATACTTAGCACTTTACGAATACTTGGCACGAATTCACGAATACTTACGCTTTACGAACAGAGAGAATATGAATATTTAGCAGCGTGTCGGTGTGTGGAAGATGGCATTCTTTGCCAAGCCCTCTGCGGCTGTGAGCTGGTTCTTGAACTTATGTAAGCATCACACCTGCGGGCGTTGCCCAACCCCAAATGCGCCTTCCGATGAATCAGACTCAGAGTGTCCTGACTCTCCACAACCACTATGCCCAAATCACCAGCAGAAATCCTCCTCGAAAAAGCGGATAAGAAGTCAAACTCATCGACTGGATGGTTTTCTTCATCATCGACCAAGTGGGAGGAGGCAGGAGACCTATACCAACAAGCCGCCAACTCTTTCCGGCTCGAGAAGCAATTTAAGGCGGCTGGCGACTCATTTGCAAGAGAAGCGGAGTGCAGAGAAAAGTGCAACGAAACCAACGATGCAGCAAACGCTTGGTGGAACGCTGCCAAGGCGTACAAGAAAGATGACCCTCAATGTATGTTTCCCCGCATCCTTGATGCAGCTCATGCTGATTTGGCTCTGCAGTGGCGATCCAGGCTTTGGGGTGCACGATAATGCACCTCACCAAGGCGGGCAGGTTCCGCCAGGCAGCAGACAGAGAAAAGGAGATCGGCCAAATCTACCAACACGAACTGAGCGACATTGCGAAGGCATGCGAAAGCTTCCAGCGAGCGGCTGAGTGGTATGACCAGGAGGATGCTGCTGCGTATGTACCGTTTTTACAGAGCAGACAGTTACTTACTTTGTTGCAGAACGGCTAGCGCATGTCGTAAGGATGCCGCGGACCTCTGCGCTGAAGTCGAAGATTACAGAGGGGCCATACAGCTTTACGACATGGTCGCGACTTACGCGCTCAAGTCGAACTTGACAAAGTATAGCGTGAAAGATTACTGGTTGCGTTCAGGCCTTTGCGCACTCGCCATGAGAGTATGTTTCTTGTTGATGTGACCCACTCACATGCTAATCATGTCTCAGGATGTTGGGAAAGCACAGCGAGACATCGAGGTGTTCAAGTCGAAAGATGTTACATTCAGCTCAACTCGGGAATGCAAGTTCTTAGAAGATATGTGCGGACTCGTAACGGAAGGCAATGAACAATCCTTTACGTCAGCAGTGTTCGAGTATGACCAGGTTACGAAGTTGGATAATTGGAAGACAGGAATATTGTTGAAGATCAAGAGGTCACTCAAGGACGAGGTAGATATTCTCTGATGGAATGCCATTCGCGGCTCACCTGTATAATATATACGTACGTCGGACGGTTCACCGTATGCCTCTTACTGATCATAGCGCATCGAGCAGGAGTACTAAATGTTAACTAGATAATCAAATGATTCCATTTCATGCATTATACCTACGGGCAGTACATGCATAAGTTGTACTACATACGATCGAGTACCACCGGCACGACCGTCACCTGCTAACTTTCATACTCCTCGCTTCGCCCCGCCCCGCCACTCCGAGATCGACCAGCCTGGCTACACCACTCGAGTCCCAAAGATTGGTCCGAAAGTAAGTCCTACACTCTGAACTGAACATTTTCTTTGTACGACTGAGTATGTACTTTTTTAAGTCAATATTAATGAACGTGCAGAAGCACCTGCAGAGCAACACGAAGGTGAACTCAACGTTCTATTTTAAAACCTGAATAAGGGTCCTTATGGCTTGCTTACCTCTTAAGATCATGCCGGCGTCCATACTCTCGTAAAGCATGCTGAAGGTGAACGCATCCGCACTAGTCTTTCTTCCGAATTCGCAGTTCATACCACCCCAATCCAGGATATGAAGGAACCCACACCAGTGCTAAGCCAATCAAGGAGAGCTTGGTGGTCGATGATTCAGAACAATATGAAGGCAAGTATGACTCGTGCTCTCTTAAACTACATCTCTCATATGTTCCTTAGATTACACGTGGACTCAGACTCATAGCTTCTTTGCGCTGATGGCGGTTTCATGCTTTATGTGGACGGGAAACCCTGCCAAACACTATCGCCCGACCACCTTTTCGCCCTGATACGCACTAGATCTATCTGTGGCTCGACCCTGACGGCAAAGCAGATCCGCGACCGGAGCAAAGGGAATATAATATCAAAGGGGTTGATCCTCATTCAGGGATTTTGGTTTATTCTGCAGCTCCTCTCCCGCACCATCTATCAGCTCGAGACCACACAGTTTGAGATGTGATGCACGTCGTACTTTTTTGATCATATCCAAAGATGCAGGTTGTCACTGGGCAAACATGTATTGCCGTCGTATCACGGGAAGGTATTGCGACTCGGGTCGTGGACACAGGTGTCACAGATAGAGAGAAGAAGCGAAAGCAGCCTTGGTGCTGCTCAGGGACGTTCTCGCGGGAGATGTCAAACTGGAGCAGCAGCAGCGTCGTCGGCCTGCCAAATATTGAGCCATTCACACCACTAAGGTTTCTATTCCCTCAAGACTGCATTTCATGTCATTATACACATATGTCCCCATTGCTATCTGCTCTCTTAGCTATCATATTGCAGCTGTTTACGGTGGAGGAATATCACATAATGCATACCTATTCATAAACACTGTGTTTATTTCCCAGATATTCTCTACAAAGGTTAACGCAGCGCAATGAATGCCTTGGGTTGGTATTTCGAGGCTGAGCATCCGTTGAGGACTTGCGCCATCGCTGTCCAAGTCGAGAGCAGAGATTTAGATCAACGTGGAACGACTGAGAGGGAACTTCGAAGGCAAGTTGAAATCAAATTGACACGTGATGCGATCTACCTCCGAAATACACCAATGCAAACATTCTCGTCCGCTCCTAACAGTTGCCTCAAACGCCGGAATCAAATGACTTTGTCGTGCCCTAGAACGGCGGGAACAAGACTGCCACTTCATTTGAGTCGGGGACAACGTTGCCATCAGATGCGTCATCCCGGATTTTCTTCACCACGGCAGATCCATTATCAAGAAGGAACGGTTGTTTTCAGTTGTTTTCCTTCTATGTGGTCTAACTACAGGAGACTACGGTGAACCACAGGGCCCACAGGGACAACTTTCTTTGATTTTCAATGCTGTGGAATCTCCAGTCGCAGGTCTCTCTTGCTCAATCGAAAGAAATCAATTCCTCTGTCTTGTTCTCGGAGAGACACATTGTCGGTCCCTGTGAAGGACTTGCCGGTCTCGGAGCTCATGGATCATGGTAGATCTGCCCCTAAACACCACACGTCAAGACAAACGCATCCTAGAAGCTCGAACGTTATGACAATACTCAACGAGTTACGACATCCTTACAAGGCAATCTCCTGCTGTGAAGCATATAAATATCGCATGGTTTGATTGTTTGACCTTCATCTCAACTCATCAATCACATTTACTCCAAGTCCCAGACTCTCAGTTCATCTTACCATGACTATCCCACTTCCCGGCACTTACAAGATCGCCAATGCCCATTTCAAGACCAATCAGTTATTTGGCTTGCAAGGTGGAAGTGTCAAACCAGGCACCCCTATCGTTGCCCGCAACAACGCGAAGTACAAGAGTGGCGAGGCCCAAATGCTCGTTAGTGTTGATTAGTTGATTTGGAAACCCAGGATCACAATAAACACAGTGGACGTTGCAAGTGTTGCGCGACGCGAACCCAGGCATGATCGTCAGATTCATCAACGTCGCAGCCGGCACATTTGCTCAACCCCCGGGTGGAGTTCTGAGCAACGTTAGTCATGCATGTTTGTCACGAAGTACTGTTTTGACTCGGCGCATCTTCGAATATGCTAGGGCGGCGGTATCGTTGGTGGTGATGCCGTTGCGGAGTGGCTCCTCACTCCGACCACCACCCTTGGACAGTACTCGTGAGTAATTATCCTGAAAGCTGCATCAAATTGTTGTTCAAGTGACTCACATACGTGCAGGATCCAGACCACTGATGGGACGTTCGCCTGTTCCCTTTCGGACGGCATTGATTTCACTCATGTACGCGCTCATCATGTGTCAGAGGACAATAACTCATGGTTGGCATTCACAGGTGAAGCTCCAGGCCACTAATTTGGAGGACGACATGCAGGCCTGGGTGTTTGCCCCCGCCTAAGTGTAGCTATGAGACAATGACTCAAGTCATAGATTAAATAGCAGATTATGTGAAGCCCCCTGGTTTTAGTTGTTGAGGCCGTGTCTCCAGGAATTCTAAGTTAACAAGGTTCTGCGTCATATATCGAGTTCTTGATCAAATATGGATTTGTATTTTGGTTCTCTATGGCGCTGGATCACCATGCATTCCACAATCGACCGTTCAAGTTGCCCTACTATGTTGGCGCCATTTTGCGCGAGTGCACTTCGCGGAACACAGAAATGGACATCGTTCATCTCTATAGTGTCGCCATGATTTTAGCTGCGTGCTTCTAGAGGATGGGACATACCCAATGATGAGAGCAGCAGCAGTCTTGATGTACCGTCCCTCTCCAAGTGGATTCTTCGGAATTGGGGAATTGGGGAAATTTATTACCAGAGCTGAGGGTTTTGGTGATGAAGACATGGCCTGCGCCGATAACTGGGGCAAATAAAGTCGAGTAGTGAGCGGCGATAGTTAAGCAATGTCGAAGAATGGGGGTGAGGATGGTCACTATCGGACACAGTACGACGTGCAGTGCGCATCTCTGATATCCTGACTGTCACCTCCACCTGAGCGACGCATTATAGGAAGCAGCGATTCGACTATGATTCGACTGTACCACCGGTAACCCGACTAGTGGTCACCACAATTGCGTTGGAAGTAACACAAGGTGACGCCAAACTACATAATGGAAACCAACACACCCCTCAAGATTGCCCGCACATTGCTCTTGAAAACAGCGTCCAAGAACAGGGCGTACAAGCTCCTGCAATAGATGACCAGTAGCCCATTAGATTCGCCCCTAGAAACGCTATAAAACCACCTGGATAAAATATCGGGATGGTCAGCGCAGAACTCTCCTGAAAACCAACGAGATACACCTACAAACTATCAGGTTCGTCCACGAGAAGATGAGGGTGATGTATGCCATGGAGAGCAAACGAAAAAGCCGAAATACATGCGAGGTATCTTCCCCGGTTGTTCCCACATTTAACGTCAATGACAGCATGCTAAACTCTGGAGGATTTTCTACCGGGAACCTGTTCTTGGGCCAGGCTCGAGCTGGCCGCGAGAAACATCCCTCAGTAAATCAGCGCCAACATGATCCACAGGACGATTGGTAGAACAGCTCTTCGTGAGCGTCTTTTGAAATACTGTCGACGGTTTAGATACTAATAGGTTATTTTAATATGCATGCATAAGTCACAAATGGGTCAGTCAATATAGAATGAGGATTAAGAATATACGCACGCCCTCGGTGATCCCAACCCTCGGACGAACCATAAGATCATACAGCCCTTGGCTCACCTCCTTCCACACTTGCTCGTGATTGGGCCTGTCGAGAGTGGTCGAGCAAACTCTAGTGAAGAAAACTCGAGCGTGGGGCTGGGCTGGTTCCTCGTCATTTTGAGATCTGAATGCCGATCTCTCTGTGGGGCTTGTAGTCACAGGTCTGTGTCGGGTCTTTTGGGATGTCGTTGCCCAATCGAGAGAGGAGGAAATAGTGACAAAGTCGTCTATATCGGTATTGGACACGGTTTGAAGTGGCTAGTGATGGATTCACAAGTTGTGAGAGGACGTTGGTGTGAGTAGCGGGACACCTACCTCGGATTGATATTGTAGATCAAAAACCAGAGAGCGAGGCGCAAAAGTGGGGAAAGCGCGAAGGAGAAGAAGAGAACGAGTAAATTGTGAATCTCCAAAGCGCTGATCCTTCAAGGGAATGCACGGACCTGGTTTTTCACAGTACTAGAGTTTTGCTAGTAAGGCGGAAGCACCGGAGCAGATGATTCCGTGCGAAGGACAAGTGCGTTCACTGATGGACATGACGAGGCCAACAGGAGCAATCCTTTTGTTCGGATAGAACTCGAACAGCAATAGGGATGTCGGGTTCTTCAGAGAACGAGGCGGTTATGGCGATGCGTGAGGCAGCGTTCATTATCAAGGTGGTTATGGCGATGTGTGAGGCGACATTACATTATAATGGTGAATACCGTCAGATGCACTGGCTAACCAGAACCAGCTTCATGTGCACGGCGATACTACGAGTCAAGCACGCACCTTCAGCTGCATGGGAGATGTTCAGGGCACCCATCGAGTTCCGAAATGTACATTCGGAGGACCTACATGTTACTGTGTTTGCCATATATTCCACAGAAATGATGGCAAAGTCTACATGCGGTTGATCTGGTCGTGTGCGAGCGACCGCCTGTAGCATGGAAATACGGAATGCCAGCATCCTGTATGAAAGATCAGAACCTACTATGTAGTATGAACCGTTGGTTGCTGCGCTGCAGGCGTAAGATACATTATTATCAGAATTGTTGTGAGGTTACATCAGTAACGTGGTTAGCCAATGAAAATCGTTTATCGTTTATCAGCTTGAAATGGTTCTTTCTAGACTAGGAACGACTGTCACGCTTCCGAACTTCTTGGCCGAACAAGTACTTCTTCTCAGCCTTCAACCGAATTCCCTGCTTGCATATGAGCAGCTTTTCTGGGTCGGCATCTGAGACTGAGTCACGACGACGCGTTTTAGACCTCTTTCTAAGAGGTATCCAGAAAGCCATGTCTCATACGTATATTCGGCATGTGGCAGTGTCGCACACCATATCCTCGAGGCCTTTAAGCCAAACCACAGACGCTGGCAGGCAAACATGATGGAATGATGGGCCACTAGCGTCAAATTTTAATTAAGTACTCCCGTGAGGTGGCGTTTGTTTACCGAATAGTGAGTGAACGACGTTTGATATAATAATGTCGAAACCTCCTCCCAAAAGTATTCAATAATGCGCTTTCTTCTCTGCGTTTTCTACCTCGTTCAAATAATCCAAGCCGCACCTACTACTAATTCAACTACTATCGGTAGTGGTTTTGAAGCGCTATTAACCGTGGACGAGAGAACCCGGTGGAGCATTATCGTGACCTGCACTCTGACTTTTTTCGCGTGTATATATAGCGCCATTCATCCCAATATTCCGAGTCCTCATGACAGCGACTTTCGTATTCAATGGCGACGGTTTGGCCTCATGGTAGTCGCACTACTCGCTCCCGACCTGATCGTTGGATGGGCTCTGCGCCAGTGGCTCTGGGCTCGTCATATTACAGCGCAGTTTAAGGAGTATTTCAGTCTTCATCCCAAAGACTGGTCTCAAAGTGAGTCCTACACTCTGGACACGTTCGTTGGACGACCCAGCATGCACTTTTTTTTTTAGTCAATGAGCGTGCTGAAGCACCTGTAGCGCAACACGAAGGTGAACTCGACATTCTATCTTGCATCCAGAACATTGTTGCTGATGGCTTACTTACCTCGTAAGATCACACCGACCCCCATGCTGTTGCAGTGTATACTGAAGGTGAACCATCTGGAGCTAGTGCGAAGTCACACAAGGAGAACTTTGTGGTCGATGACTCCGAACAACATGAAGGCAAGTTTGACTCGTGCTCTCTCGAACCCATCTCTCATTTGTGTCCTTAGATTACACATGGACTCAGACTCACAGCTTCTTTGCTCTGATGGGCGGTTTCATGCTTTATGTGGACGGGAAACCCTACCAAACACTATCACCTGACCACCTTCTCCATCTGATACAACATGGGTCTATCTGTGGTCCGACCCTGACGGAAAAGCAGATCTCCGACCGGAGCAAAGGGAATGTGATATCCAAAGGATCAATCCTCCTACAGGGGTCTTGGTTTACTCTGCAGCTCCTTTCCCGCGCAATCTATTACCTCGAGCCCACACAGTTTGAGGTGGGGACACTCGCGTTCGTGGTTCTCAACTTCATCACCTATTCTGTGTGGTGGGATAAGCCTCTGGATGTGGATTGTCCGCATCCAGTCTACTGGAAGTCAACCAAGCCAAAGCCAGAGATTAAGTCTTATGAGTATGTTTGCACCTCAATCAATTCTACCGCTACTGATTATATCACTCTTAGTATCTCCGAAAATGATGATCTTCCGCTGCCTATGGAGATCATGGTTGTTTTAACCGGTGAAATGATTTTGAAATTATTCGGCATTGATGTCTTGTCCCCTCGAAAGCTACGAGTTGCGACGTTTGATGGCATCCACAACGTTAAACTAGAACCCTGGGAAAGCAATGCTCTGACATTTGGTGGATTTGGAATCGCAACCGTCTTTAGTGGCATCCACTGTATCGCTTGGCCTTATGTCTTCCCATCATACGAAGAACAGCTCTTATGGCGCACGAGTGCCGCCACTATAACTATCATACCCTGAATTGGTTTTGCGGTGGGCTTCAGTCTCTTTAGATGGAGAGTCAAACAAAAGGATTCGATCACGTTTAAAGTCTTGCTCTTAACGTGTCCTGTGCTGTATATCATGGCGCGTGTCAGCCTTTTCATACTTATGTTCACCACATTACGCAATCTTCCTCCTATCGCATACAAGACAGTGTCGTGGAGTAATTTGGTGCCGCACTTGTAGTACTTGTCATACATTTCATACTTTATGATTATAATGTCAGGGATGCAGGTTGACGCTCGGGACTGGTCAGAAATTAGAATTCGACTGGCTTATTGATGGTTACAACGACCTGGAGGATGGTCACCCCTAGAATGACCAAGCTTCATATTCGGTACACACTTATCCTGGTGCGATGATTAGGACAGGCTGGTCTTCCGTAGATGGTGCGAATGAGTCGGTCATTGTTTTGGAAGGGTGGTGGTCGAACTTTGGGCCGTACTTTTTGGTGCCGTACACACTCAAGCCCTCTGCGGCTGTGTGAGCTGGTTCTTGAACATATGTAAATATCACACCTGCGGGCGTTGCCCCAACCCTTCCGATGAATCAGACTCAGAGTGTCCTGACTCTCCACAACCACCATGCCCAAATCACCAGCAGAAATTCTTCTCGAGAAAGCGGATAAGAAGTCAAATTCATCGACCGGATGGTTTTCTTCTTCATCGACCAAGTGGGAGGAGGCAGGAGACCTATACCAAGTCAATGGTTCAGGATGAAAAGAACACGCGGCAGCGTGGTAGTTACGCAAGGCAAGGAACATGCCGCAGGCGTTTGCATACCGTCATCGGGCGACAATGGCTTGACAGGGCGGGACTTCTAAGCTTCAGTGCGATCATGACCGCGATCAGGCAAATGGTACTTTGTTGTCGTGGGGCACGCTGATCTGGCGGGGGAGGATGACTAGGCGCGTGCCACGGGGCACGGCGGCTGTGAGGTGACACCAGACAGCGTGCGCTCGTCGTGGTCGGCGACGTGCGGAGGTCTGTGGGCAGCGAGGAACCCAGCGGGAAGGGAAATGAGGTTGGGACGTACTTAGTTTACATAGCTGAGCAACATATTATCGCGTTCTGAACACGGAAAATATGTGCCATCATCCCTAAAAACAACTGACAACGGTACCATGCCCCATGAGCCCACCAGAATGTGGTTTTGCATGGGGCACGCTGTCCTGCAGGAAAAAAAACGGGCTCCTGTGAATAACAGCGTGCCCCATGAGCTGCTAAACCCTCTGGACTCTCATGGGGCACGCCGTACTCACCCGAGATGCAGGAACGAGTTTTTTCGCGGTCGAGAAGCCCGTTCGGTGTGGGTATTGATGTGAATAAGCACACGGAGCATCAGGGAAACGTATGTTATTACCTGTAAGAGTGTTTCAGAGCGCTACAAAGCGCTATGCAGCCCAATTAAACGCGCGTTCGGTGTGGGCATTGATGTGAATAAGCACACGGAGGCATCAGGGAAACGTATGTTATTACATGTAAGAGTGTTTCAGAGCGCTACAGCCTACAAAGCGCTATGCAGCCCAATTAAACCCGCTGATGGGACCCAACAGGCAGTTTTTTGCGGCCAAAAAATCAGGCCCATGCGCGGAACGAATTCTACGTACTTTACATAGCTAACCACAATTTTTCCGCATCCAAAATGACGCGGAAATGGGTGTTTTCTTCCTCCCAAACATCTGTGTGGCTGACGGCAGGTTAGGGGGACGTCATAGCCACAATTTCCTTTTATATTTTTTGCCGTGCCCCAGAGCGATCTAAACGTTGCTTTGTCTTTTTCCTCTTGTCTTTTCCCTCTATGCTGCCACCTTCATTATAGTTTACGCCCCGCTCTGTGCATGACAATCAACATCTATATCTGTCCCTGCACGAATTCCCCCATACGAACTCTCCCATCTTCGTTCTGTGATTCCACGCACTTACTTAGTCGATCATATCAACGTGCAAATCATGGCGTCGTCTCGGCCTCGATTTCCTCGTCCGCTAGCTGTTTTTCAATGACCCCTCGAAGCTCCGCTCTCTTATCTCCCTTCTCACTTCCAATCCCTCACTGCGGTGGTGGACACGCCATTTACATATAATTGACTTTCTCTACGAGCGTGATCCCTCCCTCGACGATTTCGAAGCAGTCCTTACAACCGTACTCACCCAGACTCCCAACCTAGAGATTTTCATTGTCGACTGGCCGCTATCAAGGGCATTTGGACGCATCGCGGATATGCTGGGTACGCATTGCAAGAACTTGCACACTGTTCACTGGCACGTCCCCGCCGAACTCCTTCCCAAGGTCATATGGGCATTAGATGCCCTCCCGCTCCTAGTTTCCCTTGCCCTCGAATTCGGTGCACCACTCAAGGATTCTGACACGCTCACCCCGGGAAGCGCACAAGATGTCAAGCTCCATCTCCCAAATCTCCAGCAGCTCATCCTGCGTGGGTACTCTGCCGAGTTCATCGAACAAGCCAACGGCTGGACCCTCCCCCTCCTACGCATCTTCGACTTCGACTTTGGCAGCAAACTCGAAGACAAACTCGAAGACGTTCCCGATGTCCTGTCCTTCCTCAGCACCCACGGCACCGGCCTGCTCTTTCTCGACCTCCACTGTATCCCAACAATCGATATCCGCACAGTACTATGCCCCCTCCTAACCGCTTTCTCTTTCAACCTCGACTGGAAGATCGCGCCCATCGACAACACAGTAGACGGGCCCATCGTTCTCACTAATCGTCCACACGAATACATCGCGCACAGCTAGCGCTTATGCCACCCCAGACGCTCTTCGTTCTCTCCTAGTACAGTGTACTAATGGCAGGAATTTCGCGGCGCTCACAAAAGCGAGTTTCCCAAAACTTGCGTGGGTGCGTGTTTTGAGCCCGATAGTGCTCACGGATCTCGACTGTGCAAATGGGCCGCATGGGGTGGGATAGAGCGCTGGGAGAGATGGGCGGGAATGTGCGAGGGCATGGGTATTCGTCTGGAAGACTGCACGAGCGCTCTGTTGGGCACATTACCTCAAGAGTATGAAGAGGAGGATGAGGACGACGAAGACGCAGCGTTGTCGAAGGTGAGAACGCGACGAGACATGATGTACAGGCGAACGAGGAACAAGATTTCATTTTGACTTTATCGCAATGATTTCGCATCATGTTTAGTATAGCACATGTACAGATGTCAGTAACTTATGGCAGAGAAATTGTATGGAGAGTGACCAGTGTCTTCAATCGAGCAGAAAGTCTAAGAGGAGCGAAAATACTGGGACGAGAATTGTGAGAGTGAAATTCAAGTTGAAGTAGGTCAAGTTACAGTGATAAGCACTCAATAGGAGTTTTGGTTCTACTAACCAGCTTTGAACTTGGAAGGTAAACGACCCATGACACCACACTTTATGTGCAAAGTGCAATGTCGTGGGTCGTTTACCTTACAGTAGTACTTAATTGTGCTGTTAGCATATGTTCGGAGTGTTATAGAGTAATATATGCGGAAGCATTCCCCTCTACCGTCTGTACAGCGCGGACGGCACGGATCACTTCTACACTACATCCTTATCGGAGGCGGACAACGCTGTTGCCAAACTTAATTATGCCTCTGAGGGTATTGCGGCTTACGTACTTCCTGTTCCACCTAGCGAATGAGCCTGACCACCGAACGTTTTTTTTCCATTGATTGAACTGCGTACGAAGTTTTTTAAAGGACATGCGTTCAAGTACTGTACATGTTTACATGTTACTAAGGCGTACATAGTCGTGGTTGTTTGCAACATTTCTACTTGGTCTCGAATGTAGCTTGGTCCTATTACTGCGTTGATATAGGCTACTCGATATATAGCAATGTTCGATGTCTGGTCAATATTAATTGGTCGCTGGTCAGATGTAGTCCTGCAGCGGAATCTGGGTCTATGCGCCATCAATCAATTGTCTGCGGATAATTGTCAACGGTTCACTGCAAGTCTCCCGTTTCCAATCGCACTTCCTTCACCCGCTCGCACCCCTGGCAAAGGCCGATCAAATAAACCATTCCAAGGATGTCGACCTAATAATGCGTTACATGTCCCGCAAGCTAATGAGGAAGTGCTTCACTCGCACCTTTTTGAAATCGATGATAGTATGTTTTAACTAGTCTCCCTAACCAGACCATAAAGAAGAACGGTACTCGTTCCTTCTAATGCCATTATAAAATTTCATGCACTTTCCATACTGACATCCCGCCGTCGTAGACGGCGAATCAATATGGCACTTGGTGGCGAAGACCGAAAGTCTTTTTCTTTTGAGCCTCGAAAGGCAGGATGAGTCTATTGTGAACAGTGAGTGTAACATGAATATTGAACACAGATAAGTGAAGACGAATCACATCTATACTCACAGCTCCATCCTTCTGCGTCCTGCATGATTTTGAGTAGAACGAAGGCATTCACATCAATAACACTCGTTGCTGCCTTTATATTGGCAGACACAAACTTGGCAAAGCTTTGCCTACAGAGGCAGACTCAGGTAAGCTTCAAGTTGAGCACATCATTCTTCTCGTGATCGTCATCATCCTGTGCGTGGGGCAGGAGTACGGAGAGACGTCGAGCGCATCAGTGGTAACCTCGTACGTGATAAGTAGGGAAGCGGAAGCGGTTCCAATGCATTTCTCACAAGTTTCTCACCCTACGTATATACGCGTCTTGAACTTCTCCCCTTCAATTTCTTGAACAATAATTCGCTGCCGCAACCTCCCGCACTGGTACCACCAAGTGCTGGACACACCCGCACCAAAGGCACAGGGCCTCTTTGGCCAGGGTTTGAGGTTCAACGTTTGAGGCTAGTTTCTTCCGCTTCTAGCTGTCGTAATTCAACTATTTGCCATTAGGTCCCTGTTCAGACTTACTTGCTTGACCCACTTTCCACTCACGAGCAAATTCCGAGTCTGATATGACACTATCAACCCCTTCGCGAGATCTCCGAGTTTCGACAGAGCGACCCCTTCGCATGACCATATTTCCGACATCTTGCACTGTTGATGAGGAGATCATGGTAGTTGATCACACCTCACACAACAACAAACAGTGGGACGTGGACGCACTGATGTCTTCTAATGGTGTTTCCTAGCGACACTTTGTACTATACATTGTTGGTGGCGCTTTGGAAAATTTACCAAGTGGCAGAAGTGCCGCTTCTGCCGGTTATGCTGGCACAACACAATCGATCTCCCGCAAACAATTCTGCCCCCAGCAATAATCATGACAATGAAACTTCCGCAACGGACTGATCTGCACCAGTCACTAGGCGACTGCCACGCAACTTATCACCGCTGTTTCCTCGAACCTGTCTAATAATTAGCGCACTGGTCCAGGGCTCCCGCGTGAGACATTGAAGCTCTCGACAGCTCCCGGCTGAGGGTCCGCTTGCCCCGATCTGAACAGGTATTACAGTAATCGTGTTGTTTGTGGAAGTCGAGCAGACCTGTCAGAATGTATAAAGAGTCCTCTCGAATTTCCAGTGTAGTACATTGACGCAGTAGTCACTTCTCTTCTCTTGTCTCTAAACATGCAACTTTCTGTGCTCTTTAGCGCGCTTGTGTCTTTCGTCATTCTCGCCGCAGCGTCACCCACGGCTGAGAAACTTTCCTGTGAGCATTCATGATCATCAGCATTATCATAGTTACTCAGATGCCTCAATGTATCACTCAGCTAAACGAGAGGAACTTGAATCCAAGTTCGTGGACTACCAGGAGCGCGAGGAACTTAATATTGTAGTCGGGACCTACCACAAGCGCGAGGAGTTGGAGGACAAGTTCGTGGACTACCAGGAGCGCGAGGAACTTAATGTTGTAGTCGGGACCTACCGCGAGCGCGAGGAGTTGGAGGACAAGTTCGTGGACTACCAGGAGCGCGAGGAACTTAATATTGTAGTCGGGACCTACTAGTACCACAAGCGCGAGGAGTTGGAGGACAAGTTTGTTAGATAAGTATGCAGTGAAATGAAAAATGGTACCAACTACTATCTACCATGTCATGGATCGGTACACCTTGATTTCTTGGATTCGAGCCACTGGGAACTGGAAACAAGCCTTGTTTGATATCATCGTCTTCGGTGATCTCAGTGAGCATCTGAAAGATGAGTTCTTCAGATACCTGCCTGCAGAATGATTCACTCGCCTGTGTGGTACGAGGCTAAATTAACGGGATCGGCGGGAACGAAATTACTCGAGGACACCGGGGAAGAATTTTGACATAGTAGACTCGGAACTTATTCAGCAAACAACGCACAACCGAATGCGATTCCCAAGTACCCGCTTTCGGTCGATAGCGCACAATAGTGAATGATCAGTGCATTCTTTTCTTCTGGTCTAAATGTGCAAACCTTTCTGACATTCTGGGTCACATCGATCTACATCACATTTGTTTTAATACAGTTCTTCCAAAGACCCCAATGACCACTCTCCTCCCCAACTTCCAAGGTGAACAAGTGGAGTGAGTAAGAATAGTATGATTCCTTGTAAATCATACATCGAGGTTGAGTTTGGGGAGGTCAACCGTATCTTCAAAGCGAGTAACCTCCGATTCATTGATATGAATAGCGTGCTCGATATTCCAATTCATGATTTTCTCGATGTTCCTGCATTGATGACGGGTGTTGAAGTTAGGGTAGGGGACGCTGTGTCCCTGCACCCAGTCCCATGTGATCATCGTCACGTCGGCACTGCACATAATATTCTGCCTGATCATTTCGAGGCAGTGATCTGGAGCATAACGGGATATTATAAGCAATAGTGCTTCTAGCCAGAAATGATACCCACCAAGATGCAGACGGATGATTTTGGGGCTGTCCTGGAATGAAATATCTATGGGCCCATAATACTCCACCCAAGAGGCTTTGCGAAGCAAGTTCTACCCAAGTGTGAGCCAAGAACGATCAGATTGTCGGTGTAGTATGGCTTGCCACACAATGCAATTGATGGCTGTATTCCATAGAGGCCATGTAACCTCCACCAATTTTGTCCGGAAACCTGACTTTCGAACGCAAATCTGTTTCGCCTGCTTTGAGCATCTCCTCACGGGTCATTCGGTTTGGTCCCTCTGTTTTGCGGAGGTGAACAATTACAAACTAATATAACGAGACCAACGACGCACCATTACTACGAGTTATTTTACTCCAAGCGAGATCTAGTTCTGGGGAAGGGGGGCCACGATAGATAGAAGGAAAGTCGAGGGTTCCGTTAAACCTTACAAACATGGGCTCGACAGCATCATGTGCCGGGGCTATGCTGGATCAATGACTATACCGTTTGACGCTGGCTATTCACTCACAGTATACAGGAATGTCATCACGCAGGTGAGTCGAAGGCGTGCGCATCCATAGCGTGAAAAAGAGCATCGATGCGCAAATAAGTGCGCCATGGCCCAACCACAGGCGGAGGACACGCGACTTACCACGAGGTTCTGCATCGAACCTTTCTGCATCACCAAGTAGTTTCTCGTCGTCGTCGACAGCATCAACGGGAGAGTACTGTGTGAAATCTTTGACCATGACCTTTGGGTAAAGCAACACTGTCTGTCACCGAATGCGAGGAAGCAGGGACAGTTGTGGGGGACATACAAGCACTTGAAGGTAGTACTTGCTCTGGGTCCGAGTCTATGTAGTAAGAGCCTTTGTGTGAAGTGTCAGCTGGACTTGTCTTAAGTGCTGACATTAAGATCATCATATACGTAGCGTGTGTTATATAGATGAATCATAGGCCTTGGTAGGATATCTGTGGTTTTTGCGGCTTCGCAACTATTTGTATTCGGTGCATTCTAGGTGGGCCAAGCAAATCCAACGACGTGGCAAGTTGGACGTTGAACTTCGGAGATTCAAAGTCACCAAATGCAGCATTGACACGTCCACTCATTCGAGTTCCTACAACCTTCTTAACATAACTTACTGACGTGGCGGCTGTTTCGAGACGGAACTACGATGAGTATGCGCATTCCATGATGTAGGCAGCTACGCAACTCATCATGGCTTTGCCACATAATTTCAAGCATCACCAGCGTTTGCAAATCGTTTGCAACACTCGTCGTTTGTGCCCAAGCTTAGACTGGATGTTATTTGTCTACCCGTATCAACGAAGATGGACTCCTAAATAGCACATCATTGCAATTATGTTGCTTTCATAGATATGATGCGGCCGCTCGCAGCTATAAAGTGCATATTTCAGTTGCGTAAACATCAACCCACGGTGGATGGTACGAACCATGATGACCAAGGTTACATGCTACTGGCAGATGTGTACCGTGACCCGTGGGCCTCCGAAGCACACCACTGAGGGACGAGTGGTTTGAGAGGACTTGACACAAACCTTCACGGCGAGTGTAGGGCGCATAAAAGAATCTGGATCCATGACCAGAACGAGAGAATGTATCACTGTACAACTGGGAGCAGAGCACTAGAGAGTATGATGGATCGTACATACTATGGGAGGGGATATTGCAATCTCGATGTACTTTTGTGGTCGTGGTCGTGATGGCTGAAGCTGAGAGCGTTAAGGATAGGCACTAGTACTGATACGGGTGGGGCGGGATGGCATAAAATTGGGCCAATTTCCCCAGAGTCTGTGACTGACAGACTTGCCCCCAGAAGTACTGCCCACTTTCACCATCCCGGTCAACGTTCAACCACTGGCATCACGGGCGCGTAGCCCAAAGTTGGGAAATTAGAATCAACGCCTACAGGAAACTAATATGTCCCGTATACTGACCCTCGCAGGTACACGACTAGGCAACTGCTGTGGACTTGATCACTGCGACTCACGAGACTGATGTACGTGTAAGTACTAAGGAACAGGAAGCGGTGGGTTACATTTGGTTTCTAATTAGCGTGGTTACTGGAGTGAAGTACAGAAAATAAATGTATGACGAATTAGCTATGTAGTCGCGACCACCGCACATGTACTTTCATGGATTGAGCCGCGCGCATACTTCTTTGGACATGTTCAAGCTGTGACTGCACATGTGTGTACATTACTAAATAGTCGTTGCGGTTTGCGTCTTCTAACATTTCATTATGTAAATTTGGTCTCTGTTGAATGTAGCTTGGTCCGACACTACATCGATATGGTCTTACTCGAGAAGTGACAGCGATTGATGTCTGGTTGGTGAGTCCAACTACATGAAGTAATACATCAATGCTTATGACGCTAGGTCCCTCATCGAGCCCAAGAAAGTTGTTATGTACGAGCATCACACAAGCACAATAAAACAGCCTTCATGGGCCATATCGACTCTCCCACTCCACTTCGACCGTGCATGCATTGTGTCAGGTGCAGGTCCTTACTAGATTAAAGTTGGGATTCCCTTCCAATCAGCATGGTCGGTATTACAGGAGGTCAATTGATCGTGGATCTCCCCGTTCGATTATAGTTCCTCGTTTGCACAGCTCTCATGTATCCATGGGACTGGAACCACGACCAGGTGAGTGCGTGAATGTGTCAATATGGATGTTGACGTAGGTCGCACTTCGCTTGCATTTTTATATAGAATACTTCAACCATTGTGCCTGAGGCCCTGCCTACTTGTTAGACCTAGCGCTTCACTTGTTGGTGTCAAAATTTGATTTAGGTGATATCTTCCAGCGTGCATCTAGCCTTACTCATTCAGAATATGATTCTCACACAGACTTCCACATGTTGGCTTAGGGGGCCTGCACCGTGACCTTATTTATGTTCCAGGATGGACAAGTCAACAAGTCATGTGGGAATTTTCTTATCTGTAGAACTTCCTCCAAGCCCATGCTCCACCATTTAACTTCCTCTTTTGCAGATTTAGTTGAGGTGTTCACTCCGAGTCTTCTGTCTGAACATAAGCACCGAACAACATGAGCACCCGCGCACACAACGAGATTCCAAGTATAGTGGGTAAGGTCTCACAGTTGATAGTCTGGAATTTCACGCTGTTGCGCCACCGTATGAAGTTCTTATATGCGGAAGTTGGGAGTTCAATTGATTGCCTTTGACACCCACTTCAAGTATCCAATGTCCTTGGCACAGCCGGCCCTGGCTAGTCTTCAAGTCAGTGACTACCTTTCCCGTCAGTAATTCCTTCGTCTTTACATCTGCGGGGTATTTGATTAAGACCTCAGTCACTGCTTCTGTCGTTGTCACGTATGACTTCTGTAAGCAAGGAGCCACAACTTTTTTTTTGTCATTGACTATCTGACAGTGCTCCTGCTTGGACGCGAGGTAACTTCCGGTCAATGTAATTGCATTGTAGGCTGATCGTACCGCCATAGGTTGAACTAGTATGGGTAAGTCGTTGGGATAACATGTCTCTACTACAAACCCACTTGGGATCGGTGCTTTAGAAGCGCCCCTGGAGTCTGATGTCCTCGCTTTATGTCGTGGTCAGTCCCTTCATTTGCTCATTTTGAGTCTAATAGCAACATCGATAACATCAGGTGCGATACCTTGGTCTGGCACTTGCGATGTCCGTGTCCTTCCTCTCAAGTAATTAACTCATCTAATACCTGTGCAGCATCGATTCCTTCTGTAAGCCCAGAATTCCTGATGATGTCGGGGTCTCACGGCGTTCTAGGGGGAGGTGTCGTAAATATGACCTCTGAAACGTGCGTTTATCTAGCAAAATGTACAACGGTGCACTAATTGTTGACTAGTTGTAAGCTGCTATATAATTGAGAGATGGCCACTACACTATGTGTACCTAGGCCTATGGACGCTACAGCTCCTGAACTGGGGAAATTTCGTGTTTATGATTGCCATGGAAGGTATTTAATTGTGTTTCTTATGCAACATATTTTCTGGACTCAAAACTCTACAGGCATCATGGTCCTACGAATATATGCTATGTATAGCCAATCGAAATTAATATTGGGCGTTCTACTGGTGTTGTTTCTGTCAGTCATGGCTCTGACGCTAGCAATCGGCATCAAATATTATGGACCACATAGTGGGCTGATTCGTGAGTATGATTTCGTATGTAAGTTTCCTGCTGATTCCGGTGACATAGTTACACAGTTCTCGGCCCTCAATACGAACTTCTGCTTGGACGCGCTGGGCACCGATCCCATGTTCTTTGTATACGCATCCATTCCATCTGTTTTATTTGATGCGTTGCTCGTCGTCCTCGCAACAACTCGCCTGGTCAAGCACACAATCGAGATGAATCAAGCAACCGGTGGATGGAGAATAAACCACTCTATGAAGATGATAGTGCGTGATAGCGTTCTATACTTTGTATTGTGAGACATATCTCTCTATGGTGAAGCCTCGAACTGACTATTAACCACAGAAATCTTGCATACAAGGTATTGAACCTTATTCCTCTTGCGAACATACCAGTAAGTGCTCAATGTGTGCCGCAAACTGCCAGCGGCATCTGATTCTTGCACGTTTCAAAGGTGGTGTGCACGTCATTAGCTGAACTGTTTTGCGCGATCGAGCCTTACGTTCTTGCTCCTCGTTTGGTGATCAACTTTCGAGAGTATAATATATGCACACGTGGATTGATGACGAGTAGTGACTTCATGGGACCGCTTCTAGCCTCCAATGTGGTACGGACGGAATATGAGCTAAGTCCTATGAGTCCTGGTCCAGACTCGAAATTTGACATCGAAAGGGATGCGTGACGGGGAGAGTCGTAATGTTCCTGCTAGGCTCTAGCATATATATATGTGTGCAACCGTTTCACTAATTCACCATATGTACATTGTTTTTGGACCCGGCAGGGCCGTCGTGGTAGCCAGACTGCATTTAGGGTGTTACCACTCAATACTCAGCCCTGTCCAACCTTTGAATTCCAATGAGACAAGTCGAGGAAAGTAAGGAGGCAACTTCAAGTGTCATGATCGAAATTATTTTCTGGATTTCCATTTTTTATGTAGATAAAATTTCAAAGGAATGTCCTGCATAGCGTACAAAAGTTCGCCAGCCACAGGAAATACAGAACGATCAAAATAGATAGAGCTCTTCACGCCCCTGGGTTGAAATACATGATTATGGAAAAATGGGAGGCACTCACCATATTTCTCGCCCCATTCGGTGAAGGTGAGCCAGGGCTTGATGTGAGGTATGCTCGAGATATTTCCAATGAGGCCACCCAGGGGGGGAAGGAGTCTTGTTGAACATCTGATTTACCAAATACACTTCGGCACCAAGTTAAGAGTACCTGGAGTGTGTAGTAGACAATCCGGGGTCATCTCGCAGACATTATATAGCTTTCTCATTCTCTTCTTGATCTTCTCGTCTGAAAAAAGAGATAGTAATTAAATTTGTAACTCATGATAATAACGTCAATCATCGACGAGTTTCATGAGTGGCTCACTTTATCATAACACCTTTAGCACATGGGCCAACCTGCACTCCTCCCCCAAGTCATAAGTCCCGCCGCAGAAGAAATTGCTAGTACATGTTGAGTACATGGAGCGATAAGCTCTTCTCCCTTGTGGCTGTTCGAGCAAGCGTAGCAACACCGTTGCGACCTTGAGCTGCATTGGTCTTGTCTTGCTAAGACATAAAGACATTGCAGGCAAACAAAGCGATAGCAAGAAACAGTGCCTTCAAGGCGAGCCAAAACGAACTTCGAGGGTACATTTGAGGGGCATGATAGGGTGTGAGGTGCTTTTGTGACTAGGCGCGGGTGGAAATGGTATCTTCGAGTGCTGCATTCAGCTCTTGCTGGAGAAGCGGGTTAAAGCGTGAACTAGCACTCCCGCTAACAAGTGCGCCGTAGCGCTGATAGGTATAACTTGTGCGGTGGCGCAGGATGCTTCTGGACATGGCCACCTGGTACTTGCGAGGCGAGATGCACGAGTACCTGCGTGAACCGCAGGGTGCTGGAATCAACGTCAGCTTCGATTCCTGGCAGTGAGGATTCTCCGCGGCACTTCGAATGCCACGCCGCGATATTCAATCATTGAGCTGGCACCATTACATAATTTGTAATGTCGTTTCATCCCTGGAAGTCCTTGGACTCGGAGCTGGCAATTCACCACAGGAAGTTGAGCACAACAGGACTGCAGCACAGGCTTCCATAGCCTTAGATATTCCTGTTCATGCATCCATTACGAGATCTGAAATGGCTTGCCACCAACTTGGTTGCAGCACAGGAAGCCCGGGCGTCAAATTCCAATTATAAAACGACCAAGGATGTATGGCCGATATCTCCACAAGCTTATCTCGTCACCTTACAAGTATGAGCAGATACGCAGGAATCGTACATCACTCCCCAGACCAAAATCTTTTGCATTTGCCGCTTCAAGAGGTCGATGTAAAAGTGTGGATGGTCGATGGTGCGTATCTTACTATGTGGTGGTGCAGTCCAAAACCACTAATCGGTACTCGTGTACTAGTCTCTGCAAGGGTTGTACTCTCGCAAGTGTTTGAGAATGTGTCAGAGAGCCCTACCAGCCGGGCAAAATATGTATTCCCTCTTCCAGCGAGTGCAGCGGCTTGTGCTTTTGAACTCGAGCATGCCGATGGACGTGTCATCGTCGGTGATGCAAAGGAGAAGTCAGAAGCTGCACAAACTTTCCAGAGTGCATTGGACGCCGGAAAGTCTGCAGGGCTCGTAGAACAGGTGACGGACGACAGTACGACAGGCACATTTCGATAATACTGGACGAATGCTGACTTTGACCTTGATCCAGTATTCACGATCTCAATCGGCTCAATTCCCGCCCGGCAGAAGGTCACAGCAAGACTGACAGTGAGTGCACTTTCAGCTCATTGAATACTTTGTCTGACGAGCGAACAGTTTGTAATGGATCTTTTGGATGAGGGAAGACAGGATTATGTTCGTCTACAGCTTCCAATGGCCATTGCGGAACGATACGGCGAGACACCTGCAGCCATGCTCGACGCATCCACAGCTAATGAAAAGACAATTGTTAAAATCGCTGTGGATATTCAAACCAGTGAGAAGATCCAGGAGATACGCAGCCCTACTCACCCGACGATTACTTACAAGCGCCACAAGTCGCGCACCGGAAGAAAGTCAGAACGACGGATGGCCGTAACTTGGTCGTCTACGACGTTCCTTGACGGAGATTTCGTATTGACAGTGCATGCTCTTGGACTCGACAAGCCTCGGTGTTTCGCCGAAATCGATCCCCAGCGTGGTGATACCATTGCCATGCAGCTCTTATTTGTACCGAAGTTCAAGATGCCTCCTGTCACTTCGCAAGAGTACATATTCGTGATCGATCGCAGCGGAAGCATGGCTGGAGCCCCAATGGAGACTGCTAAGCGCACGCTGGAAATGCTCCTTCACCTATTGCCCGATTCACAAACGACTTTCAATATTTTCAGCTTCGGGAGCGAGGTTGACGGTCTGTGGGGGAAAAGTGCATCGTTTGATCAGTCGAGAATGCGTCATGCGGTAACGAAGTCTAGTCACTGTCCAGAGCAACTAGCTAATGAGTAATGTTACAGATTTCGAGTGTAAAAGGCATGCAAGCAAACTACGGAGGGACAGAAATTGCAAAAGCCCTGCAGTTCGCTATCGCGTCGCGTAATCACGGCCGCCCGACTGCCATGTTCGTCCTCACTGACGGGGATATAGCTGTGCGTCTGATGACTCGGCTTTGACTCTTCGATCTAACAATGAACTAGCCTTCCGACAATCTTGACCCATTTACGGTTGTCTCCACGGCTGTGAAGAGCTGCAGGCCCGATGCACCATTGAGAGTATTCACTCTTGGGATCGGCGAAAGTGTCTCATCGGCAATGTGTGAGCGCCTTGCTCGTGAGGGTGGAGGTGAATGCCTGTTCGCTGTTCGATCCGAGGATATTACAGGGAAGTGTGCGAGACTTCTGAATGCTGGTCGGACTCGCGAGATCGAGAGTGTTACAGTTGATTGGCATGGTTCGGGGAGCCCGCCAGCTGTCAACTTCTCACCCTTGAATCGCCGTAATCCCCTTCCGCCCAGCGTCGTGCAGCTAGAGCCGCCACCTCAGATACAGCAGGCCCCGCATACAATCACAAAGATTTTTCCTGGAATTCGCTTCAATGTCTTCGCGATCACTACTTTCAGATCGGTTCCTCGCGAAGTCAGGTTGCGCGCCAAGGTTAAAGATCTGGAAGAGGTTCTCGAGCTGGTAGTGCCTGTCACGGAAGTGAAACCATTCAAGGACGAGTGGACATTTATTCCACTCGTGCATACCTTGGCTGCACGAGAACTCATAAAGCAGTTGGGAGATTCCGAGGGTAAGGCGCTCCTTCCAAAACCCATCACATCTGCTTCAGATGAGGACATTCGAAAAGCGGCGATCGTTCGCTTGGGACTTGAGTACCAGCTTGTGAGCCAGCACACATCCTTTGTGGCTGTAGAGTCCGGACGGGAGACAGCTAGGAACGGGCTGCGTCGGTCAAAGTCATGGCAAAGGTCTCGGCAGCAGCATGGCTACGCCAGCGTCACTGCCGGTGCTGCTGATGGAGGTAATCCAGGAATAGATATGACCACCGTGCAGACCGTTTGGGACAGCTTGTCTCAGGCGGTTTATGCAGCGTTCAGCTTCTTCTTCTCGGATCCTCCCCCGACCACCCGAAGCCGCCAGAAGCCGCTTCCCGGCACCTATTATTCCGCTGCACAGTCTCGCTCAGGCTCGCCATCCATTCAGAGTGAACATTCATTTCGATACAACAACTCGAGCACAGACACGTTCTCTACATTGAGTTCATTGGAAGGCTCTTCTAGCTCTCGATGGTCCTACTCTAGGCCATCCAGCCCCGTACCTCCGCCGGAAGATCCAATCCAGCGCGTGCCATCGCCAGTCTTTGATTCGGCCCCACCGGGGACAGGACAAGCAGCACCACCGCTCATCACCGCCTCTCACCCACCACCTGTGCCTGAGGAAGTAGAGACTATTATCTCACTACAGAGCTTCGACGGCTCATTCACGCCATCGCCTCAATTGGGGGCGCTTGTGGGAGTGGAAACGTTGGCCAAGGCAGCAGAACAGCGGGTCGATGGGAAGATATGGGCGACTGCGGTTGTTGTGGCGTACCTGAAGCATCATTTGGCTGCGCAACCGGATCTGTTGGATGCGCTGCTGAACAAGGCTCTGGATTATGTTGAAGGAGGGGGTGCGAGTTTGCTGGTCGGACGTGATTTTTGGGACTTGGTGAACATCGCGGGGCAGTCTGTAGGTTCGCGATGAGTTCGTCGAGGTGGTGGTATGATTGTTTCTTTTGGAGCTACCCACTGGCACGGGCATTGTTTTTTTTTTGAATTGGAACGAGTCTCCGGATTGCAGCAGCTGGCTCAGGCACCTAATCTACACAGCTGGTTATTACTTACATAAAGTCGCAGCAGGGAAGATGCACCTGAAAGGACTCGAATAGCAACTCCTGACCGAATGAATCTTTACTCTGTTGCGGCTTTGCAATCTTTCTCAGGGCACGCTATGTACACCGTACAAATCAATTTGAGTACTACAGCTTATGTGTTTTGGAGTTATAAATCTTACTCATATTGGACATCGACTGAGTGCTGCTCCGGCCGCTGACTGCCTTGATCAAAGATTCGGACGCAACGGTGTCTAGCGACGTGACGCGTCCTAGCACTGCTATTGCAATCAACATGCCAGTCTTCCAAGCATCAATTCGATAACGATATCATTCAGTACACTCCGACATGAAGAGATCAGGAGCAAAGAGAAACGGATAGCTCAACTTAAAGTAGCTTTGCACGCAATCACAGGTGCTGGATACCCCACCCTCGACGAGTTTCTTTTCGAACTTCTTTCAACAGCAGATCAGCAACAGTCCTCCCATGCTTCAAAATCCTTGGCTTGCATAGTCATGGTCTCGTGGACATCATACAAGCCCGTCAACCAGACATCATAAACCTTTGGGCCCTGCAAGCTCCTGCTTAAATCCTTTCTTTGGAGGGGATCATCGTCTGGCTTCAGGGCGGATGGTGAGAGTCATACGGGGACACAGCAAAGAAATGCATATTACTTTCCTCTGCTATGACCCCGCTGCACGTCACTAGTTGCTAAAACATGTCCATAAGTCCTGAATGACAATGAAAACTTCCGATGGAAGATGAATGGTTCTCAAGCAGCAAAATTGTTAACAACGAGAACAGAATAAGACTAGTTTCGTTCGGAGTGTTCTGTGCTCAAGGAAGCGGAATGGAACTCACTACTAAGGTCATATCGATCGAGCCATATCCTGGTCAACGTGCTACGGTTCTGTGCTGCTGCATTAAGACGGGCAGGTTGACAGTGGGTGAAAATTTCCGAATACGGTAGTCGTCGCAAACCGAAATCTTTTCTCTTCCAACTCTCGAACACGCAAATACAGTACAGCTTCACAGCTCGACGCACTACTGTTGCAGATATTGAATAATGGTTGGACATGCATAGGCTTGATGTTATATTACATGCTGATCACTCCATCTTAGAGGCCAATTCTATTGCAAGGCAAAATAAATTTATAGCACCTTCATCCGTGTTCTAACTTTCCGTCTCGCAGGTCACGAACGATCACTCACTCAAATCAAGTTCAATTCAGAAGGCGACTTGCTGTTCTCATGCTCGAAGGACCACATCATCAACGTTTGGTTCTCACACAATGGTGAACGTCTAGGTACATACGAGGGCCACAATGGCACAGTATGGACGATCGACACTGATTGTAAGCCCTTTTCCTCCTTCCACGCCATCGTATTACTGATCTTGATCAATATTCGGCAGCACAATCAAGATTTCTGGTGTCTGGATCCGCCGACAACGAGCTGCGTCTATGGAACGTATCTGATGGCAAATGTTTATACGTTTGGGAGTTCCCGACGGCTGTAAAGCGTGTGGCATTCAGCGACGATGACGAGCGTGTTGTATGCATCACTGAGCAACGCATGGGCCATCAATGTGTTATCCGAGTGTTCAAGCTGAACCATGATGGAGACGGAACGGCTCGTGCGTAAGGTGGAAATATTATCCTTGATCGTTCCTGATGCATCACTGCCCCTCCAGAATCATCGGAACCTGAACACATGTTCAGCCCCATAGGGTCCAAGGCCACTGTTTGCGCATTCACATACACACCAAACCTGATCATAACTGGTCACGAGTCTGGAAAAGTCGCTCTTTTTGATGTCGTCACCGGGACAGAAGTTCTCAATAACGAGCGTGCGCACATGGACGTCGTTACCGATTTGCAATTGTCCTCCGATCGCAGCTACTTCGTCACAAGTAGCAAAGACAAAACTGCTCGGGTGAGTTTCCAACTGTCGATCACTTGGGCACTTTGTTCACAATACGCTACTGGTTTAGATACACGACACAAAAACTCTCCGAGTACTCAAAACCTTTACAACAGAGACACCTTTGAACAGTGCAGCACTAGCACCCAATAAACCATATGTAGGTCGATCATTTATCTTTTAGATCTTGCTCATATAACGGATCTCGTGCACAGGTTCTAGTGGGTGGTGGTCAGGAAGCAATGCAGGTCACGACTACTTCGCTGCGGCAAGGCAAATTTGAAACCCGTTTTTGGCACAAGGTCTTTGAGGAGGAGGTTGGTAGAGTAAAGGGCCATTTCGGACCCATCAACACGTCAGTTCCCCCGATATAATTTTGTCGGTGATTTTCATTCATGATTTGACCACCAGGATTGCCGTTCATCCAGCTGGCACGAGCTATGCTTCCGGTGGAGAAGATGGATTTGTACGGGTTCATCACTTCGACGAGTCCTACTTCAGGGCAAAGCCATATGGGGATCTCCAGCTCGAGGATTGAACCCGTATCTTATTACCCATGACACTTGCGCGACGTTCCATTGTTTACCTAGAACGATTTCATGACATGTATCGGAGGTGACTCTAGGATTGGCTGATACATGCACCCTACATCTTGTATCGGAGCTTGAAGGGCGAGGACGGATCCTCGAAACGCCCTGCATGAGACTTAAACCGAGTGCTGTAAGTAAGGGTAAGGGAACGAGAGGGTCTGCTAGTACAAATGATGTCCGACACACTTCTCTCGTGAATAGTTCAGTACAACATCACATGCCTCGTGGGCTTGCCAAGTACCAGTCAGTTTCTGAAGCAGATGCGTGAAGCAGGAGGAACATGTGATCATTAATAAACAATGCCATGCAAGGGGAACGTGCAACAGGGTGAGTGATACATAGCGCAGTGTGAATTAGCGTTGTCGATAGCATTGAAGGGGTATGAATATGCAATGTAGAGCGAAGTGGATAACGTCAAACATTTTCTAGTTGAGATAACCGCGACACTTCGCAGAGCCACATAGGCATGGGATCTTATCTTGCTCAATGGGGAAATGGTAATCTGTAGGTACATGTCGTGTCAGTGAGAGAAACACAGTAGATTGTCGTGCATGACTGACCATATGTGATTTCATCGCCCAGTTCAATATCCTGCTTGGCATAGATGACGATCTTCTTCTCGCCGTTGATAGTGATGATTTTGGCAGTGCAGTTCGGATCGCATGAATGATTGATGAGGCGACTTAAAAGAAGCATCCAATCAGCAGCTGCATCGCGTAAGATGCAAGAGGGGGCTTACCCAAGATTGCCCTTCTTCGTGGCGTCCACCACAAGGTCTTCATCAATACGAAACAGGTAACTGCTTCCGATACCCTGCCGCTCATACACCTTTTCACGCTTGTCGGCGACTTGAGCGCGGATGATCTCGCCAACATACTCGATAACCATCTCCCCTCGAGCGATCCTTTCCATGGCGTACAAACCCCAGTCGTGAATCGGAGACCTCGCAAACCGGAGATGCTTTTTTCGCGTTTGCAGCTGGTTGAATTTGATACTTAACTCTGCAGCGGCCGTCTCTCCCTTTGAAAGAGCCACAGCACGTTGCACCTGGTTAATCTCTTCCAGACCTTGAGCGCGTCGGCGAGCAGTGGCACGATTCGAGCGGGAAGAAGTGACGGGCTGTGCTGGTGCCTCGGTTGGAGCGACAGACTCAACGTTCGTGGACCGCAGGGCGTATTGAGCAACATAGGCCGATTTCTCAGCATGAGAGATCTTGTAGTAGCCCTCGGTACGTGCTGAACCTGTGAGATGCTTCCGAAATGCTGGTAAGGAATCGGTCGTAGGCAGGGGGACGGGTGACACGCTTGAAGCATCATTCGACATAGCCAGCCGAGCGAAATAGAGGTCCTCATCATCGTTGCATATGCCCTGCTCGAGTGGATCGGGAGGAAGACTTGGAGGCCGTGGTGGTTCTGGTACGGGAGAAGGCGACCGCGAAACCGACTCCACCTTTGAGATGTGGATGTTAGCTGTGGCAGGAACATTGAAATCCAACTCGTCAGGTCGGATGACCTCATCGACAACCACCTTGGCTGCTGACTTTTTCTTGATGACCTTCTTCTTGGACAAGGCGTTCTTATGTTGTTCTTCATCCTCAAGTACAGCATCCTTCTTCGGCTTCTTCTTGACAGGTTCCTGTTCCTCATCAAGGACCTCGGAAACAGCCCGCTTCCGTGGTTCAGGCGCAAGGTTCTCCTCATCCTCGGACTCCAAATCTGATTCAGCAACCCTGGTAACCTTCGTGACAACCTCTTTCTTCCGCTTTTTCTTTGGTGGCTCCACGGGTGCAGGCTCTTCTGGCTCGACAAGAGGGACTTCTTCTTCGACCACGGCTGCCTTCGCCTCCTCCTCCCTGATTCTCTTCGGTTTCCGAAAAGAAAGTCCTTTCAGACCTCGCTTCTCAGCCGGCCGTTGCTCATTGATTGTCTCTGGACCCTCCCTGGCTTTCGTCTCTGCAACCTTCGCCTTCTCGTCCGCAATCAACTTCCGTAGATCTGCAGCAGCCACCCGCTCCGTAATGTCTTTCTCCAAAAGACCCTTGAGCTCCTTGACGATGGTGTCTGCTGCTTGTTGAACAATCTCCTCTTTCGTCCAGCTGATCTTTTCGGCAGCTACAGGCGCAACATGAGAAGGAGGAGGACAAGCTGACAGCGTTACGGAGTGGTGCCCAAGCGTTCGCGAGCCGAGAACCATGGCTGCACGTCGTGCTGAGTCGCTCGTTTGAAATGCAACATACCAAGCGTTGTGATCTCGCAAAACGCAGTCAACCTTGAAGTCCTTGAAGAATGCACGTACATCTTCCTCACGGATAGATATCATGGCACCACCAGTGAGGTCTATCCGGACATGTTCGAAGCCGTTCTTGGCGAGGGCATCAATGACAGTGGCACTGGTAGCCTCTCTCTGCTGTTGGTTACGCCCTTGTCCTGGGCGGCGGGAGATAGGCGAAGGTGAGCGGGACGGAGGTGCTGGAGCGTGACTAGAGCCATGATATGAAGGACGACCGCGAGTATGGACGGGTGTTGATGAAGGAGATTGTGAGGATGACATGGGCGCAAGGTCATTCACTGCTGGGAAACGAGTGCTCAGTGCCGAATTCATCATCTTAGCTTTCATGACAGGCTGTGCTCTTCTGCTGCGGGGAGGTGATAGGCGTCCGTTCGTGTAGGGGATATGTGCAGGGCGGGCAGGGAGCTGATGACTCGGCCTCCATGCAGACTGGGCGGGTGTATGTGTCGAGCTGGGGGTCTGGGCTTTCGGTATGGATATAGGTGCGGGTATGGGTGCAGGTGGTAACGTCGGAGCTTTGGCTTCCTTCTCCTTCCTTCTTTTCTCTTCTCTGCCGCGATGTTTCCGCTCCTCTAGCTCTTTCCGTACTGCCTTCAGTTTGAGACCTTCGCCGTCAAAGACCACCTTCAGTTCCTCCCCGTCAGCCATCCCCATGCCTGTGCCAAATTTCTTCCCGTGAGTGCGCTCTACACATGCCTTGGCCTCCTCATGCGTCTGGTACCGAATGAACACGATACCAAGTGCAACCCCAGACTCCATGTCAATTTGCGGATCAAATGACGAGATCCTGCCATGTGCACTGAAGATGCGTCGTATCTGCTGCGTGGACGTTAGGGGAGACAAATTCATGATCAGCACAGCTGTGGGGGGCGGTGGGCCTGTTGAGTTGGGATCATGCTTTTAAGATGTCAATGAGGTTCATTACATGATATAGGTAATGCCACCCACTTCATACCGAATTTCATGGAACGCGTCTCGGTGGGGACGTTTCTTGAATCCCGCTGCCTTGCGGGGATCACTTGTCGTGGGTTCTGGCTCGCCCTCGATCACTTCTCCATTATATCGCGTGAGCGTCTCCTTGCCCTTTCCCTTACCCTTGATCCGAGGCTCAACTGAACCATCGACCTGGGTAGCTCGAATCTTCTCGATTAGGGCGCGAAAACGCCCGTCGCGGTCCTTGTCGATGGCAGGGTCATAAATGACTTTGAAGTCCTTGCCTGCAGGGTATTCCGAACGGGAAGTTGGCCACGGAGGAGGGGGAGGAAGGGAGTAAAATTTAGGTGGCGGCGGTTTGGATGATGATGCGACAGGTTCTGGGGGTTGAGGAGGAGGTGAGGGCGATTTGGAGGGCGGGGGGTGAGGGCGCATAATCTGGCAAATCCTGTGGTGGTGGTGATGGTGGTGGTGACAGGATTAAAGGCGGTGGGGAAGGGGCAGATACTGAAGGTGGCGGTGGCGGTGGTGAAGAAGGCCTTGATGTAGGCGGTGGGGGCGGTGAGGTCGATGGAGGAGGCGCTGGAGGTGGTGAGTGTGGTGGTGGAGGCGGTGGTGGTGGAACTTCTGAAGGTGGTGGTCCTGATGGTGGTGGTGGGGGGGGAGGTTCTTCAGTAGGTTGAGGTGGTCGAGGACGCGATTCCGTGAGGGAAGTTCGTCGATTAATTGAAAAGGAGATCTTCACAGGCTGATGCGGTCTAACGCCATCAGCAACAGTTGCTGGAGGTGTGACTTTACTTGAACTCGCGACTGGTGAAGATTCGGTGTGACTATGAACTGGTGAAGCAGATGCTTGTGGACTTGACTGTAAAAAATATGATTATGATTCACATCTTAGAAATGACAATAAAGAACGTACGTTTGATGCTGACCACGAAGAATCCGTCTGCTTGCCCTTCTGCGTCGATCTTGGTCCTGTCGGTGCGTTGATGATAGTAGGTCCAGTTGTTGGTGGTGGTCCGACATAACCGTTTACAAAAGGCTTTACGGTTGGTTTAGCTCGGGGCTGAGTTGGGACACCGTTCAGGAGTCGAGGTCCTGTTGGTGGTGGAGCACCAATTTTACTAGTTCCAGCACCAGGTGAAGCCGATGTTGAAGTTGAGGACGTCGAAGCTTGTTGTGACGATGAGCCAGGCAACGAACTCAGAAGCGCTCTTGGTCCCTTTGGAGGCGCTTTACCAGACATCAAAGCAGCCTAACTAACATGAACAACGCTCAAAATAAAATCTTGTTCGCCTTCACTGTGAGGTTTGACGTCGAAGAACGTGCGGATAAAGGGAAAGCGGAGGATGAGGATCGTGGACAATGTTAAGCGTGTGCTCGAACAAACAACTGCCGCGGGCAAACAACGACCAAGCCACACTACCTTTTCTCTTCCCGCCATTTTCATTCTACCAAGTCTTTCATTAAAATCCCTAGAAAAACTCACAAATCGCTATCCAAAGCGCTATCGACTCTCTACGGTTCAGCCTTTGACGAAGCACTGCCGAATCGATGAGCAAGAGAAGCGCCGGAACAACCAAAGGCAGATGCCACGTAGGAGGTTTCGTTTGTGTTTGCGTTCCTGTAAAGAAATTTGCTACATGTGGCGCCAGCCCTACGCTCCACCATTACTCGGATCCTTCAACCAAACTTTGAAGCCATGCTGCAAAGGCGTGTAATCGTGAACGGTACCTGAACTTTCCACTCCGCTTGACGCTCACCTTATCGACGTGCCCCCACTCTCGATATAGTTGGTGCGCAAATTATCTTGCCAGGATACACATGCACGGATGGCACCGAGTCACTTATCTTACTGGCAAAGCCATACATCCAGGCCCATCGGCGTTCCGAGATGCATCAGACGTGGTTTATTGATGCAATCGTTCGATTGACGTATATATATGGTGCCTTGCTCATGACTTGGCTGATATAGCGGCAATGCCACCATCTCAACAGAATACTGATCAGAGTCACTCATAGCGCCAATGTTTCTATATCTTCCATTGTCTCCAGCGCCGTCCTGAATGCGATCAACAGAATCGGCGACCACACGATCCGTTCCAAGTATCCCACATCCCGTTCACACACTGTGACTCGTATCCCTAGAGTTTACACGTATTGACTATAACCATCTTCTCTTCTTCATGACATAACTGGATCGAAACAGCAGCAAACGTCACTCTTCGCGTGTGAGGTAACCAAGGTCTGGGCTGACGAAAATAGTGCTGCGCGTCTCCTCGACTAGTCGCACAAGAATTAACTGTTTGAAGTAATCGATCAAATTGATGTGAAACACAAGACCTTGTACTTTGCGTTTGATGAGTGTGGGTGTCTCCTATGTATCTGTATAGTTAGGTATGGCTGGAGGAACGCCTGGCTCGTCTGAGAACTCGTTGCTTGCATTACAATTATTACTATCAGTGTATGAAAAAAATATCAATATGCACAGTGCGAAGGCGATGAAAGGGCGGTCTACGCGATGATAAATATTACAAGATGTGCAAAATGACAAGGTCCAAAACACATGAGATTTGATGAATGAAGTACTCGAGCGTTCAAAGACTTCTCAGGCGTCTCAATACGTCGTCATAATCACGATGCGTGGTGCGCCGTCCTTTCCTCTCCAGCATACAAGCTGTGTCATACTGCGTCGGGACATGATGACGAATCTCGGCGTCTTGTAGGAGAAGCGTTGAGGGTCGATGATGAACCTCGCTCGTTCCCCCAGTGCTGGTACTAGAGGTGTCCAGATCATATGTGACCTCTTTGCTCTCCTCCATGATGGGAGCAAAAAATGCGATACTCTCCTCCATTATAGGAGCAAAACAGGCAGCGTTCTGCGCATGGGCCTTCCTGGGCTCTACAACCACAGGCGGAGCAAAAAAGGCGATGCTCTCCTCCGTGATGGGAGCAAAACAGGCAGCGTTCTGCACACGGGCCTTCCTGGGCTCTACAACCACAGGCACAGGACCCCCGCCAAAGACGAGTTCAGGGGGCGGGGATTCACCGAACTTGCGGCATAGCCTTGAGAAACGCTTACGCTTCGTCGTTGAGGGGGACGGTGGCGGCGACGGGGACGGCGTTGAAGGTGAGATGGGTGGATGCGCAGAGGGTACGGTCAAAAAGCTTGCGGCAGGTATCCCCGTGGTAACGGGAGATGAAGCCGCCATGGATGTGGGAGAGGAAGCCGGAAATTTAGAGGAAATGGAAGACCGATATGCGTGAGTGGGTACCGGAAGAGATACACTCCGTAGAGTGGGCAGACTACGTTGGGATTTGAGTTGTCGGCTTTCCGGCTCCGTATGATCAAGGAACGACCCCGTGTATTGCTGCGCAGTTTGCTCCACATCCACTGGCAATGTCAGAGGGGGAGGCCGATATTTTTTCTTATGTCGAAGGATTTTTTTTGAAGATGAGACAGAAACACCGGAGGAATGTGCGGGACTACGACTATTTTCATGATCCGGGCGAGCAAAGAAAGGGTCTAAGCTCTGGAGAGCAAGTCGTACATTCCGAGCTCGTTCGGGATCTGGAACCTGAGGAGAATGCGGTATGTCTTCCGGTACGTCAAGCCCAGCCTGTTTTGATGAGTCTCGGATACGATAGTGGAAAAAATATTATGGGAGACTGACAGTATAGGTTTGGACACCCAGCATTGTATGCGCGACACCAAAGGCTGAAGCGTATTATAGTAAACCGAACAAGACCCAACGGATTGCACCCAGTGCAATATCGGGTAAAAATAGGTCTGTTATGAGGATGAACGAGAGTAATTTGGAGAAAAGAAAGAGAAAGAAAGAAAAAGAAAGAATGGGACTTGAGCTCGGCAGCGCCGCCCTTTATATCAACGGTCACGATGAACGTAAGTATCCGGAATATAATTTTTTTTGAACGATATCGCGAACGTTAGCAGCGACCATCGACAAGTCTTAAAAAGGCAAGTCTCTGTGATCGAATACCATGCCAAGCCCGATTTAAGGTTTGTAACCTCACCTGCAATATTAATGTCATAAAGTATAGTAGACTGTACGCACCGCCTCGGGGTAGGGCACTAGCAACGATACCAGGTTCTGCGGGATCTGCACCGTGAGTCAAACATGTAGATCATACAGATCTCGACGACTTGAACGACAGTGACCCTGCCATGCAACAAGAAGAATGTTATTTCGGAGTCTCCGTCAACCCTTCGAAGTGACTGTATCCCTTTGTTTCCTTGTCCAGGTCCTATATCCGACGGAAGATCCCCATAATGGTACCCAAGAAAGTTAATGCCCGAGCCAACGCGAGAAATACCAGAAGATACCATGTGTAACAAACCACATCTATGGATGTCGCGAACACTAGGATCATGCAGTGGGTTACCGGTTACGCTCTGAGCTGTTCGCCAGGTAATGTGATATGAGAGGATATGAGCCAGTGAAACAAAAGAGTGGTGAGGTCTGCGCGCGGTTGCTATAGACATTCTCGCGGCACCGAGACTCGCATCAACATGTGCCAGCGCTGAAGATCATGCAATCGATATGATTTGATTTGGACGGGTGCAAACTACGAACTTTGAAGCTTTGGATGAACCTGATGATGACTTGAGACATGCATCAATATTTCTAAGTGGAACGCCGCCTGCACAAATTTATCCCGTGAAAGTTCCACTTACCCGAACGCCGGTTATATTGGTCGTTGATCAACGTTGATGTTCACGCTGCCCAGAATGACGATGACCACCAGCATGGCTTCCACATATCCTTTTGAACCGAGCCCCCAGTGGACGACAATCAACCCTAGGCCATTCCTGCCATTTCGCACCCACGGAGGAGACTTGGAAGCACCCCCGTTGCCGTCTCCTCCCCGGAATCAGCTGTTCAACGACAATTATGTTGTTACCACCCATCTCGTGCCTGCTCCATGTCCAAGACTCACTCCAGATATTCCATTGCCTGTGGTCCCCAAATTCTCGACGAATTCCACAGAACGGAAGCAAGGTATCCAGCAGCTTGCCACCGAAATTGGGAAGCGACAAGAGAGCTTCGTGCAGGGTGGGTTAGGTGGAGAAAAGAGTGAGAAGCCGTTGTGGAACTGCGTTAACCGATATGTGAAGAGAGTTAAAGATGGGAAGAAGGGATTGACATTGTTCTTTGCTCATGCAAATGGTTTTCCCAAGGAGGTACTCATCTATTTAATACAAACCATGCATCACGCCCTTTTGTTGAATGTGATATAGATTTGGGAAACTACTCTGCGATATTTATTATCGTCATCTACGGCCTCACTGATCGACGAGGTGTGGTCTTGGGAGGCTGTCCAGCATGGTGATGCTGCATTGGTCAACGAGTCAAATCTCAGTGGCATATGTGAGGCACCAAGCCAGTATAACACACTCCATTCAAAGACTGAGATAAACCTTCGTTTCTAGTTGATTGGCGAGACAACGCACGGGATATTGCACACTTCCTGTTACACTACTTACCTGAAGATGCATCTTCGGAAAGTTTTCCCGATCATCTACATCTTCTGCCGGAGAATATCAGTGAATCTCGGAAGACTAACGGATTTTCATCCCGCTCTCTGGTCGCTGTTGGACATTCATTCGGGGGCTGCTCTTCGTAAGTTGTTATTGCTACCGTTAATTCTCTGATTCAGTTTTTGGCAATATCAATGCAGGATAATGGCGGCTGTCAACTTTCCTGCACTGTTCTCATCCATGATTCTCATAGATCCTGTGATCGTTCAATATCTTGGCTATTCCTCCGGTTTCCAGGTCTCCAAATGTGCCGCTGCCCTTACCAGGCGCGAACGCTGGCTGTCACGGTGAGTCGCGATATCGTGCCACTGACTTGCGAGTGTTTAAGAATGTCACAAGTGAGGAAGCATTACGCTTGTTCAAGGCGTCTCCATTCTTCGGAGCTTGGCATCCTGATACCCTGGAGCTATATGTTACATATGGCTTGTGCAAGGATTCACAAGGGGGCGTGAGGCTAAAGATGTCAGGTGTACATGAGGCCTTGGTATTCGCAGATCGAATAGGATCAAATGAAGCATGGGAACTACTGGGAAGGCTGGACGAGCGAATAGAACTACGTTGGATTGTTCCAGGGAAGGCCGAAGACAAAGGGTGCGTTACCTCAGCGGATAAGGTCAGCTCTGCTAATTTTCGTTCAGGGTTATGGGTAAAGAAGCAACGAAGGTGCGAGTGTGGCGAAGGCCTGCCAATTCATCTAATGTGGTCATTCGTTCTGCTGGCCATCTGGTAAGCCTATGTTTCGTGCCCTGTGAAATGTTTGACTGAGTTGGCTTCACTCAGATTCCTCAGGAATCCCCAGAGGAACTCGGTAGGTGACATCCTGTCTTTCCGAGCGATGTTCACGTTATCGTCATGATTTTTTCCCCTCTAGCTCAAGAGATATCAGCTTTCCTGGAGAGAAAGTACGAGCTACGGAGTAGAGCATACCTGTGATATCCTTTGCGGTGATATTCCAATTCGCCTAGGCCTGTGACCAACACAGGAAGCAAACAATACCTGAAACAAACATAGACAGTTGACATTCTTTTGTCGCATTTGAATTTCGCTTTATGAGCATACAACGTTCTTCTGGAATGACAAGGGCGGGTCTTTGCGACGGCGTTCTTTTGGTATAGCCTTCTGCGTGAGTTGATCGCTGCTTGATTGCGCAGGTGTCGCCTGACTACTTCCTTGTTCCAGCACAGTCAGGCACGGAAAGCACAGCATGTTATTTCAGGCTGAATAGATCATGATACCCACACGCATCCACGTGAGGTTGGCGGGGGTCGCACGGCTTTAACTCGACAACCTCAATCGCACACCGACGTTCACATTTTACATCATCATGTTGCCGCAATGTGTATCTATGGGTGCGTGACCAAATTTGTCGAGGGACGGGTTCACCTTTTGGGTTTCGCACAGTTCAGTCTCCCTTCACTTTGACTTTAGCGTCGACGCAACCCACGTCTATTGTCCAGACCCGTTGCCTTTCCTGCGTCAGTCTGGCGGGGCCGGACCTTCCCACACACTTGCAAAGCGGATTGAATGTCGAATCGTCTAAGTCTTCATTTGTTTCATTACCTCTTCTCGATAGCAGTTGGATTGCGCCAGACCCTAGTATTAGGCCAACTAATATTTTATTCTCAATATCTCCCCTTAGACTACGCGATTATACAAACGGCCAGGTGTCCGGTTGTTCTGTAATATTTTTGGAACCGAGCAAGCTCTTCCACAGTAATAAGATGCTCGACTTTCCTGCTTCTTCCGTCGAATGACGATGGCCGCCAGCATGACTTCGACATATCCTTTTGAACCGACCCCCCAGTGGACGACAATAAACCCTAGGTCATTTCTGCCATTTCGCACCCGCGCCGGAGACTTGGAAACGCATCCATTACCGTCTCCTCCTCGGAATCGGCTGTTCAACGACAATTATGCTGTTACTACCCATTTCGTTCCTGCTGCATGTCCAAGACTCACTCCAGATATTCCATTGCCTGTGGTCCCAAAACTCTCGACGAATTCCACAGAACGGAAGCAAGGTATTCAGCAGCTTGTCGCCAAAATTGTGGAGCGACAAGAACGCTTCGTACAGGGTGGGTTAGGTGAAGAAAGAAGCGAGAAGCCGTTGTGGAACTGCGTTAACCGATATGTGAAGAGAGTTCAAGATGGGAGGAAGGGACTGACATTGTTCTTTGCTCATGCAAATGGTTTTCCCAAGGAGGTACTCATCTATTTGGCACGAATCATGCATCAAGCCCTTTCATTGAATGTGATATAGATTTGGGAAACTACTCTGCGATATTTGTTATCGTCATCTACGGCCTCATTGATCGATGAGGTGTGGTCTTGGGAGGCTGTCCAGCATGGTGATGCTGCATTGATCAACGAGTCAAATCTTAGTGGCATATGTGAGGCACCACGCCTGTATAACACACTCGATTCAAAGACTAGGGTTTCTAGTTGATTGGCAAGACAACGCACGGGATATTGCACACTTCCTGTTACACTACTTACCTGAAGATGCATCTTTGCAGGCTTCACTACCCGCTCATCTACATCCGCTGCTGGAGAGTATCAGTGAATCCCGGAAAACTAACGGATTTTCATCTCGCTCCCTGGTCACTGTTGGGCATTCACTCAGGGGCTGCTCTTTGTACGTTGTTATTGCCGCATTGATAGGAGTGCCCTAATCGGGTTTCAATCTCAATACCAGGATACTAGCAGCTGTCGATTTCCCTGCACTGTTCCCCTCCATAGTTCTAGTGGATCCGGTGGCTATTCAACCTGGCTCTTCCTTGGATCTCCTGCGGAACACATTGGCCGTCACCATTGGCAGGCGCGAACGCTGGTCGTCACGGTGAGTTGTGATGTTGTGCCAGTGACTTCTAAGAGTTTAAGCGAGGGGTCATAAGTGAGGAAGCCTGGAACTTACTCAGGGCGTCTCCATTCTTCAGAGCTTGGCATCCTGATACCCTGCAGTTATATGTCACCTATGGCTTGTGCGAGGATTCACAAGGGGGCGTAAAGCTAAAGATGTCAGGTCTACATGAGGCTTTGGCGACCGTAGATCGTATCGCGCCAAATGAAGCATGGGAACTGCTGGAAAAGGTGGACGAGCGAATAGAACTACGTTGGATTGTTCCAGGGAAGGCTGAAGACAAAGGGTGCGTTACCCCAGCGGATGAGGTCTGCTCTACTAATTTTCGTTCAGGGTTATGGGTGAAGAAGCAACGAGGGTGCGAGTGTGGCGAAGGCCTGCCAACTCATCTAATGTGGTCATTCATTCTGCTGGCCATCTGGTAAGCCTATGTTTGGTGTCCTGTGAAATGCTTGGCTGAGCTGGCTATCGCTCCAGATTGCACAAGAATCGCCAGAGGAACTCGGTAAGTGTCATTTTGTCTTTCCGAGCGATGTTGACGTGATTATGCTGATTTTCCTCCAGCCCAAGAAATATCAGCTTTTCTGGAGAGAAAGTACAGGCTGCGGAGTAGAGCACACCTGTGATATCCTTTGCGGTGATAAGTATATATGTGAAGTCGCTTAGGCCTGTTGACCAACATGGGAAACAAACAATATACCTGCAACAGCCATGGCATTCTTGTTGCGTTTGGATTTCTCTTGCGAGCATTAAATACATTTCTAGAATGGCGAAATGGCGAGTCTTTGCGACGGGCGTTTGCTTGGTATCATAGCCTTCGGCATGAGTTGCTGATTGTGCGGGTATCACTGTGTAGGTATCACTTGACCACTTCCTCATGGCACTGTCAGGCACGAGTAGCCCAGCTGCGCACTGTGCAGTGTATTCTGGGTCCCAGACAGCCCCGATTGTACCACGCTGATTTTCACATTCTTGCATCAGAACCGTCTTGCGTCCGCCATACATCTGCGAGTGAGTGATCAGGTTGGGATTTCATCTTCAACCGACGGGTTCGTTTTTTGGGTCTTGCACAGAAGAGCATCCACTGTCCTGCTGAAATACAAGTTGATACATGTGACGGCATGTAACCCCGTGTCTACGAATTAGCCGCATTCATCAATGCTATGACGCCTGCCTTGCTAACGCAAGTCACTCGCAAGTACTAACCACGAGCTAAAGACGCTCATGCCACGCTGAGGAGGAAGGCGCGAAGCAGTCGTGCAGAGATGAGAATAATTAGTAGGAAATTTGGCCTCATTCCATTCTTTCATGGAACGCCCTGACATCAGAACGGGTGTTGAGCCTTCGCTACGGTTACGGACTAATAGACCATGATGGATGTCGATGAAGCTTGAAGTTCCTGGCGGCGTTTTGCACCGCATCGAGATTCGAGAAGACCATCGTCCCAAAATAGTGGATAAAGAAGAACAATTAGCTCAACCAGCTGGCTCAACCCCGCACCTACTTGGTAATCCAGATTTGCTCCGTTCAATTGTTCCAAAATTTTGCGAGACGCAGGAAATTTTTTTGGATCGTGATCGCTGAGCGCTGAGTTTCAGAAATGTTGTGTGGACCGTGGTAAAATGCTAGCTAACATGGAAATCGTGACTTTCCCTGTAACATCATGATGATTATCACAAATATTAGGCGGACTCGTCGTTCGACGAGCTCGGTGCACTCACGTCGATGAATTGTCGATCCAAATAATTAACGCGCGTTATCGGGGTGAGGCACCACACTGGGAGACATCCCAACGGTAGTCCCGAATCCTGTTCAGGCCTTAGCTTGTAAACTAACCAACCCTTGAGACCCTGTTCTTTTTTTAGGGTCTGAAGTGAGCATAAACCATCAATTAGGCGGTGCAACCGTCGGTGGGATCATTGGAGACCATTGGTGGGACCTTGCACGGGCGCTTGTTTGGTACAGCCTCGGCGTGAATATAGTAGTGTGCTTTGCTCTAGTGGATTCTGCTTCTTACTACCACTTCATTATCATCACATCTTCCTCGTTCCAACGGTACCGTCCTGCACGATTCATTAGCGCTGCGCACTGCATGCTATTCATAATTTAACGACTTCTTCACGACACACCTCCCTGGACCCGGTATGTTCTCATCTGCTTCTCCGTTCTGTCCCCGCACGGTCCTCTGGCTGGCTCTCTCGGTCGTGTCTTATCCCCCAATTGCATTTGCGAGACCCACAAGCGAAGTGCTGCAACGCTCATCGAATGACAATGGTGCAGTGGGAAGCAACGGGAGCGGTGTTTCTGCAAACGTATGGGTGTGTACTGTTCGTCGTCGAGCCCCAGGCATTCTCAAATTCAGAGGACCAAATTTCTAGATACCCGTACTAATAATCGCAGTGGTCGTTGCCGTGCTGACACTGATTGGATGTGTCAGGCGGGCCACGTACAGGGAGGCTGGCGCAGGCGCCGCCTTGCCGAGTACTCAAAACCGACCTGCTGGTCAGGCGGCCGCACGCCCTGGAAGGCGCCGGAGGCCTGCGCGGACTCCAAGTCAGATTTCCACAAAATCGCTTCCGCCCTACATGCTGGAACCGGGCGATCAGGAGCTCGTTATCTACAGGTGTGCATACGTCCATGCTTGCAGTACCCACATTCTTTTGACACATTGGATGTTACAGAGGGCCTTTGAAGATGGATGATGACCCTCTCGATCCTATGGCAACATTGGAAGAAGACGATGATGAACATCCTGAGACAAGAGGGACACATCGTGGTCTTGACCTCGAGTCGCACGGTACCACACTGGCGGATAACTCCGCCACAGATCTCATGTACAACGCGCCTGGTGACGTGTCAGTGAGACGAAGTGTAGACGTTGCTAGTGTGGGCACGTCGCATCACTCGCAAGAAAGTCATTCTGAACTGTTACCCTTGCATACCACACAAACCTCCGAAGACCCACGAGGGGAAGCACCTCCATACTTTGAGGTTGTAGCTCAGGACACTCCTCAAACACTACCTGATTATCCTCCTGCATCGGAGACCTCAACCAGAGATGCTACCCCTGGCGACCGACGATCTAGATTCAGCTTCCTTTTCAACCCCTTCGGGGGCTCATCACGACATCCGCCGGTTTCGATCCATAACAGGGCTGTAACTCCTGACCACACTCGCAACGCTTCATCCCTCTCCGTGGCCTCAACAAACAGCGGAAATGGGCACAACCGTACAGGCTCTAATTCGACGCTTTTGAAAGCTTTCCGACCCCACGACCATTCCATGCATATGCCATCCGCTTCAACCATTTCTTTGGTCTCAATATCAGCACCACTCACACATACTGTTACGCGCTCGGAGTTCCGGGCGCCGAAAGGCGGCTTGACGCCTGAACAAATCAAACTCATCACCTCCAGGAATGCATTGGAAAGGTTCGGTGTTCCATACGGTCCAGACGCTGTAGCATTTTCGGCATCAAGGTCTAACGTGGCACCACCACCCGACTTCGATGCCACTACATCAAGTTCGCCAGGCCAAGCAAGTGGGTCACCATCAGCTGACCTTCGCAACACGTTCAGTACTAGTGCTCTTTCGAGAGAGGCAGCAGGAAGCCCGGTCTCTAACAGCGCTGCTGCGGATGAGGCTGGACAAACAACCCCACGCTCCGTCATATCCGGATCGCCTCCATCTTCCCCATCTGGAGCTGAGATAAGATCTCAAGTCTCACCATCACCATACTCTCCGCCACCATCTTCATATCAACAACGTTATGACTCGCGCGCAAGTTCAGTAACATCCTTTGAGACAGCTGCTTCCGAGCTCTCGAGGCCCACTACACCGGTCACAGCACGACCTGTGACACCAGCGACGGCTCGGCCCTTCGTTTTATGAAAACCTCAATTGCTTGACTTACTAGGACTTATTTCCTATTACCATCTACAAAATATCTAACGTCTACTTGCTATCTTCTATCGTAAATCGTCCCAACTTTTCGTTACCTCGGATTTCATAGGCCCGCTGTGGCCATACATGTAGTTTTAGTTTTGCTTCCGGATTGGTTTCCATTTAGGACGCTCCCATTATTCATAGAACCTACATTGTGCTAAACCGTTAACCCTGTTGGTTTCATTCGCTACAACAATCTGATCGCATTCCTTCAGCTAAGCTCCGCGGGTTCACGATCCAGATTGCGGCTTTAGACGCATGAGCAGCTCCATCTCCGCCAGGGGGCTCGCTCACCAATGCTCCACCTCCAATAGATCGTTTCATCTCTTTGAGTAGCGATTTCACACTGGATCTATTTGTGGTCAACGTCGTCCATCCAAGCGCTGCTCCCCACAGCATGCTTCGGACCGTGTGGACCGTGAGCTTCGGGTTTGCTAAAGTAACCGCCGCCGGTGGGATGTCATCCTCGTCGTTACTCAAGTAAGGCGCAGCTGAGTGACCGGACCCGGACAGACTCTGTAATTTCTGAAGACTTGAGATATCTTCTTGGGATAATATATTCCGACAGGTCGAGGCAAGGGACGTCAGGAAAGGTGATGAAGGATTCGGCTGAAATGACTCGATAGAAGTGGCGTCAGGCTCTGTGGATGGGAAATATTTGATGGGCATCAATGGAATGAAATTAGGTGGGTATCGTGAATGCACCCAGAATTGATTATGGGTAGGTATGGTAGTCGTCTGAGAACATGTGGAAGAAGAGAGCAGTGCTTCGGCGCGCTGACGTTCTATCGGCCCCGCGATCTTGTACACGATCTGGAGACAACGTTGGCGAGCCTCTTGTGTCGTCCAAAATTGGATGTTTTGCAGAGTAGGGGAGATGGATCTCAAGCGGTCGTGCATGTCTTGCAAGAGGCCCTTCTTCATCTCTTGTTGAGCTTGGTCTGCCAACACTCTTGAGTGAATTCCCGAGTCCTCCCATGTGCTTGTTCCATTTGTAGAGTCAGAAAGCGTTTGTACTCGCTGCTTTTTCCATTCCACGTAGCGTTGCGGTGAGATGAATCGTGCGTTGGCTTCTTCTGGATCACGAGGTAGATGAGAGTGGGTGGTGTCAGATATGAGCGCTATCAATGCTGAGAGATCGAGGTTGATATGAGTGGTGGGTTCGAAAACTATTGGCTGCGCAGCAGAAGTGTTGTCCGTCTCCTTTACAATGCCCTGCCTGTCGCCTAATTGGACATCTATGCCCATTCCCTGGAGACAGTCGATGGTATGTGCGATTCTGGGATCACTCTTTTCGTAGTTGGGGTCGGAGAGGGAAGGATCTAGTCGGGTTAGACGTATGGTGACGGAAGGTATTTCGTTGGATCCATGGAGAGAATTTGCCCTTGCAGCCTCCAGAAGTTCACGACCCATGCGCAGCACGGAATTGTCAAACTCTTGGGGTATCAATTTTTCCTTCTTCAGGGAAGAGTGCCCGTCGCCGTCATCCTCATCAGAGCTGGTAAGATATGAGTCCATCTCACAAAACTCCATTAAAATGCGACTGTTCTTTATCCTGAAAATTTGTCCAGAGTTGTTTTAGGTGAAATGTTGAATGAACTTACGTATTGACTCTGATCCAACGTCTCCCATTGTCAGAGACCACATCAACCTTGACGCCACGCCCTTTGGCTGAGCCATTCTTGGGCTTTCGGGAGGCCTCAGGATGAGCGGCGGCGTAGAATGTCCGGTATATAGCGACAGCCCCGCGAGCTTGAAGCAGTTCCTGCCATACTGCAACAAGATATGGTGCGTTGGTCGAGAGAGGAGGAAGAGATGTCGATCCTGGTTGATCAAGAAACTACTGAATAGCACATCGATTAGAATCATCGGATCAACAACAAACATCCCTACAGTAGGACTGAACTCACCTTTTGGAGAACTTGCACGTCTCGTTTCACTTCTTCTCGTAGAAACCGCAAGCCAGGCAATACTTCTCGGGTCTGAGGCTTTGCTTCACTCATTTCTTCTCCTGACTCGGATGAGTCGATGATTGGCAATTGCTGGGAGTCGGGCTCGTATGAGTCCAACCCAATGCTAACAGAGCGTAGGCAATTGAACAATACGTAGAGTTCTTCGTGAGGTCTTGCCATTGACTTGCAAATAGTATGATCACTGTGGGTCAGAAACGAAGTCCAAGTACGGTAAAAATGACGGTTACTAGAGGACTCCCAGACTGTCCCGTGTAGGGTGGGTTTGAAGCGAACCGTCTACTTCGAGGTCTATTATACTAGGACCCGAAGGTATCAGAGAGAGATGAGCCGAGGCGAGACGCCGAGCGACAACCACAACAGCTATCAAAACAGACGACGTTAGAATATACAAAATACAGGTGCGTAGGCTATACCTATCAAAACAGACGAGCACGAAACTAAGGAAAGGAGAAAGCCGGCACAACAAACATGTTATACTAGTGAGCTACGAAAAAGGAAACTGGATCGAAAGTCAGCAGCGCTCATGACAATACCCCCTCGTCAAATGGTCGCGTCCCGCGACCAAAGTCACGTTCAAATGTCCCATCCTCCCAGTTAAACAAACGACGTGGGATTCGCGCTGGGACAGTGAAATTTTCGAGTTTTTGAAAACGTAATCTCATTGTCGGCATAGGACGCGGTGAAGCAGGATGTTTGCGGTGGAAAACTGCAATGGCTTGAGGAGCGTTCCTAAGTTCGGAAGCTTGCAACCACTCTCGTTCCTCGCGAGGATATCCTTTCCAATGCACGAGGTACTCCAGTTTTTCCCGTCGCAGACGTGAGTCCAAAATCTCTTCCACTTCTTGTTCCTCGTAACCATCGACTAGAACAGGCGGAGGCGGAGGCGGCTTTTTCTGAGAGGGAAATTCGGCAGGTGTGAATGGAGACAAGACACATTCATTGAAGACTGGGTGAATCGCTTTCCAAGTTCCAGGAAGTGCAAGCTTATATGCAGAGGCTCCATGTTTCTCTAGAATCTTAAAGGGACCGAAATGTTTGTCATCCAGTTTCTTCGCGGGTCGATCGGATGAAATGTGAGTGGATTCTAACCATACTTGGTCCCCAACTTTGAAGTTATGCGACTCACTTCGTTTCCGGTCATAGAATCGCTTCATATCTTCAGCAGCTCGTTTAAGCGCCGATTCCGCTTCTTCTCGCGTCTTTCGCATCCGCTCTGCAAACTCTTTTGCTGCCTCAGCTTTGACCTCTCGACGGAATCCAGTCCCTTTCCGTGGATGATAGCCATAATTGATGAAGAATGGCGAATGTCCAGTCGAGGATTGAACCTTATCGTTGTAGGCGAATTCGGCAAGGGGAAGCCACTCGGACCAATCAGTCTGGTGATAATTAGAGAACACGCGCAGGTAATGTTCTATTTCTTGATTGATCCGTTCAGTTTGACCATCTGTTTGTGGATGGTAGGCCGTACTCGCATTGCTCTGGATATCGAGAAGTCGATAAAGGTCACGCATGAAGGCAGATACAAAATTTGAACCTCGGTCACTAATGACCTTATGAGGCAGACCATAGCTTCGGAATACGTAGTCCCGGAAAATTCGCGCAACGCCTAGGGATGTAATTTCTGTGTTTGTTGGCACCACTTTGATCATTTTTGAGAATCGATCGACGACGACAAGGATCGCGTTTTTGCCCGCCGATTCTGGAAGTGGGCCAATGATATCAACAGATATATGTTCCCAAGGCTGCGCGGGGACCTCATTCGGATGCAGGGGGGCAGCAGGTTGTGAGTTTCTTGGTTTGGTACATTGACAACTTTCACAGCCATCAATATAATGACGGATGTCGGACAGAATACGTGGCCACCAATAGTCACGAGTGATTAACTCGTGAGTTTTATATCTCCCTGGATGACCTGCTAAAACAGAATCATGATGCCCCCGAATGATGTCTTCTCGAAGCTTGCGGTCAATAGGAATATAGACTCGACCTTTCCAGGTGACGAGACCATCTGAATCCAACCAGTCCTTGTCCTTCAAAATGAGCTTCTTAGTAACGACTGCATCCTGATTTGAATGACGACGACGAGCACGGGTGAGAAAATCTTCGTCTACAGTTGCAAGCTCTATTTGACAGAAAATATCAGGCTTAAGAACAACGATGTTTTCATTATCGTTATCCCCCGCCTGATGATCTGGTCGTCTCGACAGAAGGTCCGCTCGTTGATTGGTTTTCCCGGGTTTGTGATGCAGACTGAAGTGATAATTCGACAGTTCTGTCACCCACCGGGCTTGACGACGATTCAACTTTTGAGGCTTACGGAAATATGCGAGGTTCTGGTGATCGGTCCACACCTCGAAGTCGTTTACTGCTCCCATGAGGTGATGACGCCACTCGGCGAGTGCAGTCATTATTGCAAGCCACTCACGGTTGTAAATTTCATAGTTCCGTTCGGTCTCATTCAAGGCTTTTGACAGGAAAGCGATGGGCCTCCAGACACTGTCTTGATATTGCGAGAGTACTGCCCCGATCGCCTTTCCCGAACTATCAGCCTCAACACGATAAGGATCATCATCGGTGGGGATGCCAAGAACAGGAGCAGAAGATACGTGTTGTTTAATTGTCTCAAATGCCTCCTGCTGCTGCTTTCCCCAGGTCCAATCAACATTCCCTGTCAAACTCGTCAGAGGCTTCGCAAGATCTCCATAACCCCGAATAAACCTGCGATAAAAGTTGACAAATCCAAGAAACACTTGTAATTCACGTTTCATGGTAGGTGCAGGCCAATCCATAATCCCTTTGACTTTGACAGGATCCATCTTGACCTGACCCTCCGAAATGATGAGACCTAAATACTCGATCTCATTCACTTCAAAATCGCATTTTTCAGGTTTGAGGTAGAGTTTATTCTCGTGAAGGAGTTGGAGGACATGACGAACAATACATTGATGTTCTTCCCGAGTTTTAGTGAAGATTAGGATGTCATCTAAATAAATAACAACCTTCCCGTCACTGATGAGATCTCGGAAAATATCGTTCATCATGGTTTGGAAAGTAGCCGGAGAGTTAGTCAAGCCAAAGAACATTACCAGTGGCTCGAATAATCCCCGATTCGTATGAAAAGCCGCTTTCCATTCATCGCCCTCCTTAACTCGTACATTATTGTACCCCCAACGGATGTCTAGCTTGGTAAAATACCGGGCACCCTTGAGTTTATGGACGAGTTCCTGGATGAGGGGAAGAGGATACCGATTTTTCACGGTGCAAGCATTTAGCTTTCGATAATCCTGTACTGGCTGAAGTTTCCCATCCTTCTTTTTAACAAAGAAGAAAGCAGATGCGAATGGGGATTTCGACGAACAGATTCGACCAGAACGAAGATTATCCTCAAGGAACGCATCGAGTTCACGTTGTTCCTCGGGACTGAGATTATATACCTTACAGTCGATGGCGTGCTCTCCTGGGATTAATTCAATTGCATGATCCCAAGGTTTTCGTGGTGGAAGCTTGTCAAAGGACTCTTTCTTGAAAATGTCCTCAAAATCGTGGTATGCATGAGGGACCATCTCCTCGAAAGTTTTCTCAGTCTTCGTTCTAGACACTTCTTCGGCTAGTTGTTGGGACATAGTAGTGTGAGCTCAAATATGCGAAGCTGCCCCCTTTTTCATGTAGCCGTCAAAGTCGAAAGCAAATAATCTCTCTCCCTCACTTAAGGTCAACTCCGGTCCACCATCCACGCAGTTCAAATTCTCGTCTTCTTCCGTCTGCTCTGGTTGGAACAAATGATGAGCATATGAGCAGCTCTTTGGGCAACGGTCGAAGTTGAGTGTACCATCCATCCAGTCAATCGAGGGATTATGATGTCGAAGCCACTCATGTCCAATGAATAGCTCTCTTTTCCCAAGATCAGTAACTCCCAACGTGAGACGTTCAACATGGTCACCAATAGCTAATTGAAGAACCATGTAATCAGTAATTGCGCCTCCAGCATTGAGAGTCCCGTCAGCATTATAAACGGGAATTGGACGGGCCAGTTTCTGCGTGTTTATTCCTTTGGCTGCTATGAAACCTGCATCAATCGAGGAGCCTGTACACCCACTATCAATGAGTGCTTTTACACTGAAACTCCGACAGTCATCAAGAGTGTTCAAAGTTGCAGGCACGGTCAACGAGTTTCCGGATCCCCGAATATAACGTTTGGGACCACTAAGCTCATCAATCGCTTCAGATGCCTCCACAAGAGAGAGTGCATTAAGTTCTCTCAGAACTTCCGGAGTGGTTTCGAGACGACGTTTCGGGTGAACCAATGTTCGAAGTAAGCCCATGGCTTTCTCATGTGGTTGGTCCCGAAAACGTTGAGCATACCAAATGGCAGACCAGGGTCGTAGTCTTGCTGCAGGTACTTTGGCATCGTGGGGTCCCCTTAGGTTACTTGCAGCAGTTTCACCTTCGGATCTACCACTTCCACGTCCCGAAGGATTGCCTTTCCCTTCAGACAAAAGCCTCGGGTTTGGGGTTTCACTCCCATCCTTCAGCTCATCGTGCGCTTTTGTCAAGTCCTCATCTTCAACTTCCTCAATATAAGGTTTTGTGTTCGTATACTGGGAGTTACAGGGTAAGGATGGTGAAGATAAAATAGAACTCGAGGCAGTCGGAGAGGTTGCGCCACCTCCCGACATTTTTAAAAACCCTTCTCTCCAAGCCACTTCTTCATCTCGTCTTTGTCTTCTTCGGGCAATTCTTCAAGGATGGCTTGTATCGCAGCTGGCTTCCCTTGAAGGCAGTCTTTCGCAAGGTGACCATGTCGGCCACACTTGAAACATAACCCCTGACGACGGCAAGCATCGACATCCATGGGAAGTCCTTGACCGCCGAAGGTACCTGTCGCAGAGGCTGCGGAAGAAGTTGGTTGAGGAGTAGAAGTAGAATGGGGGTTCTGGTTGGAGCTAGTTCGAGGTGCAGGTGGAGCGGGCAAATGGGGGCGTTGGCGATAAAGTTGATCCTGTTCGATCGCCTTCGCTTTCCAGGCTACAAAAGTTCCAGCCTTGATGGTGTCCGAACTTTCCCAGATGTGATCCACGAGACAAGTATTTAAGGCTCGTTCGAGGAGAAGATTTAAATGATCATCACTCCCCGCAGCCCATCCTGCCATTCGTGCGAGTTGGTCGAACTGCACAAAAAACTCTTCGGCAGTCAAACTGCCCTGCTTCAAGAGTTCGAGTTGACGCTGTGCCTCTCGTTTGGCATTCGCGTCATCAAACAAAGCTTTCAAAGCCACCTCGAAATCGGTGAAGCTCCAACATTGGGTGTCGGGTAGGGAGAACTGTTCTTCAGTATAATTATCAGCCCAAAGGCCAGCACTCCCTCCTTTCATACACGACGTAGCAAACAACACCTTCTTTTTATCATCCGAAAAGATTTTTGGTTTGGCTTCGAACATTACGCGGACCTGTCGCCACCACATTTTGAAGGCAACAGAACCCTTGACGCCACTGAAATTATCAGGGCGAGACAGGAGTGTCTTATCAGACCTGGAGCCTGAGCCGGACATAGTGGAATGCGGTGGTGGTGGTTTAGGGGCTCGAATTAATGGTTGGGTGGTGATTGGAAGTCGAGGTTGAGATACTTCTGGAAACGAGTTGGTTGAATGTGTAGATGGGTTAGAGGTCTCCGATACAGGAGAAGGTGCTCGAGTGTTTGATTTAAACGTGGCGAAAAGATAGGTGATTGGCGATAAAAATGGGTCTCGGGTCAGTTCAGGGAGTTTCATGCTTCTATCAGAGAGAGATGAGCCGAGGCGAGACGCCGAGCGACAACCACAACAGCTATCAAAACAGACGACATTAGAATATACAAAATACAGGTGCATAGGCTATACCTATCAAAACAGACGAGCACGAAACTAAGGAAAGGAGAAAGCCGGCACAACAAACATGTTATACTAGTGAGCTACGAAAAAGGAAACTGGATCGAAAGTCAGCAGCGCTCATGACAGAAGGCCCTTTTAATGCATGTACCGTAATCATTAATCAAACGTTAACCTCTCACCGTAACTTCTGAATCATCAACCATTGATTGCCGTCCCTCTGGCCGAGTCAAGGTGAGTGGTACTAGTCTTGCTACATGGTGCACGCGTACGCAGTTTCAAATCATGGAAATGTAACGTCTGGTAAATTTGAAAGCGGTCGACTAAACAATTTCATCAGATCGAGGCGCTCACTGCTGGACCCGCCGATCATAAGGTTCCAGGTAATAAAGAATAGGTTAATGCGTGACTCAGTACGGCCCGTTCATCATGATGGGGTTGGTGTTATCGAAGAAAGTGATTCCGCATATTTGTCTAGCAAGATAAACATGCAATAATCTTGGACTGGCAAACTTCCATGTCTGCTGAGGTGTAAGCACGCTGGCTTACTTGAGTTCTCATAATCAATACATATACTGTCGCGGGTACTGAAGACTAAGTCTTCAGTATTTCTACCTTTTGGTGTAATGGTCATGAGGCGCGGCAGCCGACTACTTTACATGAGGCTCAAAGGAGGGGGAGGGGTGCTCGTGCCATCTGTGATTATACTGTCCTTGCGCCGGATTTGTGTTTGATCAAGGTCGAGAAACTTAGTCGGGTCCAGCCTGGGGCCCGAAGCCGAAAGGCTGTTGTTTCCAGCAGTTAATTTTCTTTTGGGCACGAGACCCTGGTCCAATGACCAGCACCCACCTAGAAGGACTTCATCCAGCGGAGATTATACACTGCTTGATTCAGAAGCCAATCACGAAATCTGTCAGTTGCCTGCACGTCTTTGCTAGAGTCTGAGTTTCGGAAATAGAGACGTACCGGTGATCCTCGGTAAGTCAGTAAGTTAGGCATGATGATTTAAGGAACCCGCTGATTTGTTGATCCAACAGCCTACATCCGAGTCAGGTATGTATATAGTCCAACAGCCCTGCATCAGGTAATATCACAGTCAAGCAATTAATTATGTGATGCTGTCACGGTGGTGGGGGACCTATCCGATGCTTTGGGAGGTATATGCCAACTTAATTGATCGCACTCATCTTGGTCTCGGGATCCGGTTAACAAATGTCGAGGCCCCGAGTTGGAACAGGACAGCTCGGTACAATAGAAGGTGGGTGTTGAATGTCAACATCGCCAATGTTTGTTTTCGCTTATTATTTCAGACTCTTTACCTTAATGCCTTATATCATTGTCTACGCATGTTTATACCTCAGCAGTTCTATCACCAATGCTGAGGTATGTATCATAGTTGTCTGCACGCACGCTCATTTCCTCACTGTTACTGTTCATAGATTCGTTTATTAGGTTTGTCAATATAAAGTGGTTCTATCACCAATGCTGAGATTCGTCTATTAGCTTTAACTTCCAATAGGTTATGAGCCCTGACTCAAACTGAGTCAGAAACCAAAGCTTAAAGTCGTTATCCCCTCTCATTTATCAGCCTGCCGCTCTTATCAGATTGATAGTTCCCTGTCGACGTTGTCATGGGAAAATTCGATCACATTCCTGAGTTGTTGGGATCGGAGAACTATGTTGGTTGGTCCACCAAAATGCAATACACCCTCGCGTGTGAAGATCTATGGTGTCACATCAACAACAAATCGGATCCCACCTATCTCCTTGGCAAACCTTCATATCTCCCCGTTCCCATTGATCCGCTCAAGATCACCAAGGAAGAAACAAAGTCGATGCACAAATGGCTACTAAACGATATCAAAGCAAAAGAATACATAACACGCTGTCTTTCTAGCAATGTGAATGCCCTTGTATCTCATGCACACACCGTGACCGCACGCAAAGCTTGGGAGACACTCAAGGAACACTACAATCATTGCAATATCAGTGCACAGTACCAAATTCGTCAACAATTGCAAGTACTTCGCATGAAAGACTCGGCGGACATGTCGAATTTTGTCGGCCAACACGCCGCTTTGCAAGAGAGGCTTATAGACTCGGGTGCACCATATGGTGATGCAGACACAATTTTCAACTTGCTCATGGGACTGCCTTCCACGCCTATATGGCAACAGTACAAATCGCAACTTGAACAGTGAATGCACGATGATCAGATCGCCGCGTCGTCCACCTCCGCTCTCCCCTCCTTCACCTTTGAGACATGCATGTCGCGCATCAGTGCGGAAGCTGCACACCACGTCAATGTTCAACTTATACAGTATGCACGTCCTGGTTCAGAGTACACGAATGCCATCGCTATGCCTGCTCCAAACGTGTTGATGAACATTAACACCATTACAGGGTTATGAAAACATAAGCACAACCCTCAAGGTGTTTTCTGTATGATGGCAGGTTGCAATAAAGGAGATCATGATCATGATCACTGTTATAAGAAGGGCGGAGGGATGGAAGGTCAGGCACCCTGGCAGAAAAAGAAGGGTGAACCAGAGGCAGTCGCAGCAGCAGTCGTAGCACCAGCTCCATCTCATCCCCCTCCACCGCATATTGCTGCTGCAGCTGCATCACTAGCCAGCCTCTACGACGATGTCTCGTTCACATCCATTGCCGTCCTCCCTGACCATCATGTCGCATGTGCTCTCCCGCTCCCTTTCTCAGTGATTCTCGACTCCGGCACCACCGGCACCCTTGTTAAAGACTGCAGCCTGTTTCACACCTACTCCACCGAAGATCCTACCAGTGTCAAAACTGCTAATCACGGTATTCTTCAGACTGCGGGACGGGGAACATGTGTGGCCTGGCTCACCATCGGGGGGAGGCATATGCGTCTCTGCATGTCAAACTGCCTGCATGCTCCTGATGCACTACTCAACCTTATTTCGGTCAGCAGCATGAACACCAAGGGCTGGGATGTCAATTTCTGGGCAAACATGACGTGTGAACTCACCTACCGCAATGTGTACTGGGCGCCATACCGGCCACTGGCAAACTACATGCGCCTGATCTTGAGTTTGTTCCATTTGTACAGACAACTCAAGCACTCCCCGTAACAACAGAACTTGCTGCGTTCACACACGTACCACTCACCCTAGATCTCTGGCATGCCCGAGTCGGCCACATCGGCAAAGCTGCAGTCACACGACTCCCGCAGATTGCAAAAGGGGTGACAATTGACACCCACACACCCTTGTCGCACTGTGAATCCTGCATCCTCGAAAAACACCCTCATCAGCCATACCACTCCTCCGAATCCGAGCGCGCCACTCACTTTCTAGATCTCATCCACTCTGACGTGTGCGGGCCCATCCCAGTACTCACCCCACACGGCAAACACTATTTTATAGTGTTTATTGATGATCATACGCACACGCTCGACATCCAGTTGCTTGCGTCAAAGGACCAAGCACTCAATGCGTGGTGAGTCACACGCGCACGGTGGGAGAACTTATCAGGCTTGCGGGTCAAGATTTTTCGATCTGACAATGGGGGTGAGTTCATGAGTGACACTTTCACTAAGGAACTCGAGGCAGCTGGGATCACGTGTCAACGGTTGGCGCCATACGCCCACCAACAGAATGGGAAGGCCGAACGCGTCATCCACACCATTGAGGGACGGATGTATGCAATGTTGGACCATGCTCGCTTACCTCGATCGCTATGGGGAGAGGCAGCACTCACGGCAGCATACCTTTTCAATCGATCGGAGTCTCGTGCCCTTCCCCCAGGCAAAACCCCATACGAGATGCTTCACAAGGTTCAACCCACCCTCACGCATCTTCGCATTTTCAACTCGCGCTGTTTTGCGCGAATTCCACCCGAGCTGCAGGAGAAGCTTGGCCCTCATTCTTGTGAGGCAGTGTTCATGGGATACCCCCCAGGCGTCAAAGGTTGGCAGTGCCGCGATGTCGTCACCAGCACTTTCTTCAACTCACGTGACATCATCTTCGATGAAAATTTCACTCATCGTCCTTTCCCTGACAGTGACGATGAAGAGGACGAACCTGCGACCCCATCTAACCCAGTTACACCGCCGCCTCCTCGTGCAGAAACACCATCAGCCCCTTGCATGCCTGCTCCTCCCCACACAGAACTCATCCGTCATTCTCGTCGCATCCCCATCCCGACCTCCAAAGGCTCGCTATTTCAAGAGCGACTCACCGCGGACAAGCAATGTCTCGACAGGCAGCGAGCTATTCGCACAGCGCGCATTCAAGGTGTTCCTCCCCCTGCCTCACTCTCAGACGCACCCATCCCTCCCAACATCCCCGATCATCCTACTCCCTTGCCTGGTCCTCCCGCGATCGAACCTGCTGACCCCATAGTCGAGGATGATGAGGAAGTAGGCTTCCCACACGTATTGGCTAACCTTATTGCTGTTGAATTTGCGTGTCTGTCGGTCAGGAGTGACACCCGTCGTAACCCTCTGGCTCGCGACTACAACTTGCGCATTCTGCCAGCCACCTACGATGAGGCGATTCGACGACCAGACTGCGACAATTGGTTAGCTGCAATGCGGAAGGAGATAAATCTCATGTCGGAGATGACGGTATATGAACTTGTGCCCTTACCAGCGGATCGACGTGCCATCGGATGCAGATGGGTCCTCGAGTTCAAAGAGGACCTTAAAGGAGGTCCAGTCTTCAAGGCTCGTCTGGTCGCCCAAGGGTTCTCCCAGATACCAGGGGTTGACTTTGATAAGACTTTCGCGCCAGTGGCAAAGTCCGCCTCGATTCGCGTACTTTCAGCATATGCGGCTGCACATGATTGGGAGCTAGACTGTTTTGACGCAAAGCGCGCGTTCCTTTGGGGAAAATTACAGGAGGACGTATACATGCGACAACCACCCAGCTTCGACCGCATGGGACTCAACAGCCTACAGCTCGTTTGCCACCTCCTCACCTCACTATACGGCCTCAAACAAGCAGCCTACAATTGGTACGAGCTCCTCCGTGAAGTCCTCACCCACCTCGGGTTCTTACGTTGTGAAGCCGACTACGCTGTCTTCATTTTCGATCACGTCGACGGGGACGGGGTAAGGGTGATATGTATCATAGCGTGGCATGTGGATGATGGACTAGCTGGGAGCAACAATCGCCGTTTCCTCGATCAAACGAAGGCGCAAATTGCTGAGCGTTTCAGTATAACCGATCTGGGAGCCGTTAGCAAGTACATTGGGATTCAGTTCATCCGCGACAGACAAACTCGCGAGCTCTGGATGCATCAAGAAGATTATATCATTTATCTACTTGATGAACACAACATGACCAGCTGTAATCCTGTCAATCTGCCCATGGACCCTAACTTCCCCTTTGGCCGCACCACTGATGTCTATCCACATGTTGAGGACCTCGAGACGGAGTACCGAAAACTGGTAGGTGAGCTCTTATACCTCGTGATGTATACTCGCCCAGACATTGTGTTTGCCATGATGTGTCTCGCTCAACATAACACCTCCGCCCAGCCATGTCATTACTCTGCCGCCAAACACGTCTTATGCTACCTCTCGGGCACCATCCACTTAAAGACTCACTATGGTGGCACTGGAATCAACCCCTCCCTCCATGGCTACAGCGACTCTGATTGGGTGTCTTGTCCAGAAGACCACATCTCCATTTCGGGCTACGTTTGGTTCTTCAATGGCGGACCTGTCTCACACTCGGCTAAAAAGCAGACCACTCACGTGTTATCATCAACGGAGGCAGAATACATGGCCTTGATGTCAGCGATTCAAGATGGACTTTGGATCCAATCATTCTTCAAGTGCATCACAATTCCCCTATCACTGCCTCTGCGTTTGTTCGCAGATAACGCCGGCGCTATCACACTTTCACAAGAGGCAGCCAATCATGTACACATGAAGCATATCGATCTAAGATATCACTTTATACGACGTCATATCGAAGAAGGGACCTTCTTACCAGCGTGGCTATCAACACACAAAAACACAGCCGACATTTTCACCAAGCCTTTACCCTAGCCCATCTTCATCCAGCACCGCTCCAGTCTCGCTCTCGCATACCGTTGAAACATTTCCAATTCAGATTTCGCATCTCGATCCAATCGCATTCTCGCATCTTGTTTTCTTGTCCATTGTCTCGTTGAGGGGGCGTGTTGAATGTCAACATCACCAATGTTTGTTTTCGCTTATTATTTCAGACTCTTTACCTTAATGCCTTATATCATTGTCTACGCATGTTTATACCTCAGCAGTTCTATCACCAATGCTGAGGTATGTATCATAGTTGTCTGCATGCACGCTCGTTTCCTCACTGTTACTGTTCATAGATTCGTCTATTAGGTTTGTCAATATAAAGCGGTTCTATCACCAACGCTGAGATTCGTCTATTAGCTTTGACTTCCAATAGTGGGTATATAAGTTCTTCTGCAGGTCCTAGAGTCAAACCATCAACAATCTCCTCCTCTTTCGAGCACTTGCACATCATCAGAAATTATATTTTAGAAAACATGGGCGCTCACACTGACTTGATGATATACCTCCCAGACACCATGACCAACTGGCCCTGGCCTCGTGCCATCAATCCTCTCTTCGAAGATGTGAAAGCTGAAGTCAATGCTTCATTCCGTGACTTCAAGGCCTTGAGTCCTGAGTCACAGGATGCATTCGACAAATGTGATTTTGGTTCCACTGGGGAAAAAAAGAAATTATGGAGCGGTGGAAATGTCACATGAACCTTACATTCTAGCTAGATTATCACTTTATTTTGACTTAAGAACCACGAAATGATAATATGGTGTATATTTTCATATCCTCGTGCCATTTCCATCATATTCTTACATGCATCTGGACTTGAAAAAATTCAAAGTCAAAACCCTCTGCCCTACTTTGTGTTAGTTCTTGTCCTCACACCACAATGTTCACATCGACGTTGTTGATTTCTAGGTGTATAGCTAGTTATGTAGCATTAGTTGAGTACAATTGAGGTCGGAGGATATTGGCAAGCGCTGCATGGTTAACGTTAAGCTTCGTGTATGTAGAAACAGTATGTACAGTATATATCAATGTCATTCTCTTTGCTATGTTCTAGCTATGGTCTCAATGCATATGCACTATTAAGCCATTCATAATGCAGGTATATATGTGTGTGCACCCGCTGCGGTCAAATGGACTCGAGATTACAACAAATGAAAATGTCCTCCAAAACATGATCAGAACATGGTGAAAACATGGTAAAAATGTGATCATTCTCTTTGCATTTTCATTTCTTTGTAAGATAGGCCTCATCCAGATCCAGCACCTTATGTAAGCCCTAACCCTAACCCTAAAATGCGGCCAAATGCTAGGATTTTCTTTTTGAAAATTTTTGCCAGTCTCTAGGCAGCTGTTTAAGAGCCATTGGGCCCATCACTATGTACAAATTGTATTGCAGGTCTATGTATAAAGTGATTTTTAACCTTAGCAACACCTTTAGGAGGCAAGGTATGTTGGAGATATGGCATATGCTGTCTGACTCTGTGGTATGTACTTGTCATTGGCCCTCTTAGTAAGCATCTTGACCACAGCCACATATCATGTGACCACTTATATAAGCGGCCAAATATGTCTTCGGTATATCTCAAAAAAATTACTTAGTATTTCTGCAGTGTGGAAATGATATTCTAAGGCATTTTAGATATTTATTGTTTTTGACTTATTTCTTCTTCAGTTCTGAACCAAAAATAAAAATTCTTCCTGGGTCCTCAAGAGAAGGTATATTAGAAGACATCCCAGGGCTTATATTTGCTAAAAGTCACTTTATGGTGTGGCTATTCAACAAGGTAGAACAGTGCAAACTCACTTACATAAGACGTGCTGGAACCGGATGAGGCCTATCTTAACTTGATTAGAATATCACAAACATCTGGTGTGAATCTTGAGGTTTGCACCACATTCTCACTTCGTGTAATCTATTTTTTCCCCCAGTGTTCGCTTTCTGTCACCTCTCAATTTTGAACGTGACTGACACCTTTCGTTGTTGTAGCCCTCCTAGCAGCTCTGAGCAGTCCCAATGTGTCCAGAGGTTGGTATTTGTCCCCTATCTATTCACACACCACAGAATCCTGATTTTATTCTTGCAAATAGAGCACCTTTGAGTCGGCTGTGACCTAACCAATATTTACTTCATTGTAGATGAGTACACCAACATCGAAAATGTGGCAGCCACCAAGGAAATGTTGGACATCGTGCTCGATGCTCTACACAATCCTCACAAGACACGACCAGAAGGCGAATGCATCCTCGGTGAAATAGTACGACAGTAAGTGCTTCTAAATTGTTTGATGATGAAAAAAGAGCTCAAGACACTTTTGTCTAGATTTTGGGCTCGTGCAATCCAGACCGCAAGCCTGGCTTCTCAGTGTCACTTCATTGAGACTTTCACAGCATACATTTGTTCACTAGCTGTCGAGGCTGTCGACCGCGAACAACATCAGTAAATTCACACATTACTTAGCTTCCCTTTGTCGTAACTTGCCGCTGGGTAGTTTCCCAAAAAGGAGCGGACAAGTGACTCATAAGAATGGTGACACCAACTTATTATTAGCTTGCCACAAGGCAATTATAAGTGGAATAAGTAGATGCCTCCTCTTGGTGGGACCTTTTCAGTCCTTATTGTTTCACTTTTGCGCACCTATTTTGCACTTTTTTTTTCGCACCAATGCAGTACATTCACTTATTTTCTACTTTGTTTGTACATTTTTGAGGACTTATTTCACACTTAGTAAGCGAAAAATGACTGGATTATTCGAGAGAAAAGGGAGGGAAAGCAACATGAAAGTACTGGTAGGAGATATTTTAATGTATGAAAAAGTGAATAGCATGACTACTAGTAGGTACATGAGACCCCGGGCCGGAAGCAGCAGTAAAATGTTGACAAATTGAAGGAGTAATCTACAAATAGTAGTACCAAAAATCGTTAGTTGCGACCAGAAGCTCAAAAAGAAAAAGAACGATACCCACCAGAAGATGAGTGCACGCTCGTCATCGGAGTCGTCGTCCAGAACGACCAGCGCATTACGCCCCCTCGTGGCAGCGAGTGCCTTCGCACGTCCCCAGAGTTCTTGGACGATTGACTCTTCGAGGCGGTTGATAGACTTCATATAGTTCCTGGTTGCTGAACCGAAGTTGGTGACCGAAAAGGCACTCCGAGAACCGCTATCCTTGCCTGTGGCTTTGTTGAGAGTGTGGGGGACCTTAACAGCCTTCCCTTTACTGTTGATGCCGAGTGTGGGGTGATGCCCGATAATTTTGAGGGCATGTTCCAACTAAAATGTGACAAATAAGTTAGCGGTACTATGAAGCAAGGGTGGAAATACACGCCGCCGCAGTGATAAGACCAATAGCGCCCCTCACATGTGTTATATCTGTCGGACTCCTATGCCTGTTGATAGCGCCCGAAGTACTATGACCATGCTGCACGAGGACCTCGAGAATGAGATCAGACTGAAAAGGTTTTTGGAATTTTCCATCCTCTGTAATGTGACCATACAGGAATCCCAACTTGAAGAGTAAGCTATTCGCGAAGTCTTCGCGGTCTCAATCAGTCTCAACATCATCCTGCGACAACATAAAACTCGCAAGTACCGAGACAGCGGAATGACCAATGTTATGGCGCCAGTCGGACAGCCATTGGAGAGCCTAAGAAAAATGCGAAAATGATTAGATACAAGTAGCGTCAAAAAGTACTTACTATGGCAATGACAGGTCCGTTTGTAGTGACTGTATGTGTGATATCCCCGTAAACCACATTCCAAATGTCCTGCAGAATATCGTGGAGGGTCATCTCAGGAATAGACCAGACCTTGTCCTGATCTCTGATGGTGAGGATGAGAGTAGGTATAAACATGCTACTCCACCTAGTTGTTGCCCGAGAACCTCCAGGGAGGTTCGTGATCCTGTAATGAGAGCGGGGGAGGATCTCCACTATAACCTCGTCAGGGTTCGTGGGATCAGGTGTTTCGGCGGTTGTGATACGGGAAACACTCTGAGTGTTTTTACCAGAGGGCTTTGGCCTCTTTGCAACGGGGGCTTTGTGATTGACACCGACACCAGTCTACATATTTCATAGTCAGTAAGATTTCATATTAACACAACGAAAGCATACTACCCCAGACGTTACCCGCAAGGACACAGGTTTGGGTTCGGTCTTGACCACGGTCTTCTTGTGGTGATCAACAATCTCAATTTCGGATGAGGAGTTGTCCTCGATCATAGGGTCGTCCTCGCCGATCATAAGGTTGTCCTCAATCATCAGGTTGTCCTCCATCAGGTTGTCCTCCATCAGGTTGTCCTCAATATCTGCATCCTCGATATCCGCGTCCTCGATATCCGCGTCCTCGACATCTGCGAATTTCCGCTTTACACGTGTTGCTGGAATGGTAGGGTGGGATGTGTGGGCTTGGGCGAGAGGCCGGGGGTCAACGTTATAATACCCTTTGGGAACCTGTGGAGAAGGGGGTGGTTCGAGATCAGATTCTGAATCCGAGTTGGATTTATAAAAAACCAGGGCAGGTAGGGGAGCCTGTGCAGGTGCCTCAGCGTCCATTTCAAAATCATTGTTCGGGGTCGTGAAGGTATCATCATAGATGACATCAGGTTTGATCACGGCGAGCTGCTTGGGTGCCAGATGGGCATTGTGGGGGGCTAAGTTTGTGGGCACTGCAGCGCCAGGGACATTGGGAGAAATCTTGGCACCCTGAAAATACAATGAAAACATTAGAAATAAGATATAGATGAAGTCACCTGAGTAGCCCTCAATTTTGACATCCGACAAAGAGCCCGAGAGTGCTCGATTGATTCATCTAAATCATCGTCATCAAACAGGGTAGAAATAGCAAGACCTGTCAATTTGTCAGCCCCAGCATCAAAATTGCTACTGATTGACGTGAGCGGGGCACTGCTGCTACTGATAGTGGTTCCCCTGGTGAGCTTAGAGGAGGGAGAAGAACTAGAGATAGCGGACTCTTGGATGGAAGACACTGCAGAATGTCTGGCCTTGGAGGACGGCTTTGAACCACCAGCGGGAATGTTCGATCGCCCAGTCCGGGATACACCCAGCAAGTTGGAATTTTTTAGGAGCTGGTATGGAGCTATCAGCATCAATATCACGGACCATGAGATTGAAAAAAAAAAGAGTTGTTTCAGTCAGATAGACCCTCATGGTTAAGGTAAGAAATAAACGCCTTACACATCAGACACTTGGTTATCATGATCACGTGCCTCTGTTGATTCATCGATAAGGCCTGCTGCTTCAATCACATTTCTCACTGGTGTCTTCACTGGGATTACTTTCCTCCCCTTCATTTTGTGTGTCCCTGGCACTTGCGCCTCCAACTCCTGTTCACTCCTAGGATTCCCGATGTCAGCACCAGCTGTCATTTTACCTTTAGCCCTGCCGCCCTTGACTTTGGCACCAACAGCCTTATCGGCACCAACATCCTTATCAGCGACAATGCCTGCACCTTCCTGACCACCCGCCGTAGTCATGTTGGAGGTGTCTGAGGCTTTCACACCCTTCTTTACTGGGCTTGGACAAGGACGACTTGGCTTGGGTGCATCAGCACGCATTGCAGCTTGGTCGGTCTCCATCTGTTTCTGAAATGTGGCAACGCGCTTATGCTTTTCTTGCACAGCTGTTTCACTTGCCTCCTTTGCTTCTTTTTCAAGCTGGTCGTCAGTGGACTTTTGAGCTTTGGTACATCTCTTTGCGCGGTCTTCACCCCCAGTCAGAATATGTCCTGGATGCTGAGTAGCATTTTTAGCTCGAGCTGTCATGCATTTCGGAACTGCGCTGGCAGGCTGAGACATGGTATTGATGGATGGGTTGGAAGGCTGAAGAAATTTGAGGGCGATGGTGGTTGACAACAAGGTGAGTTTCGTCACATTTCTTGACAATGTAGTCTAAGCTGACTCTGAATAAATACATCGACCCTACCTACAGTCATGCCCCGGTGCTACTACCTATTAGTTTAGTGCGACCCTTCTGCAGCTGCTATTGACGTTGGGGACTGCATCAATTTTTCCAAAACCTTTCCAGTACACGCATCAAATTTTCCAACACTTTTCCTGGATGTCAAAGTTTGCCCATGCCATTTCGACGCAGCAACGTCAATGTTAGCCGAGACATTTCGCCAAGAGGAAAGTTTCCCACCCCGCTAGTACGTCAATTTTCACCAGGACTTTTCCATTATGGCTTGAACATCAATATTTACCAAGACTTTTCCAGTTAAATTTGGTCTAGGGTCTGTTTCAGATGCCCAAGTCTGGCCTAAGTTTGCACATCAAACCTAATTTTGGGCACATTGGGCACATTGGTGCTGGTGATTACGGTTGAATGTGTTGGCCTTCGGAATCCTCTTCAATCATTGATTCCAACAGCCCTGCCTGTAGCGCATATGCCTCCCCGCCGTTCTCACAATCTCCTTCGGCTTCCATGCCTAGCTCCAGCCTGCACACGCTGGTTTTGAAATCAGTCAGGTCGCACCCAACACATGCGGGCACTCCACCCAACTTTACCTGCTTCAGGACTGCCCCCGCAGGATCCTCCCCTACTATCTCAGTCACCACCCCGCCATCGAGACTTTTCACCACCCCCTCCGGGTTTCTCACCACCCCCTCCGGATTTCGCACAGCCGCCCCAGTCATTGCCTCCCATACTCCCTGAGCGAATTCATGAGGATACTGATGCAGAATTCACTGACACAAGTGAGTGTTACTATCATACCCACCATTCAATGCTAAACGGTAAGTTCCCTTCAAGCTGTCAGTACTCTGTTTTTGACTCAGATTTACTACCTTAGGACGACCATGCACGGCCGAGGGAGCATTTCTGCCGTATGGTACCCCACCAACTCCCGTGCCACCAAAGTCTCCTGTTGATTGGAGTCCATATCGCAATAGAACAGAATTTGAGATGGCAGAGTTCGCATTCAAAAAGTGCCACATGTCTACAAACAACTTGGATTTCCTATGCAACTTAATGGCTGCGACTCTCGCAAAACACCGTGACACCCCTCCATTCACCGATCACAAAGATCTACACAACGTCATTGATGCGACACAACTTGGTGACGTCCCCTGGCAATGTTTCTCGGTTCAATACACAGGAGAACACCCTGAGGTTGTCCCACCGTGGATGGATGATGAATTTGAGGTCTGGTATAGGGACCCCCGTGAGATGGCGCACAACATATTGGCCAACCCTACCTACAAGGATGAAATTGACTATGTGCCATTTCGTGAGTATAATGCATTGGACGACATGCGCCGATGGAAAGACTTTATGTCTGGAGATTGGGCATGGCATCAGGCGGTACATATTTAATCTATCACTATTATTTCTCGGGACATGCTAATGTTCTATAAAGGACACCATATCAAAAGATCCAGAAACCCGTGGATCTACTTTAGTCCCAATCATTCTCAGTAGTGACAAGACTACTGTCTCCGTTGGCACTGGTAACAACGAATACTATCCACTCTATGCCTCGATTGGTAACGTACACAACAATGTGCAGTGTGCTCACCGAGATGCTCTTGTTATCATCGGTTTCCTCGCTATACCCAAAAGTATGTGTGCTAATTATTTACATTTTATTATGCCCCATCTGAATGGTGCCCCAGCTGACAAGAAGTATGCTAAAGATGACATGTTTCGGATATTTCATCGTCAGCTATTCCACAGCTCACTATCCACAATTCTCTCCAGCCTGAAACCTGCGATGACTGAGTATGAGGTTGTGCACTGTGGAGACGGTCATTTTCGACGCATTATATACAGCTTAGGACCCTAAATTGCTGATTACGAAGAACAACTGGTGTTATCCTGCATTGTTAAATGTTGGTGCCCAAAGTGAGTATGAGAACTTGCAATTGGTGTCCATTCATACTGACAATACTTGTAGATGTATCACACTTTGAACAGACCTTGATAGTGGTGGTGCATACCGCTGTCGCGAGCATACCGATTTCATGGTCAATGAACTACACGGGGATATATTGTGGGATGAATATGGTATCATTGGCGATCTCATTGTGAGCAGAACCGGCCGCTCTTCAATATCACACTAATTTGTTTTGTATGGCCATTTACAAATGACTTCCCCTGAGCTGACATCCATGAATTGCTATTGTTCGACCTCCTCCACCAGCTAATAAAAGGTGCTTTCAAAGATCATCTCATCGACTGGGTAGCAAAGTACCTCAAGGCTGTGCATGGTACCAGAAGGGCGGACGAGATCATGACCAACATAGATTACAGGTATGTCACCTCGCTCGCTGGCTCAATCTCATTCTCTAACAATAAGTCAGAGTTGCTGCTGTAGCATCATTCTCAGGTTTACGACAATTTCCTCAAGGCCGTGACTTCAAACAGTGGACAGGCGATGATTCAAAAGCACTCATGAAGGTCTTTCTTCCGGCTATCGAAGGCCATGTACCTGAAGACATGGTGCATGTGTTCCGCGCATTGTTAGAATTTTAATACCTTGTGTGGTGCAATGTCATAACCGAAGATACCTTGAATCAGATTCAAGACGCGCTTCATTGTTTTCATTGCTATCGCAAGATATTTGATGTTGTTGTTCCTACCTTCTCGCTCCCCCACCAGCACTTGATGACTCATTACACAGACATGATACAACTCTTCGGTGCCCCAAATGGCCTATGTTCTTCAATCACAGAATCAAAACATATCAAGGCAGTAAAGGAGCCCTGGCGGTGGTCGAGCAAGCACAATGCTCTTGGTCAGATGCTTGTGACCAATCAACACCTTGACAAGCTCGCAGCATCACAAGTGGACTTCGATGCGCGAGGGATGCTGACTGGTACTGTTTTATCAAGTGTTTTGGCCGTTCTTGGTAAGTTTTCTATATCTGATTGTCTCCTTGTATACTTATCAGCAATATACAGTGGCAGATGAAGATAGACTAGCTGCACCTGCTATCGCCGCGCCACAACCAGATGCCCATACCATTGAACCGCAACCAGAAAACAATACCAACAACAGTGAAATAGTTGATGGTCCAACCGTACTCGCTTATGTATCGCTCGCCAAAATTCCTCGTAAGTAATATCACGCAATGTCCAAGCTGTGAGCTCACTTGTGTCACACAGAACGAAAACGGGCACATACAGTAGCAGCATTGGCACTTGAAGTCGCTGTTCCGGATCTGCAACGTCTCATTCGACACTTTCTGTTCTCTCAGCTCTACCCCAATGATCCTCGTGACCTCGAAGATGTACCAGCCACTAGCTGCCCTAGACATGAAGGCAAGCTCCAGGTCTTCAATTCGGCTGCTGCAACATTCTATGCTCCCAGCGATCCAAGTGGCATTGGCGGCATGCGACGCGAACACGTCCGTGCATGCCCACTCTGGAGGAACGAGTACCCACGCAATGATTGTGTGTTCATCAACACTGATTCAAATGCTGAAGGAATGCGAGGACTCGAAATTGCGAGAGTGATATGTTTCTTTTCTTTCAAACACGACTGGGAAGTATACTCATGTGTTCTCATCCAATGGTTCGACAAGATTGGTGATTGTGCCGATGAAGACACTGGCATGTGGATGGTCCGTCCAAGTCTTCATGAGGATGGCTCCCGGAACCTCGCTGTCATTCATATTGAGACGGTCTACTGTGCAGCACACCTGATACCTGTCTACAGCTCTGAGTATATCCCTCACTCCCTCAAGTTCTATCATTCCTATGATTCTTTCCGTTCATTTTATGTCAACAAATACGCTGATCACCATGCCTTTGAGATAGTGTCCTGACCGCCACACGTGACATAGGTAGGTCCTCAATTCAATCCTCAGTCTGTTGCTAATGGTCAAATCAACCCCAATAGAATGTTCAACTTATCGACACTCAGTGTCTCCACCTTTGACAAGCCCCCCTCGAGGACAATCAAATCAGAACTCCAGCTGCTTCCAGAGTCCAAGCGTGACTCGCAACACACTGAGTTTGCAATCTTCGTGGTACACAACAAGCTCAAGAGTCCCCTGCTCCGAACGGGACACCTTCAGTACCCCTAGCTTCAAATCCCACGAACCAATCAGCCGTCAGGCTTGCGCTGTCAATGAGAAGGCCGGTCACCAGACTTCCACTGAGTCCTGGGGTATGGGTCCTCAATTCAATCATCAGTCCATTGCTAATTGGTCACCAGACTTCCGCTGAGTCCTGGGGTATGGGTCCTCAATAACGGGACACCTTCAGTACCCCTAGCTTCGAATCCCACGAACCAATCAACCGTCAGGCTTGCGCTGTCAATGAGAAGGCCGGTCACCAGACTTCCGCTGAGTCCTGTGGTACTGGTTGCGCTGTTGCACGTATTCCTCGTGTCGGTCCTACCATCACTCACAAGCGAGTGATCGAGGAATTTGGCGAGCACAATTGGACCCCCCCTCCCCACCTAACATCACTCACAAACGAACAATTAAGGAATTTAGTGAGCGCAATTGGACCCCCCATCCCCACCTACCATCACTCACAAGCGAGCGATCAAGGAATTTGGCGAGCGTTCAAAGAATTTGGTGAGCATATGTCATTCGTGACGGATTCGTGTACACTGATGATACAATTTTTACAGGTCGACTATGTTAACAAGTGCATTGGCATGCCGCATTACCGCAACAACACCTTCAAATAATCGGTAAGTTCGCGACTCGTCAGTTACAAGCTATTTTACTCACCATCGTCTGCAGAAACAGTGTCACGCTACGTTCGAGCGGGGCGTTCCATCTCCTCGATTCCTACGCCTCATCCACCTCCTCAATCTCTTCCACAACCCCAGTGGGGCCTCCACCTGTTCCACCTGAGCCACCTGAGCTACTGGCTGCCTCCGCCCTTGCATCCGCCCTTGCCCGCGATACACACCGGTATGTGTTGTTTTGCGGGTCCCAGTGTACCTTACTAATGTCTACAAACATTTTCAGGGTCAATATCTTAATGAGCTGGAGTACGTACTGGATCTTGGGGGCCCATTGCGCTCGAGATCGTGTTGATCGCTGATATCGACGAGTCGTTGGTGTTTGATCAGCGGTAGTAGCTGGTATTGAGACGGGCGCTTCACCGTCTTCCCTTTTTGGAAAGTGAGTCCCATTTCTAACAGCGTGCCCTATGATACTAGTAGTACTACTATATTGTAATTTACTTGTTCACTCTAGGCTTTTTCAGCTTTTCAGCTTTTTTCAATTGTATGCCTTTTCATGCGCTTTTACTTGTGTGCTTCAACTTTTGCCGCCTTTCCGGCGCTTTTGTGTCACGCGCTTACTTTTCGTACTTGTGAAATCCAGGGCCACAAGTGAATAAGTGTACATAAGTCAATTAAAGGTGGGAATAAAATTTAGAATTTTAAGCAAGCAAGCGCCGACGAATGTGTGAATTTACTGATGAAGGTCATTGCCGCAGTATTAATGACTACCTGAAGCTCAGGTGGGACACATGTGCCGTCAAATCTGCTCTTGCAGTATGTGAAATGGACATGGAGCTTCCTGATGAAGTGTTCTACCATCCCGTCATCGTGGACCTGGTTGACTGCATCACAGAGTTGTGTCTGATCGACAATGTAAAGTCCCATTAGAAGTGTGGTCTGCAGTGTGTTAACGACCTTCATAGGACATGATCTCGTACAACAGAGAGCAAGCGACTGGGGATGGGAACCATAACTTGATAACTGCCATCATGTTGGAACTCAGTCTCGACATAAACGGCGCGATGTCTTGGGCGACACGCTATCACGCCGATATACAAAAAAGATTTATCGATGGTCTAGCGAAGGTACCTTCATGGGGACCATCCGTTGACGTCCTTGTCAAGCAGTTTATTGATGGGATAGCAATTTGGGCTCGTGCACAACATTGTTGGAGTTTTGAGGCCCAAAGGTCAGAAGAATTTCCATTCGTATGAATCACTACTTATGCCGAATGGAATTACAGATACTTTGGCACTAGGGGCCCAGAGATACAGCAAACTAAGCTTGTCACATTGTTGCCAAAAGTCAAGTGCAAACACACATCTATAGCGGCCAAGGTCAATGTTGCCAATGTGTCGAAGATCATGCACCAGTATGGCCTGTCTTTGCCTATTTTCACCTCTCAAGCAATCAGTGTTATGTAACTCGAATCCACCACAAACTATCATTCAGAATACAGCATATCTTTAATACAGTGGCAGTCTGGTGCATAATTTCCTTTAATACATGTTTCCTTTGAGTCCGTCACACTGTGTGGGACGTAAGTGATGGGTATACGGTGGCACGATACCTCAGCCAAACCAAACAGTGAATATACACCCGGTCTCTTGTACATTGTCATATACCATACACTGAGCCCCTGAATCATATCCCATCTCTCCCAACAAACAATGTCCGGACCTCCGAAATGTAGCCAAGCTATACCTTAACCCTCGGCAGGATAACTCCACATCCCAGTCTCCACCGGACATACCCCTCAGCAGGATCTGCCCTGTTTCCCATATACATCGGACGTCCTATTCATCGGACGTCCTATTCTTCGGACGTCCTATTCTTCGGACATCCTATTCGTCGGATCTCACTCATGTCGTCCACTCGTCCACTCGTCTGCTCATCCACTCGTCCACTCGTCCACTCGTCCACTCGTCCACTCATCCACTCGTCCACTCCTCCTGTATTCGTCGGACATCCTATACGTCGGACCCGCTTGGGTCCACTTAACCCCTAAAGCATCGGACCCTAAACATCGGACCTACTCAGATCCTGAGCTTCGGACCCAGGTCCACTTAACCCCTAAAACATCGGATCCACTTCACAGTTCATCTCCGTCCCCATTTCCCGTGATCCACTTGACAGTTCATTTCCGGTCCTGCTCCTATTCTGTTACCCCATTTGTATAGTCCCCTTGTCCTAACCCCTATATGCCCGGATCTGTTTGACAGTTAATATCCGACTTCATTCTTGATCATACCTCCTATGCCCGGATCCATTCGATACTTCATCTCCGTCTCCGTTCTCGATTGTTCCTGTATTATTTTCCTTGCGCCTGTCAGTTTAGCCTTTCCGTATGTTCCTCTTGTTGACCCGGATCTCCGCTGACTCCATCCCCGTCGCACATGTCCATAGTATATAATACCTTGTAAACTCGTAGTAGTTTCCTCAGTTCGAATATCACCTTAGATTATCCTCATTCCTGTTTCCTCGGACCCGGATCCATTTCCATGGGCCCGGGTCCACTTCCCTGTCCAACCTCTGTGTCCTGGGATTGATTCCTCGGGCTATACTCTGCCTCTACCTTCGGGTAGTCTACCTCTGTCAGTTTCTACTCTGGACATTGTCTAGTGTAGTCTTACCTCTAGCTTCTGTCCTTTCGGACATCCTGTCCTTCTGTCCTTTCGGACATCCTGTCCTCTCGGACTTCCTGTCTTTCCGTCCTTATACCTGTCTGTTTCTGTCCCCCACATCCGCCGGACTAAAGCCCCTATTCTCCGGGTGTACTAAGCCCCTATTGTCCAGCGGACTAATCCTCTTATGTCGGCCGGACTAACCCTCCTTACGTCGGCCGACGAACCCCCTTCATGTCGGCCGGACTAATCCTCTTATGTCGGCCGGACTAACCCTCCTTACGTCGGCCGACGAACCCCCTTCATGTCGGCCGGACTAATCCTCTTATGTCAGCCGGACTAATCCTCTTATGTCGGCCGGACTAATCCTCTTATGTCGGCCGGACTAACCCTCCTTACGTCGGCCGACGAACCCCCTTCATGTCGGCCGGACTAATCCTCTTATGTCAGCCGGACTAACCCTATGATCGGCCGGACGAACCCTCCTTACGTCGGCCGACGAACCCTCCTTACGTCGGCCGGACTAACCCCCTGAACATCGGCCTGACTCTTCCTCGAAAAGCCTACCAGACTTGTCCCCTTGAAGTCCACCAGGATTCATCATCCTCCCTCGGACTTTGTTTCTAGCCTTCGGAAATTAAGGGCACGTACTCGGGTAAGGGGCGCAGCGCACGAGCTGAAGCCAAGCCCTTCGGATCCGCCCTTTGAGCACGGTCTTAACATACATAGACTCAATAGAAGGATGATGCTTCTGTACTAGGGGTTATCCAGTAGGACAAATTCCATCCCAGGCTAGATCTTGAAAACCGTAAATGTTCACGGCAAGGTTCTGAACTTTCTGATACGTACCTTGGAAATTTTTTTTAGAAAGCTAGCACAGCAAATCAACAGTGAATGAAAGTGCGATGATTTGAAACCCATGTCCAAAAACTATATGAAAATACTACACCCTCAGGGCTACGAAAACAAAGTAATAAAAATGCAATACAAAGGGTATGGTAGAAGTTAAATGATATGGTATGGCAGTGGAAGTTGTCCGGATTGTCATTCGTAGAGTTTGTTGGGCATGAATGGGTGTATAGGTAAATAGCGCGATCTCGTGAGAAAATTCATCGGCAGCGAGTGGTCAGAGGAGCCAGACTGATAGCTGTTTATACGCGGCGCCAGGCAGAAGCAGACAGGCCGCTCTTGCCCTTGGGAGGTGCAGTATCCAGCATCACCCCACCGGTGAGGACAGTGGTCTTGCCACCGTCGTAGGGGGTAACTTCAGTCTTGGAGATGTCTACAAAGACACGAGCCTGCTTTGCCTTCTCACGGCAGGAGAGTTTGGATGACTTGTCACTCTTAGATGACAAGGTAGAGGCTGTCGTGGCAGAGAAACAGCAGCATGAGTCAGACGAGCAATAGCTGGAGCATGAGTCAGTAGATATAGCAGAGAGTGGTGATTCAGAACGTGCGGGAGCAGGAAAATGGTCAATGACAGGGGTTATCCAAGTAGGCGCACTGACTTCGCCAGCGATCAAGGCAAAAAGTTCTTCATCCTCATTGTGGTCATCTTCCCAGAGCTGCTGGGCGAGTGTCTTAGACCTTGAGTTGTTGGGTGGCAGATGGCTAAAGAGTGTATGCTGTGCGACAGACACAGCCTGCACCATAAGCTCCGGCGATGAGGTTACTTATATGGGTTCCAGGCGCAGGCATTGGGCATGCTGCCAGCACAGCGCCCTCCATAACAGGCGTGAAGCGAGAACAAAAGAACCATGTGAGTTCTGATGATGGAACTCAAGTAATAATTGCTCCAACAGTTGACGCGGGGACATTGTGACGGATAGGCCGAGGCTAGACCAATCACGCACGTTGTCGAGAGTCTTAGATCGATTCCCCCCTGACACGTATGAAACAAAGTATCTTTAACAGTTGATTTCTTATTTATCATGCACCTTGCTTTACTATACACTATAAAGTCCTACCTACGTTGTCTAGTATAGTTTGGCAGTCTATAATCTTATCTTGTATCTGGTTATCTGTCCATCTGAATTTCCCACTGTGCCGCCTCTGAAAGCCATAAGCTTCTCACAGTCGTCACATATTTTTTAACCTTCAACAAGCTTACCCCTATTCACGCCTACGATTCGGGAACTCTGGTTTGGCCAACCCGTCGTTTTGAATCTAGGCAACAAATCATTATCATTATGTCAACTATGCAATACGCTACACAATACCGCGCACGACAGGCGCTAACCAGTAATCCCCCCATTAGACCGGCAGCTGGCATGCCGCGTGCTAATAGTGAGTCCATGCTTTCTTCCATTTCCTCCTCTCTGGGGGGAGTAGCGCCAAGGGCGCCTTCCCCTGCGAACTCCGTCAACACTCTAATCCGCTTATATAGCGATGTTGTGTTGACGTGAATTCCCTCGATGCCTGGAGGGCTCGAGGCAACACCTGTGGGATTAGTCCAACCTGCGGGATTGAGGACGGAAGACATGACGGCCGATAAATCGGCATCAGTAGACACTACGGAAGAAAATGTAGTAGTTAGTAAATCTGAGAAAGGAAAAGCTAAGGTCACTTTTGACCTTAATGGCGGGAATGATAGTTCGAGTGACGAACGATCCGCAGGAACTGGTGACGACCAGACAAGCGCAGAATGGACAAGTGTCCAACCGAAATGCGGGAGGAGAAGCTCCTCACGCGAAGTACCTACAGGGGGCTCACGAGCCTCGGAATTGAACCAGGAACAAGAACACCTGGTAAAGTTAGCAGAAAGCAAACTGACAGGAAGCGATCGTAAGAGGATCGAGACCCAAAAGAGGGCTGTCAGTAGAAATACCTCAAGGGAGAGTATCTCGTCCCGTGGGGAAGGACCTTCTAACGATAAAGGGAAGGCTCCTGACCCAAGAAACTGGGGCGAAACCGAGTTTGATGACGATGAGGTCGATGTCAACGCTCAAAGGGCAGCTTTGGAGTCATTCCGCTTGATGAAAGGAATTAGAAGTGGATGGCAGGGACTGCCTTCAGACACAGATTCCCCTAATGAGGCACAGGGAGATGTTAGTGAGGTAACAGAACCCAGGGAAGAAAACTGGAACGAGAACACTAGTCAAGTACTCACGGAGAGCTCCAGCTATGTATCTCGTTTCAAGGCAGAAGCTGCAGTATGAGCTGTTAAGGAACGACTCACTGAACGCTACGAAGCTCGTCTGAGGGAACTAGAAAGGAAGTTAGCGTCAAAGAAGGGGTCCAGAGGATCCAGGGCACGTCAAACTCAACTAAACACTGCCAACCCCGTAGAGGGGATGGTAGAGAGGGTTCTTGATAGGGCGTCAAGTCCGGAACCAGCCCGGATGACTCCCCAAGCTATGGATCCAGTGCAACAAGTAGCACCCCGAAGTTATATCGGGAAGGCACTTGATCAACTGAAGGGAAGCAAAAGTAAGAAGAAGCCCAAATCCAAGGGCAGGAGAGAACTCACGGCAGCGGATCCAAGTGACAGTGAGGATAGTAGTGATTCTAGCTCCTCAATGTCTTCGTCGAGTGAATCTGAATTGTCGAGTTCCTCGTCCAATTCCTCTGAATCCAGCGACTCGTCGTCAGACGAATCAAGAGATAAATCTAGAAAATGTTGCAGTAAGAAAAGGAAGAATAAGAAGAATAGGAAAAACACCTTAAAGCCTATTCCCCCAGTCTATTATGATGGGGCGCTGGATTCAAGGGTGTTCCATCAATTCCTGACTGAGGGAACCGCCTATGTGAAAGACGGACAGGTGGAGAGGAAGAGGAGGGTGTTTATATTAGCACACTACCTGAAAGGTCACGCTCGTGAGTTCTACACGAGGGAAGTGTCTGGAGACCCTTACCGCTGGAGGTTGCGAGGGTTCTTCACAGAACTGTTCAACCACTGCTTCCCTATTGACTTCAGGATGAAGCAGCGTGAAAAGTTGAACCGATGCTATCAGAATGATAAATCAGTGAGGGAATATATATATGAACTAAGTGAGCTATGGAACATGATAGGGGATGTAGCAGAACGTCAAAAAGTGACTCGCCTTTGGACGGGGCTCAACTCGATGCTGCAAACCAAGCTGTGGAAGAAGGAGTTGAATCCAGAGACTTCTTCCTTTAGGCAGGTGAAGAACACCGCTGAAATAATAGAAATAGCACATTCAGTGCCATCGAGAAATCGTGAGCGTTGTGGAAAAGACAAGGGCACAAGTAACACTGACCAGTCCAATGAGAGAAAAGGGGGGACCACTCATAGGAATGAGGAACGAAAGGATAGGAGGGATGGACGGCGACAAGGTGGTCGTTTCCCGCGAAAGGATGACCGGACCTCGAGTGATCGTCCCTCAGGTGGTCCCCAACAGACAACAGGCGGGCCACCACGGGATAATGGGTGGCCCAAACCCCAGTTCGTAGAAAGGAAGGGGGATAAAATGAGCCCAGCAGAGAAGGAGAGGCATGCCGCTGAAGGATTGTGCTATGTTTGCCATCAACCAGGCCACATATCTAGAAACTGCCCTCAGCAGACTATGGTGAAATGTGAAGGAAAGGGAAACTCACCACCAGCAATGCAGAACTACAACATTGAAGTAGATCTGAATGAAACAGAGAGGATGCGCTACCTCGAGGAGATCACCACGTCCAATGATGCTACGGATCTTGGGTGCGCATCCATGACCTTGGAATATGAGGGCTCTAGAAGTTGCACAAGGGTCAGCGATAACATGATCTCACCAAGGGGCGTTTCACAGAGAGACCAACACGGATCGAAGCCCACTGAGATGGGTGAAGTGTTGGCAAGGAGGGCCAAATACCTCTTGGATGGAGGAATATACCCCGGGGACCAGGACCCTTGGGGGCTCATCGACCCAGAACGGTTCCTGGTATATTGCATATCACAGGATGAATACATTATTATGGATAGAGAAGCTAGACTAGATCCAGAACTTACCGTCCCGACTCCGTTGCTAAAAAATCCCAACTTCCAGCTGGAGGGATGGTATGCGCAACACGTTGGCGAACAACAAGGGATGAGGCCCAAGGAAGTGAGACAGTGGAGACGGCTATCCTGCGATAAACTCCAGCGCATGGGCACGCCGTTCTCAGATCGGGCCGTCCAGTTGCTGGGTGAACACGGTGCATTTCTCAAGGACCCACCTGACTACACAAGATCAGGTCGCTTCGAGTGCGTCCGTTTGACTGAAGGAGTATACAAGATCCTTGATCTCGTGTTAGCCTACAAAGTGACTGTACCCGAGTCGTTGGTTGAGAACCCTAAGTTCGAGGTTAGCAATTGGTATGAGAAACGGCTAGCAAAGACTTATGAAGCGCTTTATGATGAGCTCAACGCTACGGCACAAGAGTATGACATACTGAGACTCCTTGATAGGGGGGAATTGTCTGAGGATGAGTGTCAGTTGGACGATGTGGTCAGGAGTATTTACACACCTGCCCCCGATGCTCAATTCCTTTATAATGAATCTCACCTGTTTGTCATTGAGTTGAACGGTCAGCAAATACCGGCGGGTACGTACAGTTATCAATCGGTCCGTGAGACACTATCACTCCATGATACAAAATGCATCTCACACATCCACAACTCGCTTTATGGCCTCAATAATACTTCCATAAGCTTTGTTGACCTTGCCTCTTACATGGCATCAAATTTTGCCCAAACTTCATCTATGAAATTTTGCTTGAGAAGTGTGTTTGTACTGTCTATAATCTTAGTTTTAGCTCTTTGAAAATTTAAATTCTATTGTGTTCAATATTCAACAGTATAATAACACAAAAAATATTAACAAACATTCAAACTATCCATACCATATATTCAAGCTGTTTGACATCAAGAATTAAGTGTGTGGTGAAGAAAACTGGTGACTGCTATGTGTAACTGATAATAATTTTGCTAATGTTTCAAAACTTTCAATAAGGAAAGATTAGTAATGAGTCACGTGTCTCATGGAGTGTTAATGAGCAAAAAAGAGGTCCCCTCACTGTTTTGAGTGTCGTGCATGAACGGTTGTATATTTTTCTCTGAAACTTTAAATATGCAATTTTGACACATACTACTTGCTAGGAAAAATACAACTAAGTTTTGATACAGTGTTGTAAAAGCACGGTACTTCATTTTTCAATTTTGTGTCTCAAATGCCGATTGATAACTGTGCCCTGCCCTACAACGAAGTGCGGCGGTGGCTAAGGATTTCAAGCGAAGAATCCCGAAGCCAGTAGTAGTGATAGTCCACATAAACGGCAAGCCTGCTAGAGCGCTGCTGGACTCTGGATCCCTGTCAGATTTTATGTCAGTAACCTTGGCGGAGCAATTGAGACTACCTTTGGTTGAGCTGGCAATACCAATAACGGTCCAGCTAGCTGTGCAAGGTTTGAGGTCGAAGGTGAACCATGGCGTGAAGGCCCGATTGGAATACCAGTCAATAAAGGTGGAGAGGTATTTCGATATAATCAATCTGCAAAATTATGATTTAGTATTGGGAACACTGTTTATGTTCCAACACAAGATACTGATGGGATTGAACCCACCTTGTGTCGTGATTGGAAGCAACGAACCTCTCCCAATGAAGGGGGAGGAGGTCACAACGCTAGAATCGCGGGTGTTGGAAATATACCAGGAGAACCTGGCTAAAGTGCGCTTGGAGTTGAGGAAATTAACGCGACCACTCTGCGCGAAAGCAAGTGACACCGGCTTACCTCCTCTTCGTGCTATAAATCACACAATACCTTTGATAGATGAATCCAAAATTTATCCTTGGCGCCCGTCGCGATGTCCTGAGGTGCTACGCCCCCAATGGGCAGAGAAGCAATGTTCGTACTTGGCCACAGGGAGGTGGCAAGTCACTAGTGCAGGTAACACTGTACCTATGTTATTCATTTGTAAGCCTGGTTCTGAGAGGTTGCGAACAGTAGTGGACTTACACGAACAAAATAAGAACACCAGGAAACTAACATCACCCCTACCTGATATGGACGGTATCTTGAGGCGAGTCGCGGGGAAAGCATACCGGTCCGTTCTGGATGGACAGGACGCATATGAGCAGATACGAGTGATACCAGAGCATGTGAGTCGCACGGCTATGACCACCCCGGACGGAAATATGGTTAGCCACATACTGCAACAGGGTGATTGCAACGTGCCAGCGACTTACCAAGCATTGATGAATCACTTGTTTGGTGAGTTCCTCGGTAGGTGGATGGACGTCTACTTGGATGACATCATAATATACTCAGATACCTTGAGTGATCACATTGAGCATATCAAGACGGTATTGAGGATATTGGACAAAGAGAAACTTTACCTTAGTGAGAAGAAAATACAATTCTTGTGTGAGGAAGTCAAAATACTGGGGTGCATAGTTGGCAAAGACGGAATCTGCATGGACCCTGAAAAGGTGGACCGGGTGCTGAACTGGAAGGCCCCGACGAACCGAGATCTATGTCGAGGTTTCATTGGATCAGTAGGGTACCTCAGCCGTAGTTGTAGTATTAGACCAAATATATATGGTAATGGCCGGTTTTGGCAATGACATTTTCGATGGCAATTACCAGCAGCACAGTTTGACCTACACACCTGGCTTGTACCGCGCACAGGCTGAGGCCCTCCTCCTAGGCATTCCGTCGCCTGTTGATATACCTGCCGGGCCTGCCGCCAATATTTCCTTCGGAATATTCATATATTCAATATATATTGTAGAATAGATATATTTACATTTCAAATATATCATATTTGGTTGGTTTGCACTAGTGGGGACCTGGACGCTGACCACAATCACAATCAGTCAATACTTTCCACTGATATTCGATATTTCTCAAACTGATGGAGTGAGTCGGTTTGATTTCTGATGGTTTTCACTCACTATTCTACCCATAGAACAAGCAGCCCCACGCCAGTCGACACACCTGTAGTGGCGCTGTCCAACCCGTTACCCAACCCAGATCCGACCCCCACACCAGCTCCCGGAACAAACGATGACTGATCCCAACAGCCTATGTTGAAAAGCTGTTTCGTAACTGGGCAAAAAATTCGCGCCTGGCATTTCTCAATAGACATTTGTCCACTTACCGTGAGCGCGTCAATCAGGGAAAATCGCGAGCAAACGACTATGCCCACGAGGTGGTGCAAGAATATTTCAAATGCTACCACTGGAAGTTGAAGATTTCAGACGAGCCCTCGGAAGATGATCGATTACAGGTGGAGTCGGACGAGTTGCTTTCCCCAATCGAATTCAAGCAAAAATCGCAAAAGATTCTTGTGATGCAGAAGGTACGCGTTTTGTACATACATTTTTCTATAGATTTTTCAACACTCTATTAGGCGATCAAGAGCTGGCTAGATTATCGTGCGAAGTCCTCAAGGAAAGTGTTAGTACGCCGCGGCAAGCTGGAGAACAACAAATGGGCTCGACTTCTCAGTCAACTCTCTGGGGTCCGAAAAAGAAAGCCGAAGGCCTTACAAGCGCACCAGCGGTGGTCGAAAGACCATTTCAAGACCGACATTAAGCACCATTTTCTCAAAAAGTGGCGCAAGGCTGGGCTACCCAGCAAGAAGATGGCGGCCTTCCGTGACGAGATCACACGCAAACGCTTCAAAAAACTATCTGAGGAAGAACAGAAGCGTTGGAGGGATACAGCGCAAGACGAAGGTAAAGCAGCAGTCAAAGAATGGAAGGCACACCTCGAAGCTCCTCCTTCCACATCTCCCGTCGACAGACAAGCGTAAGCATTCAAATCCTTTCGTTTGCATCTGTATTGAGAACTAACTTAGGGCTCTGGACAACCTGGCAACTTTCGCTGGGCCGATTCTTGCTGGTATGTCTGAAATTCTCGGCATGCACGTCTCCCTTTTGGTTGGTGGACCCGAACCACGCAAGCGAGGCAAAATCACCGTCGTCAGGTGTGTTTTTTGATGTTCGTTCCAACACAGAACTAATATCACACTGTAAGTATGCACGAGGGCGTTGACCTGAGTGCCAAACCATGCAATTGGCAAACGCGAGATAGGACGAAATTCAAGACTGTCATCAAATCTTTTCAAGATTACCTATCGCACGCCTACAGTATGTTCTTTACTTATATCATCTCACTTCATGCTGAACACCATCAGCTACACATGATTGTGATTCCCGTCGCCTCCCAGACTGACGTGGATGACCTGTACACTTTGCCGCAGGAAGGCGACCAATCTGATGCCGAGGAAGATCAAGTGACTAAAGCACCAACGGCCGGGTATAGATCCCGAACGAAATCAAAGCAACAAGGTACCAAACGGGGACGTGTTTCTCGGCGTAAGCCTTCTTCTGAGTGCTCCGAGATGGACGCATCATCGTCAGAATCATCTTCCCCATCCTCTTCGTCGTCTTCGTCAGAATCATCTTCCTCCTCCTCGTCCTCAACTTCGTCAAGCTCCACAGACAGCGAAGAAGAACATGGTTCCAGACGGGTACTTCCATTTTCACCACGCAAAGGAAACTATGGCGTTACACACTTTAGTCCACGCCACAAAGCAGCGGCTCGCAGACAACTCAAGGCCAAGAAGAGCCATCTCGCGTCCGAAGGGCCGGATCGCTTATCCAAAGTGTCATGTCCTGTGTCTGAAGTGCCGGACGACACGGAAGAAATTGATGAGCTTCGCGAAGACACCTCTGTTGACAATGCCATGATGACTGTTGATCAGCCTCCAGCTCCAATTGGTAAATGTGTCATTTAATTTGTCTTACAAGTGTATTGGACTGATATCTCCTTAGCAAGCGCATCTGCCACCGCAACTGAGTCACCTGCTGACAATCCCATCCCCCGCCCACCTTTCAATGACAACATGATTGATCCATGTCTCAGAGACGACTCTGGGATAGCTGCCCCTGGTGAGTATTGGTGCTTGGTATACCAACATGTTAATATTGTTTCAACACAGCAACCGAGATTCCTTCACAGGATCAAATCCACGAGCCTGTTGATAGTCACGACATGGATGATACACCCTCTGCCGAACGAGACACTGAAGGGGCTGTGGATGATCGTCACACCCCTCTCAACACGACTCTTAATGAACATGCGGTTAATTCAAATCGGACTGCAAATAGTATGTAATCGATGCTTCTCCTTGTACGCCATTAGTCACTCATGTTTACATACAGCCTCTCCTGATGGCAACCTATCGCTCAGCTTACCTACACTCCCATCCAGCCCGCCATGGTTCAGAAATCCGTTCCAGCAGTTGATGAATCCTGCCCCGACTTCTCCTCAGTTGATCCAGTTATTTGACAAGCTGGTGCGCCTTGAGGATGCATCAAGCTTCGTGAACGAGAAAGCCGTCTTGGGATGCGAACATCGTCCAGTCGAAGTCCACTGGTGGATTTCCCGGGGACGTAAAGGGAAACCAACTATACCTGATCTCAACACATTCATATCGCAATGGTGGTCATGGTGGCTCATGCTGCAACCGGAGTGGAGAAAATGTCAGGTGCCGACACTCACGGCAGGTCCGATTTTCCCTCGCACAGATGACGGCAGTTGGGACTCCCTTGACAAACCTAGGCGTAAACGGCATGCTCTCAGTTGTAGCCACCTTGAAATGGTGGGCAGACGGCGTCGATGGCAAAGGCTACGAAGACTCACGCTGGAAGGATGCTGCAGACGACGTCATGTGGGTTTTGGACCAACTCATAGCAACTCGTTCTATGTCGAAATCTATGGCTCCCAGTCACAACAAGAAACGGGGTCGTTCCGACACGCAGGCCAATGAACCATCATCGAAGAGGACGTGTAACCGGCAGTAATAGAGACTCACTCATTGATGGACCGCTAGGCTAGACATCGAGCTTACTGTTCGCTTGAATACATCTTACGTTTGGCTACTTTTGTATCTTACATGAAGTCAATGCAATATGCAATTCGTCAATTTGATTTTCTCCCCGTGCTCGCTGGTAGATCATGGAACAAAGGCATTATCTACTCTAAAAATGAGGAAGTCAGAGCTCGACTCCAGGAGCCGGCAGTCCCAAGACCTTCTGGTACATTGTTTCCCCAAGTAAATAAGCCTCGTCAAGGTCACCCCAAACGGCTAGTCTGTATAGATCCTCCAGCATAGCTACCAGATGCCCAATGAAGCTAGAAACCTCATCAGCAGCGCGCCATTCGTCACATATGCCACACATGTTGAATATCTTGTCCTGCCCCTGCTGTGCCCATATCAAATAGGGCTCAATGCAACCAAGCGCATCCTTGAGTATCTCAATGTCCCCGACGACACTGGTGCACAATGACATCGCATATTTGCGGAGGACACTCTCGACGTATACTGTGGGTATCCCTGAAGGAACGATTGCCAGGACTTTGTTCTTTGCATCGCGTACGAGCTCCAAACAATCGGATAAAGTGACACTACAGTTGATCATTAAGAACACAATTAATTGCCATCGAAAAGAATATGTACATTGCCTCAAAGTCAACCTCGTCATCCGACATGTCATTTGCGTTAGACTCGGGGAATCTGACGGAGGGAGTGTTGTTTGTACGACTGAGACGATGTTTCAATAAAATAGCGTCTCGGTGCCTAAACACTTCAGTTACAGGGAGAGAGGTAGTAAGAACAATTGAACTTACTTTTCGTAATGTCTTCTGCGTTTCTCGTGGGAGGCCTGCTGTCTGGCTGCAACAGTGTGATGAATAGTAGTGGGGGAACCATGAGGAAAAATCGTGGGTGTGACGAAATGAAAGCAACACCTTGATATAAGGAAGTCAATTACCGTAAATCGATGATCTATGGCGAGGGGCAATGTACATAGTAGTACACGTGAACTGAATGCAAACACACAGTCAATCAATGGAAATAATGAATGATTTCACTTACTGAAGATGCCCGCTTCAAGGCCTCAAGTCCACATCGTTCAATACACGGCGCAGAAGGTAACTGTGTTGAGCTACATAGACTCGTGTTTCAGCTATCTTGATTTAATTTGACGGTGCCAATAACCTGGTGAGTCTACAGCTCAGCGCGCGAGTCTGATCTTGCTTTCGCAACACACAAATGCTCATGGGTAAATCAATGAACGTGAACTACTATTAAAGAGATACATACTATGTGTATTCTGTAATCTTGATTATTTGATGGTAGGGCTGCTAGATTGACCCGTGTTTCAGTGATATTGATTCGATGGTAGGACTATCTTGAACTAGTAGTACTAACTCTCAGAGTCAGTGCGTGAATCCGATCATGCATGCATCAATGAGATAGGCACATCAACGAACTACTATTAATGAGCTACGTACCAGGTCACAATCTTGATGGTTTGACGGTACAACTGCTAACTTGAACAAGTTGAACGTGAGACTGACGCCTGATCAGAGTGCATTGAACAATCACAACGCACAATCATGATGTTGGAGCTAATCATGAATCAACCACATGCTCTTACCGATCCAAAGATGATTATCCAGTTTCAGATAACGAAAGTACATGGCAAGTAATATCAATCTTGTTCGTTTTCACGAACACTGAGTAAAACAATGTTATGCACGCATAAGTGATATCATACACCGTGATGATTCAATATTCATGTGACATAAACAACTACTAGTACCATTCCATTTGCAACGCACCGTGTTGGAGCACATCGCCACATACTCATACCGATCTCAAGCTCATGTACCGTCAGACAACGAAGGTTTATTATTTCTTTTCTGGTGAACGAGCACTAACACACAATGTAACACATTGACATATCATAGATACAACACGGGATTCCTTTGCAAGCAAGAAATACAAATGTAACTACGTGTTTCGAACCAATCTCAAGCTCAAGCACCGTCAGATAATGAAGGTTTGTTATTTCTTTTCTGGTGAACGAGCACTAACACACAATGTCACACATATCATACTAGACACAACACGGGATTCATTTGTAAGCAAGAAATACAAAGTGTAACTACGTTGGAAAGGCTACGCCTTGTCACTGGTGGCTGCTGGCAATGGAAGTGATGTCTATTGCCCTGGGAATCTGCTACTCTAATGAACCTTCCAACCGGGTCTGAGACCCCAGAACCCTGAACCTAACTAAGAATAGCCCCTAAGACTGCTCTGCTGCCGAACCTCCTAATACAAGTGCCCCCCCCTAAAATACGACACTCCGGGGTCGTCGAATGCTCGAGCCAAACGAGTCCCCTGTTCTCTGCCAGCCTCTATCCTTCTGCTTCTGCTAGCAGAGTGCCTGTTCGTGGTAGGAAGCGCCTTAGGCGCCTTGCGTGATACCATCCGGCCATGGGGAATCCTTCTAGGGTTTCTAGCGTGTACGAATTGATTCGTTTCGTCACGATTCGACGAGGTGCTGACCATCTCGGAATGATCTTTCGAGACGCCTTGAAGTTGCTGTCTATATCACTGGCATATACTTGAACTAACTGTCCAGGCTCGAAAACTACCTCACCTTGGTGTTCGGACACTACTCGTCGACTGAACGCCGCTTTCCGTTTGATAGCGTTGGCTACTGCGTTCGCGAGGGCGTCGTTTCTTTGTTGAGAGACGTACGCTGAATGCACGTGAGCTTCGTCTGGTGTGGGTTGGTTCGTCGTGTCGTTGAGTGGGGTACGCGGAGTGTTAATGACAAGACCTAAGAGCAGTTCTTTTGGTGAGAACTTAAACGAGGGCAGAATCCGCGTGTTGAGGTGTTCGATAGCGGTCTCGAAATGGTCTGACCAGCGCGTGGTGACGGATTCGGGGTCGACGTCCGTGGTGTTGTCTTCGCCTAGATGTGGAGCGCACATATGTTTCAACCGACCTAATAATAATTTATTAGTACCTTCGACCAGTCCATTAATCCATGGTGCGTATGCGGGAGTAACGTAGCGGTTCGTATCGTGTTTTTCACACCAAATCTTGACCTCTTCGTTGTCAAAATGCTTTCCACCGTCCGTCATCAACGTTTCTGGGGTGCTGAAGTTGTGTCGTATGCTTTCGAGTCCTGCGACGGTCGATTTCGCCGTGCCGTGGTTTTTGAGCTTAAAGCCCCATACAAACTGTGAATATGTGTCTATAATCAGCAGAACGTTAGTAAATCCCCCTTTTGACTTCGGCATCGTCAGATAATCAGCCACGAAGAGCTCGAATGGATGTCGCCGTATGATGGGCTCAAGTAAAGAGTTAAGGTGCGTCGCACCGAAATTTTTACACTGCCCACATTCGAGGATGGCGGTGGTGACTGATCGGTCTAGACGGGGGCTGCATATGCGGTCGATTAGCTGTAACTTGATCATATCTCGCCCCCAATGTCCATGTTCCACGTGTTCCTTGCGAGCCAGTTCAATCGCCTCGCTTTGGGGCACGCACTCCAGCCTGCTTTGGACTCTAGTTGATGGTCTGTTAGGTATCTTCCAGAGTTTGTCGTCCTCAATGAAGAACTGCTGGGCCCTATGTCGTGCGCGCCTTTTGACGTTGACTGGTTTATCTGAGTCTAGGTCACACAGTGCCTCGACGACCTCTAAGAACAAAGGTTCTTGCTGGAATCTGTTGCGGAGATCTGTAATGTGCGGGTCATGGTTATTCGTCATGAGTACGGGCGACGTCACCTCGATTGGATTGCGTTGTGGGTTCTTGGACGAGTCTTGGGGGTTCTTTGAGGAGTCGTTGGGGCCATGGGGGTTCTTGGACGAGGTGTTGGGGCCATGGGGGTTCTTAGATGAGGCGTTGGGGCCATGGGGGTTCTTAGACGAGGCGTTGGGGCCATGGGGGTTCTTAGACGAGGCGTTGGGGCCATGGGGGTTCTTAGACGAGTCTTCTTGTGGGTTCTTGGATGATGATACCTTGAATAGATCTTGGACGATTCCTTTCGTGGCTTCCCAATCTTCGTTGACGGTCCATTCCGCTCCATCTCCAGGAGATGGCTCCCTCGTCACGAAGCTCCTGCTCAACCCGTCTGCTGCTGTGTTGGTGACGCCAGGCCGGTGTCGCACATCTATAATGTGGTAGGCCAAGATGCCATCCCTCCAGCGGGCATGCGCGGTGCTTAACTTTGAACTGAGTAAGGTGTCCCTCAAGGCTTGGCAATCCGTTTCTATCTCAACCGGTGAGCCCCAAATGATATCGGAGAACTGATCTAGAGCGAATTTCAGTGCAGCAAATTCCAGAAGGTAAGGCTTGTACTTCTCTTCTGTGTTCGACGTCCGTTTCGAGGCATATGCTATAGGGTGATTCGCCGTGACTATGCTACCAGACGACAGTGTCGTGGTATGTTTTTGACTAAGGATCGCCCCGAAGCCTTCTTGACACCCGTCCGTTGTGACGATGAAGGGCGTGCCATCGAATCGGGGACTCTTTAGAACGGGTTCCTCGACTAGGATCTTCTTGAGGTTCATAAACGACTCTGTATGTCGCGGTCCCCAGCGTGATTTCAGATGAGTTGTTCGAAGGTGTTGACGGTATCGGAAACGGCCCACTCGCTGTCCTTCCGGTGGTGTACCAAGGCGTCGTACTAGATCTGTGAGGGGCGCGGCTTTTCGTGCGTAGTCTTTGATGAGCGACCTGAAATATCCAGTGAGTCCGAGAAATTGCATGAGGTTGTGTACCGTATTAGGAATCTCCCAGTTTACTACTGCGGATAGTTTTGAAAGATCCGGTTTGATTCCCTCCTTTCCGACCCTGGCTCCCGCAAAGACGATTTCCGACATGAACAACTGAGTCTTTGACGGCGATAGGGAGAGACGCATTGATCGTACGCGCTCGAAGAACTTGCGCAGACGCGATAGTTTCTCCTTGAAAATGTCACCTGCCATGCCAGTGTCATCAACGTATAACTCAAATAATAGCCCAATGAGATCTCTTAGCGCGATGGCGGCCATGTCCCCAAAGTTCGTTGGGGCGCCCGTTAAGCCAAACGGCATGCGACAATAACACTCGTATCCTCGTCCCTCGGTGTAGAAGGCTAAATATGGCTGAGTGCTTTCGTCTACCGGAATAGCATAAAACCCCGCTGCGAAATCAATTATACTGACCCATCGATGTCCGCTTAGACGTTGTTGTTTTGCTCGAATGTCGCCTTGGGGCAGTGGGGGAATTTGACTGGCGTTGTTGATTTCCGCAAAGTTCTGGCAGATTCTCCATTTTGGCGTGCTATTCTTGTTTGCGTTAGTAGTTCCAGTTGCTGGTCTTCGAGGTAGGTCGTCTCGCGTCGGGAGACCATGTGCTGCGCACTGATCATTAACGCGGTGCAAGAGTTCTTCTAGGGGAAGGCTCCCAGTGCCATGTGCCTTCTGGGCCAATACTGTTGGGCTGGCTGCCTTTACGTCCTCTGGTGCGATACGACGGATAATGCCCGCGGTTTCTAGCTCGTTCAGCCTGTCATACAAGAATGCACGTTGTGGCGGTGTCAACGGCCGTTGGTTAACCTTCGTGTTAAACTTCGTGCCTTCCGGGAAGGTAAGTTTAAACATCTTGAAATCCACTGGGAAAACTTCGCTAACTGCCAACGCAAAAGTGTCAGCAAACTCTGCGCACAAGTCACGCACCTGTGTTCTCTGGGCTGGGGTGAGGTCATCGCCGATCTTGATCTGTTGCAGGATTTCTGCTACTCGCTCTGCTTTGAATGGGTTAGTGTGTCGTGAATATATACCTGTCGTTGGCGATGATGCGGGAAACTCAGGAATTTCTCCCAAATTGTGATCTTCCGGTTCTTCTGATACGGGCCACACTGGTGTCGTCGTTGTCGATATATCCGGTGGAACGTCCTCTGCTGAATACGCGATAGGTGAGCAAGGCGTATTCGTTGAAGTCTCGTCTGCTGGGCTTAGGTGCGGTTGGCGATTAGCTATAACTACGTGGGCTCCTGCCTGCGATAGAGCGTCTGTGTATGCTTCCAGTCGCTCGTTTGTACACTGTGGATTAACTGTAAATACAAAATGTTCATTAGTAGTTGTTATTGAGTCAGAAGGTTGGGGACGGGGCTTAGGTTCGGATGGTACAGTTATCGTTAGGAAGACGGGGCCGTCATCATGTACTTGGGGTTCATTATGTACTTGGGGCTCGTTATGTACTTGAAGGGACTTGGGTCGTGGTGCTGCGGGTGTATTAGCGATATTTTTGATGGTGTAAGGATGGGGTGAAGCTGGAATTAAAATGGTGTCAGTTCCGTAGTCATGTTTAGCCTGTAGTTGTTCCAAAAGAGGCTTTCCGATCAGAACGTTCCAGACGCCGCCTCCATCGAAGACTTCGAAAGACGTGCGGACTTTGGCTTTGTTCCACTGGAACGTTCCCGTCCAAACTCCATGTGATGGTACCTGAGTACCGTTAGCCATGCGGAGAACGCGATTCGACTTCGTGAGTTTCCTAAGGTGTTTTGCAGCTTTGTTGAACGCTCTAAGGTCTATTGCGTTGATCATGGCGCCGTCGTCGACATTAGCTTGAAAGCACGACGTTTTGCTCCCGGTCCATATAAGATGATCTGTGTGACGAATGGGGTACTTTCGATCGTGTTGCTTGGTACGTCATCGTTATCTGACACGGTGTAAAGGTCGACAATTGACTGTTCGCTTCTGCCCGAGTAACAGTCAGAAGAGGCTTTCGATTCACAAGTAGATACAAGACTTAGCGTGACGAAGGAACTATCTGTAGTAGTGCTGTGGTCTACTGGTTTCTGTACGGTAATCCACGAACTCGATGCGTCAGCTTCTGCTACTAGGTGGGTTTCAACATGCGGAGGGCTACTAGGGGGTGAGTCTGTGTGGTCTGGGTTAAATAAAGAAGTAAAGTCGGATTCTGGAAATGGAAGGTCCATGAGGAACGAGCTGGAATCAACGCTAACGGGTGATGTTGGTGTTTGCTGCAAGTTTTCCTCTGTCGCGGAAACATCGATGCTTGGCATGATGAGGTCTCTACTTGTGTCGTCCATGCTCAATGTTTCCGCCATCTGCATGGCTGGGGTGTTGGGCGCTGAGGTATTGAATTGTGTCGTGAATGCGGAGGTGGATACTGAGGGCAGGCTGCTTGAAAGTAGACTTGGGGAACTAGAGAGCGATGGGGCTGCTGATGTTGGGACCGCAGGTAGGTCCCCTACTGCTGCGGTCCGAACTCGTTTCCCGCGCCCTGATAAGCTTCGTATGGTTCAGCAAAGTACGAGTATTGAGGGTATGCTGCTGTCGGGTTCGGATATGAGTTCTGCGGCATGTTATACTGCGTTGGTGTTGCGTTCGACACGAACTGGACATTTGATGTTGGCCCCGGTGTGGTTGGTGTTGCCAACGTTCTGGACACTAATCTCGACACAGTCTCTCTCCATTTCGTCTCCTGTGTGGGGACTGGTTCGCCAGCACAATCGTACGCCTGGTGTGGTGGCATTGTCGCCATGCCACAACTAAAACACTCCCTTGATCCTATAGGTGACGTTCCAGGTTTTAGCGGGTAAGGTCTCTGGGAGTTGGGAATAGCGTCTGTCCCGTGTTGCGCATGCCACTCTTGGATTTGCTGCGCGTAGGCTTGCTTGCCAGCCTCGGAGTTAGGATGGTGTGGGATCGTAGTGTACTGTGCTGCAGTACGCATGCGGTCTGCAGGTGAGCCTCCTCGGCGTGTTGGGGTCTGTGGATACCCTCTGTATCCATAGAACAAGTTGCCGCGCGTTACTGGAGCTGTCTGGGTGAACAAATGTGCAGCTTGTGGTGTTTGGGGAACTTGGGGCGTCATGAGCGTTGGTGGTGGTTGGAACATCGATGGAGCTGGGGGCACCAGCGTTTGACTCTGAGGGGGCGGCATCATGGTGGGGTTGTAGCGATAGTTGTACCTGTATGGCGGTTGCGAGACGTAGGGAGCTTGTACTGTTTGTTGGGGGGCTTGGGCTGCTTTACGCTCGTCGGCTGTTTGGTTCTGCAGCTTGTCTACGTCCTCGCGGAGTTTCCTGTCCATGACCAGACGTTGTTTCGCCCTGAGTAGCTGGGCTGCTGAAACTTTTGCTACATCCGTTTCAAAATCCGTCCAGGAGGTATAGTTGTCGACCAGTAGGTCGCGCAGGACTTCCGGAGTGTTGTCCAACACGACGTCTAGTAAGTGACATTGAGTGTCATTGAATCCTTGGGCCATTCGCGCGACCTTCTTCGCCCATCTCACATGTCCCCATTCTCGTCCCCGCTCCTCCTCTATCATCACACCTATCTCCTCCTCCTTTAGTACTACTGCCTTGATTCGCTCCTTCTTCTGCGCTACCGTTAAGGTGACCTGGGTTGGCTGAGGCCATCTTACTTTGAATGCCGCTCAAAACGCGGCCCATGTTGCCTTGTCAGTTGCTGGAAGACTTGCGTACCAACTCTCTGCTGGGCTTGCGGCGGCACATTGGAGTTCGAACCGACTGAGTTTGTCAGTGTCGGTTGCGGTGGTGGGTAATGACAGTTCGTATTTGCGCAGCCAGTTCGTAGGCTCTTCACCTTTCTCATAATCTCCGTAGAAGCTGGGTTGGGGTGTGATGGTGGTGCTAGACATTAGGGTACTGGGTGCGGGTGGGGCCGGAACTGTTGCAAATGGTGCTTGTGGTACTTTGGTCAAAGCAAGTCGCTGTTTTATGAACCGTAGATTAGCGTTAGGGGGGTTGAAATGAGACTTAGGGTGCGGAAGGACTGGTAGGGCTGATCCGAAGACAATTTTCCTGGGGGGCGACAGTTGGCTATCTGAAACCGTGCGTCGGAGTGTTGGTCCGTCGTCAGCCGAGTGCGAAATCTTGCGCAGACGACAAAGGTCGTCCAATAAGATAGCCGTTGCGTTCTGCTCACTCTAGTCACCAGTTGGAAAGGCTACGCCTTGTCACTGGTGGCTGCTGGCAATGGAAGTGATGTCTATTGCCCTGGGAATCTGCTACTCTAATGAACCTTCCAACCGGGTCTGAGACCCCAGAACCCTGAACCTAACTAAGAATAGCCCCTAAGACTGCTCTGCTGCCGAACCTCCTAATACAACGTGTTTCGAGTCTCGACGCTGATTAAACATTGACCTTGAAGGAACAGAATATTCAACAATCATATCAACATATTTAACAAGATTGGACGTACATGATCACTCGGTTGAATCGACATCCGTCGCAGTGCCAGCGTCTGTAATGGGAACAGCGTAATTTGAAGCTGCTGCATCCACAGCTGCGTGGTATGCTCGAAGTCGTGCATTATAATCATCCTCCGCTTCCTCCATAATGACTTCACGGATCAGATGACGGAAGCTTCGATTCTTCGTTGAATCAGTAGTCAATACCTCCACAACAGCGATTGCTATAAGCTTGACTAAGAAGCGGGTGAGTACTGGATTCTGTCAACGATAATCAATCTCACCACAGCAGTTTGGCATGCAAATTCGAGCCACTCGACCACCGCACGGACCACAGATGCTTTCAAGTTCAACATCTATGTGTCCACACTGGAAGACACTCCCGACGTTGTGTGGAGTATTGCTGTCAGGCGAGGGAGAAGGCATAGGAGCGGTGGGGATGTTGGGTGAGGGTGGAGGTGTGGGTGTAGTGGACATGTCAGGCGAGGGCGGAGGCGTACTAGCGGTGGACATGTCTGAGGGTTTAGGTCGGTTGGGTTCAAGTTCAAATTTTCAAATTCACGCTTTTAAATATTTAACAGGGCTTAGTCTGACTTCGGTGCATATACATTATGAACCGAACAAGCAATGAATCGACCAGGTACTTCTTGATATATCTATCTGCCTCCGATGTGATCGTCTGACACCCTCTTTTGTACATGCTTCTTTTTTGAAGCACTACGACTCGGAGGAGGGAGGAACTTACTCGCGGGAGCACATGTCTACTGGTAAGCTCTACTATAATTTCCCCCTCGAACGAGCCTTACTCATGGCAAGGAAAAGAAAATATGTGGCATACCGCTATGAGTCCGATTCGGACGATGATACGACAACAGCCTATGCCAGGATGGTAGCAGTATCAGCCAGCGGTCGCAGGCAAGTCATCATGCCTTGCTCCCCGACAAAAAATAGGGCGGGTGATGGGGTGGAACACCAATTTCCCCTGCAAACTGATACTTGGGAGTCAACCCTTGGTGATTACTTTGTGTTCGACAACGATGTTGAGCCCCAACCCGTCATGGTGGTCAAGGCGCCAGCAAAACGTTACGCGAACTCAGTGAGATTTCACCAATTTTTCCCTTCGCAAAATTAACTCTTTATAGGATGCACCTTTGCATGAATGGATGGGCGTCAAGGAGCATGTTGGATTCCGTGAAGAATACCTTCTCGAGGAGCTACGTCTGGAGGGCCGTGGTAGCTTGGCAACGACACCGTGTTCATGCAGTGATATCAATAATAACATCATACAGGAACGCCTGTATCGCTGTGAAGATTGTTTTGGACCGGAGATTATGTGCAAGACTTGTTGTTTATTAAAGCATGCACATCACCCTCTACATATCATCAATGTGAGTGTTTCAAAGCTCTGGTTTTATTTCTAGTTTTTTGATGATGCATAGAAATGGAACGGGATTTATTTTGAGCGCACTGCCTTGGCCGACATGGGCTTGAGAGTTCAACTGGGACACGAAGGCATGCCATGTTTATGTCCGCAAAGAGGGCATATTTCCTTTGTCGTTATTCACACCAACGCAATTCATCGAGTACATGTTGATTTCTGTGGGTGCCATCAGCGAATTTCTCATCGCCAGCAACTGTTACGTTGCGAGTGGTACCCGGCTACCCTACATTTTCCTCAGAGTGCCTGTACGAAACGGGTTCTAGAGTTCTTCCTTGTTTTGACGTGGTCAAGCAAAGTATCTGGCTACGAGTTCTACTCAAGTCTTGAACGACTCACTGACAACACGGGTTTGAATGTACCTAAGGTATGTTATTGCAACGGCCTATGTCTTGCAGATATTAACTGCTGTCACAGTCTCGGTACAAGGAATTTATGAGGATGGTCCATCAATTTCGGCACATTAAATTTATGAAGCAAGCTGGCCGTGGCAATATAATGGGCGGCATCTACAAGACTGGGCCTGGTGCATTAGCCATCAAGTGTCCCGCTTGTCCACAGCCTGGCGTCAACTTGCCGGAAGACTGGGACAAAGTAGAGGGATCAATGAAGTAGGTTTTTTAAACATTCGCTGCATTCATTAAATGTCCCCCCCCCCCTCATAGATTTCTCTACTATCTCATTATCGCTATGGATGCCAACTTCCGCCTCAAGAACAGGAATCGATCTTCTGGCGTAGCCGATCCTGGGCTGTACACAGGTCTGGCATACTTCGTTCCAGACAAACCTTACACAGAACACTGTACTCAAGAATGCAAGCCAAGCTGATGTAGGTTTTTGAAATTTTCACTCGTGTTGTCCATGCTAAAAGGAGACCAACCGACTAGATTAGCACTTGTTCAGGGTTTAAGACATTGGCGCACGCTGAATCGAAGTACTCAAATGGGCTGCGAGTGACTGGTGTCGGCTTATGTCTTTGCAGCGCGCCATGAATTTGTTCGACCTCAAGGAGTTGGAGACCTTCAAAAGGGTGAAAGGTATTATTGTTTAAACTGTCTGTATCCAACCGTCTAATGAAGAATTCAGATACGCTAATATGGATTTCATCTTTTTTTCATCCATCATACCTCTCCTCCTTCTCTCCGTCGTCATATCTTATGACATCGCTTGCCAGTGGAAGCTCAATCTCGCAAAGAGAATGAATGAGCTTCCAGAACATCTTCAGATGCCAGCGGCTGTCACTCTTGCAGCATTTATTTTTGGAATCCCTAAGTTTCACTGTCCTGCGCACAGAGGAAAAATGTGCGATCCCGCATTCCTTGAACCTTATGCCAGGTGTAGGACGGACTGATGGCGAGGGAATCGAGCGCAATTGGGCAGAGATGAATCGTGTTGCAAACAGCACAAAGGAAATGGGCGCCGGTTATCGAACACGATGTCCTCGACGACCATTTCGGACATCACAACTGGCGCAAATATACTGGACTAGGTAAGATTTTTTTTTCTGTTCCCACCAACCCAACGACTCATTCGCTTTACAGGACTCTTGCTATGGAGAAAACTTCTCAATGCCATCAAGGAACGTGGTCGCCACCAGTCCTTTTTGCGTGATTTTAATTTGACGATTGATGATGGCCATCGAGGAGAATGGACTGCGATGGTCGAGGCTTGGGAACAGCGACAAATCAAGTCCGAATCCATATGTGCTCAGCAGAATCAGTAACTTCTATTCATACTTTTGATTTTTTTTTGTTGAAGCTGATTCTGGTCCAACAGACCTTTCAGAAGCACAAGTACGTGTTAATCTTGCGGACGACGAGAGGACTGCTATCAGTCACGGGCGTCAACTTCCGCATGATATGACTCCTAGTTCTTTCATCAACATGGGCCTGGTTCTTGAAGAATCACAGTGAGTTCTGCTTCTGCAGTGTCTGAGACCGTCTTCTGATCATTGCCAGGCGACGAATCAAACTTGATCTCACATCATCTCTTAGTGTGAATGGGTATGCCGAACTTCACCAACGCCGGGTCACACTACTGACGGCAGCTAGACCGCTTCCGTGGCATACAGAAAGCATATATGGTAGGTATCGAAAGCTGGATTGAAGAGCGTGACGAGAACTCGTCTGATGACGTCGAGGACAAATCTCTCTGGCTACCATCAGCACTCCCTCCCGCCTGATCGAGAAGTCATGTGTATGAACGATATTGCTCACATCGAGGCTGAACTCCGTAAGGGGCAGTGTCGTGATTCACTCGATAAGCTGCGCAGGCAACTACATACCAAATCCCATTTCGTCAAACACCTGCAATCTCGATTTACGTGGACAACGAGCCAACACTCGCGCAACTTCCTTTCTTGCCCGCTTCGACAGCAAAATCAATGCTGCTGCTGGAAAGTACCGTGTCACTCAGTCAGCATTGCTAGAACTGATCGGAAGCAACGAGCTGGAGGGGGAATTTCGATGTCTAGAGGCGAAGGACATTGTGGCACCTGTCGACATGGTGTCGGATGCCAGGAGTACCACTGGAATGCGTGGAAGGACGAGATCCGAGCGAGACGAATCTCGTGGATTAGGGCAAGGCTACCAGATGACGTCGTGGATTTGGTTTGCTTCGGGAGTTCAGGCTGACGAAAGTGATGCGGGTCTGAGTGATGGTGAGCATATTCACTGCTACATTTATGGATGTTTTTTTCTGATAATAAACGGTAGTGTTGCGTGTAGAATGGGCCAAGTCTCGCGCACGCGCACAACGGTGGAATGAAGAAGTGTTGCTTCTTAAGGAGGAAATGCGGCGAACACGACAGTTTCTTGCATGGCGTGCACAACAGTGGCTATCGATTACTGACCTATCACACCAGGATGCGCAGATCGTGGCTGGTGCCGTCGCATATGCCCACAGGCAGGCTGCAGTTCAGCGCTCATTACTGGCTCGTTTCACTACTCTCTGGGGCACTGGAGTTGGTGAGGATGTCGCGGTTGTTGAGGATGAACTAACTGAATGTTTCGCTGAGGACAAGGACGATTTTGACGAGGAGGAGGGGTAGGCATCAATGGGCTTTTGTGTACTATTTTATCGTTTGTTTAATTAGTCATCGTGAATGAAACATTTATTCGAAACCTACATTTAATCATGATTATTAGTGTGGATACCCATAGAAATATTATTTACTGGTGCAGACCAGCTCTGGGTGCTGGGGTGGAAAGAGCCACGGTTTAGGTCAAAGTGTGCCACTGGTGGTTGCCTGTGTTATATGCCAATTTAAAAACTGGTAGTAACCATTTTACTAGGTCTAATACTACAACCAGGGGTGGGTACCTAGCGGATGACATATACTGTGTGAGGGTACCTCTGGGAGTTCTGTCTGAGGTTACGGGAGACGGTGTCCCATTTAGGTGGGACTATACTCAGCAGCGAGCCTTTGAGACGGTGAAGCAGTATGTGGCCACCTGCGCACCTCATTGTCGTGTGCCGTTGGTATACAGGCCCGACGCCCCACCCATCCCTATGATGATGGACGCTTGCTTGGGCAGCATTGGAGGCGTGGTCGCGCAGGGGGCTGACTGGTGAAAGGCTAAGGTGGCCGTGTTCTACTCTGCTAAGCTGAACTCAGCACAGAGAAATTATCCTGTTCATGAACAGGAGATGTTAGCGGGAGTGGAGACAATGCTGAGGCATCGCGACATCTTACAGGGGGTGAAATTCACATGGCTCACTGACCACAAAGGGCTGATTCATCTATTGAATCAGCGAAACCTATCTGGGAGACAAGTGCATTGGGTTGAGAAAATCAGCGAGTTTGACTTCGAGGTGAAGTACTTACCGGGTGTAGAAAATCTGCTCCCTGACGCCCTGTCCCATATGTATGTGTTCGACGCGCCAGGGACCGTGCGTACCGCCAGCGAGTATATGGAGCACGACAACGTCGACAGGGTTGTACAGCCCGACGGGCTGGTGTCGATGCCCTTAATCGTGGGGCAGGAGGCATTGGCGGGGAGTCCGTGTTGTAGTGCACAAGTTGCTGAGAGGTCAGTGAAGACAGGTCAAGTCGAAGACCGATCTCCAGGAGCTTCTGATCCATTGATGATCAGAACCATCTGGAGAGCAGGCAGTGAAGGCCTGGGGCATCGGGCCACGACTATGCCCTTGTTAGCACAGACGGGGAGGGGCACCACGCCCTCTGTTGCAACTAAGGGGAAAGCGGGGTTGATGCAGGACAGGGTTTCCCTGAAGCAACTTTATGGTGGGCCTTTGAATAGGTCGGCCCATGCTAGCGAAGAAGCTGAGCAGAGATCACCTGCCACATCGACAATTCTGCGTCCTCGCGGGAAGGTCGCGATGGTGCCCACGGAAACGGTACCGCGTTCTCACAAAAAGCCAGCAGTGGCACCAGCGGAGACGGGGCATCCAGAGACGTCCCAGGAATTTGCTAGAAGGATGAAAGGTCATTTCGTGTTGCTCGGACTGGGCAAATGAAAGGAAGGGGGAGAGCGGTAACACTTACCACTCTGAACCACCCAAATTGCCTACTACAATGGATAAAGTACAGGACATAGAGCATCCCAGTGTAGAAGCAGTAGCCCTACCAACCTACCCTGAGGAGGAACTAATGGGGAAGTTGAGGCATCAATATGATAAAGACCCTTTCTTTAAGAAGATAACTGACTCACCAAAAGAGTTCCGCAACTTCGTGATGGAGAATGGGATCCTAAGGATAAAGCTTGCTGATCAGGTAGTGATATGTGTACCCGACATCACAATTGACAACAGGAAGCTGAAGGAATTAGTAATCAGTCAAGCCCACTCGCTGTTGGCCCATCTTGGGGCGAGAAAAACACTTACTTACCTTCACGACCATGGATATGGTACGGGACGTGCAGTCGTATTGTGAAACCTGTGTGACATGTCAGCGAAGCAAGCCATCCAATCAAAGGCCATATGGGTTACTCAACTCATTATCAGTACCGTCCTATCCTTGGGAAGCTATGGGTATTGATTTTATAGGCCCGCTACCTATATCTAAGGATAGGAACACTGAATATGACTCGGTTACCGTGATAATCGACTTACTAACGGGTATGGTCCATCTCGTGCCCAGTCAAACGACATATACAGCTCGGGATGTAGCGGAACTCATGTTCTCCGAGGTATATAAACTGCATGGGCTGCCCAAAAGGATAATCAGTGATAGAGACGTACTGTTCACAAGCGGATTCTGGACTCACTTTCAGAAACTGCTAGGTGTAAAGCAGAGGATGTCCAGTGCCTACCACCCTGAGACGGATGGGGCCACTGAGCACACTAACAGAACTGTTACGCAGATGGTGAGGTCGAGTATAGCACCCAACCAGAGGGATTGGGCTGTGAAATTACCTGCCATCGAATTTGCTATTAATTTAGCGAGCTCAGAGAGTACTGGGTACTCACCATTTTTCACTAACACTGGGCGTGTACCGCGGACAATGATCTGGAATAATCCAGGACCATCAGAATATCCAGGAGTAAGGGCATATGCCATGAAATTGAAACATACCATAATGGCCGCGCATGACGCGATGATAGCAGCACGAGTGAAACAAACCAAGGACGCAAATAAGCGTAGACGTCCTTGTCCCTTGGAACAAGGTGATCTGGTGTATCTGTCAACAAAGAACATCAGTTTTCCTAAGGGATTAGCTTGTAAGTTCTTACCTAAATTCATGGGACCTTACCACATTCTAGAAGACTTCGGAAACAATTCATTCCAACTGGACTTACCTAACCGGATGAAACAACGAGGGATCCACGACGTGTTCCACTCATCTTACCTTCACATTCACCTGCCAAACGATGACCGACTGTTCCCTGGACGGTTGGAGATGCAGGTCGCGGACTTTGAAGAAGAGGAACAGGAATGGGCGGTTGACCGGATCATTTCCCATAAGGGAACTCGATCGGAGGCTGTGCTCGAAGTTAAGTGGAAGTCGGGGGACGTGATGTGGCTTCCGTACCATCGGGTCGATCACTTGGACGCGTTGAAGGAGTATTTTCATGTCTTAGACATCGAAAATGTCTCTGAATTGACAGAAGGTAACAGATCGCCACCAACTGACGACCCACAGGTTTTTCTAGGTAGTCTGGGCTGGGAGCTAAGGTATATAACATGCCGCTCACCCTCTGCTACAACATCCTCCGCCAACATCAACATTACCCCAGCCGACTTCGCCGATAATTCAACCACCATGACCACCAACACTCCTATCCCTCTCTTTCATGCCTTGGGCAATGGGCGTTTCGCCATGCCTGACAGGTATAGACCCAGTGTCACTCTACTCCTAATGCTGGATCAGATTCGCATCTACCTCCAGCATGATGCTGACTTATGAGGAGGAAGCAATCCTACTGCTATCCCGTCCCCCGTTGGCTACGACAAATTCGCCATTGCGCTCAACAGTAATGGGGATAACGGAATCCAGGTCGCGCTGGTCTTGGAGGGTAATTCCGGAGTGCGTGTGCAAGGACACTCTCCCACCCTCGCGGAGCTCGTGGGTCTTGACGCATCATACCGCCTCCTTCGCAACCCAGAGAGGAAGCTGGAGGAAGGTGGTTAGACCAGCGTCGTTCAGAACTCATGGATGAAGCTTTGTGGGACAACCTAGAGCGTATCCGCAAGCAGAAGCAATGGAAGGAGAGAGGGGTGGCTGAAAGACGCGCCAAGAGGCAGCGTCGCAAGGATGATGAGGCACTCAAACCATTCACGGTGTCGAAGGTCGGCCAAACCACTACCAATGCCCTGGCCGGACCATCCACCACCACTTGTGCCCCTTCCCCATTCATCACTAATAATCCTCCGCCTCCTGTGACCCCTGTTCCCGAGAATCCATCTCCACCTGAGGATGTTGACGCGGATATGCTTGACCACGAAACCACGGGTGATGTCATGGATGCGAGGCCAGCTAAGGGGAAAGGGCATGTCCCTAAGAAGTAGAGGTCATTGAGCAACCTCTGGAGGGGGGTATGTGACAGATAGGCCGAGCCTAGACCAATCACGCACATTGTCGAGAGTCTTAGATCGATTCCCCCCTGACACGTATGAAACAAAGTATCTTTAACAGTTGATTTCTTATTTATCACGCGCCTTGCTTTACTATACACTATAAAGTCCTACCTACGTTGTCTAGTATAGTTTGGCAGTCTATAATCTTATCTTGTATCTGGTTATCTGTCCGTCTGAATTTCCCACTGTGCCGCCTCTGAAAGCCATAAGCTTCTCACAGTCGTCACAGACGTGGAGCGGATAATTCCGAAAGCTTAGTCATATGTTAAAGCTCCGCTCAAACCTTAACTCCCATATCATCAAGTTTTCCATCATCTTCGTCAGCGTATCGCTCGAGCTATCTCACAACTTTGACAACAAAAACATCAAAAGCTCGTCAAAATGGTATGTTGTATGTCTCTGATATGTGTCTAAAATCCTCACAGAATTTGTTCAGACTCTTGCTGTCGATCTATTGAACCCCTCTGCGGAACATGAACGCAAGCAGCACAAGCTCAAGCGTCTCGTGCAATCCCCCAACTCTTATTTCATGGATGTAAAATGCCCAGGTGCGCCCCGTCGAGACAGACGCTATACCACTAATCTCACTGGCTATTTGTTTTAGGATGCTTTGCCATCACCACTGTATTCTCTCATGCGCAATCAGTAGTTCTTTGTGGCTCGTGTGCAAGTGTCCTCTGCCAACCTACAGGTGGTAAGGCAAGACTGACCGAGGGTATGTTTCAAATTATGATGTTTTGTAATTTATTAACCTTTCGCAGGTTGCTCATTCCGCCGGAAGAACTAGACACTACACTTGCACTCTCCTAGCTAGTACTTACTTTGTTTCTCAGTCTGTTCCCTTTGACGTTCATTCAATATCGTCTCGACATTTAAACGTTCTTTGTCGGTTCGCTTGCTTTCAACCCTTGCAAGTAACTAGGCTTGACGGCATTGAGTATCTAATTGATCTCACCAAGCCTCGCGGGAGCGCAGGCTGCGAGGATTAGCCAGTAAGAGAGTCTTTCGCGCGACTCCGAGTCCGAGTCCATGCTCTTCGGTCAAGCTGTAAATCTCAGCAGCTTAGCCATGACTTCAGGTGTTCAACATTCGCGCGGCAACCACGCTTATTCTCTCAAGTAATGCTGTAGCGACTATACTTTGTTTCGGCGCTCTCGGGGGCGTTGCAACAGCATTCATTGCTACCCTCGGCCCTATGACTGGTCTCCGCACCATGATTATCACCCGCTTTAGCTCAGGATACTTCGGCGGCACCATATACTCAATCCTCAACATCTTCACCCAGTGCGGGGATTCTCATTGATATGCACATTATCTCGCTGATCACGTCTAGGCTCGGCTTTTCTACAACAGCAGTCATTCTCGGAGGTCAAACGCTCGCCAACATCAATCTCAGCACCCTTCCGCTCGTCGTTGGCATCATTATAATTGGCGTGTGTTGCCTCATCCCGTGTTTTGTCGGGTACGACATGGTACACGTCTACGAGCACTACGCATGGATAATCACTAGCATCATCATGCTTTTCCTCTGGGGTCTGGGGGGTAAAGCCGGATATGACGTCAACGCGCAAAAGTCTCTCGAGGACACAGGGCGCGCCCTCTCAGCTGACATTCTCAGCTTTGGCGGAATCGTATTTGGTTCATTCTCGGGGGTGCGTTCAACCATCATTTCTTTGTGTCAGGTGTTAAATTTAGTAAACCAGTGGGCTCCAGTCGCAGCGGACTACAATTGCCGGCTACCAGCCGATACACCGCCCATGCACGTATTCCTGCTTACGTTCTTCGGGCTGTTCATCCCTATCTGCTTCGTCGAGATCCTCGGTGCAGCCCTCATGACAATTACAGATCCCGCATACATAGCTGCGTTCGCAGATGGCTCAACAGGCGGTCTAATCGCGCAAGTTCTCTCTCCCTGGGGCCACTTTGGTCAATTCATCCTCGTCCTTCTCGCACTTTCTGTCATGTAAGAAACGAAACAACCTTTTTGTCCGTACTAACCTAGAAACAGCGCTAACAACATCCCAAACACCTACTCCACTGGCCTGTCCATACAAGCCCTCGGACGCCCATTCGCCATCATACCGCGCTTCTTATGGGTTTTCCTCGCTTTCGTCATATACACCGTAGCAGGTGTCGCTGGCCGGGAACACTTCAGCGCCATCCTTTCCAATTTCCTGAGCATACTCAGCTACTGGACGGCTTTCTTCATCGTAATCGTCGCCGAGGAGCACTTCATCTTCAGGCGCAAGAACGGGCCGCTCGGGGGGTACAATTTGGATGCTTATGATATGCCGTCGAAGTGAGTCTACTATTTTTGGGGTGAAGATGCTGTTGACCCCGCCGTGTTCTCAAGGCTGCCATTGGGCATAGCGGGTATACTTGCAATGTGTTTTGGCATTACAGGTGCTGTCGTTGGGATGTCAGAGGTATGTCATCACCGTGGACTAACCTCGTACACTGACGCATATCAATTCGTTCGTAGGTATGGTACACAGGTCCGCTTGGGAAGATGGCAGGAGCGGCGTATGGCGCTGATCTCGGGTTTGAGGTGTGTTTGATTCTTTGGCTGATTGGACACGCGCTCACCAGATTTGCATACAGCTTGCAGCTGCTTTCTCAGCTGTTACTTACCCTCCGCTGCGTGCTCTTGAGATTAGGCTCACTGGTCGATGATAGGAGGTCTACTGTGCTGAAGTGGTATGAAGGATGTAGTGTCTTTTTGGCAGCTTCTTATTGTAGGAAGAGCGCTGGGTAGATTGACTTATCCTATAGAACAAGACCATTGGAGGCGTCGAGTTATAGCAAGTGCTCGACTTACACATGGCGTGATGCTGCGCAGCGCAGGATCATCCGCATAGTACGCGTTCCAAAGGCATTTTGCCGCGTCATGTCAAGGACCTACTTACTAAAGGGGGTGGTGTCTCACCTACGTCCTTATGCCGGTGGCGTGATGCTGCGCAGCGGCTGGATCAAAACAAATATAGATAGGCACTATGATAGTAGTGCGCGTTCCAAAGGCATCTGACCGCGCCATGCCACGGAGCTACATAAAAGGGGGTGCCTCGTTAATAGTAAGCGCATTGGAACCTTGTCCGGGAAATGACAAGGAACACTGAACGGATCAGGCGAAAGTAACAGGACGAAACTGTGGATTCTTTTGAGCGTTGTACTAATGCGTAGGTGATGGTAGGTAGGAGACCCGAGTCTAATCTTCGTAGTACAAGGTTCGAGGAATATAAGGGGATGCGTCACGTGGAGTATGATAGTGTAAGCGAATGGTAAGCAATCGGCTTACACCCTTCCTTTCTCTGAAGAATTTCATACGGTCCTAGGCTAATTGTCATTTGTTCACTTCTGCGCGTGATGCGGCTCAATCTTCTATAGCGTGTTGCGCTTCATGCGGCTTGTTTTCATCAGACGATATTTGAGGGATCGCGTGATGCGAGTTTTCTTCGACGGATGTTATGATTGTTGAAGGTATGTTGTGAGATTGACGGTATTCGGCTAACACGGCAGTGTCTTCTAGCTCTTTGCCAGGAACCCAAACATCTGCTTCAGGTCCATAGCCGCGCCATCGAACGAGATATTGATGTCCACGTCCGCGAGTTCTGCAATCGAGAAGTTTCTCTATTTCCCACTCTTCCGTTCCGTTTTGTGTAACCACTGGTGCAGGCCGTTGCAGCTCACGTGATGGGTAGAGCTCGGCGTTGTTGGGCACATGGCGTTTGAGCTCGGAGGCATGAAAAGTGGGATAAACATTAGTATGTTCTGGTAAGTCAAGAGTGTATGTGGATGACTCAGGGTTCGCGGGCACTATTCTGTAGGGTCCATCAAAACGTGGCATGAACTTGCCTACACGTTTGTTGTCGCCATTCAGATACTCGCGCCGTCGATGAGCCGTTGAAAGGTAAACGAGATCATTGATTTCCAAGGAAGGTTCTTCGCTGCGATGTACATTTGCGGTGTTTGTTTGCGCTATTCGTGATGCGAGTAGTGCGTCGTATGCATCCGCGACATCAGTCTTTAGGGAGACGATTGCGTCGAGTGCGTTGGAGATGTCGTTTGGAAAATCTGTTCGTGCGAGCGCGATGTTTTCTGGTGTCAGTGGTGGTAGGAGGCGTGGTGTTCTGCCGATGTGGAGATGGAAGGGTGTGTATCCTGTTGAAGCGTTCTTCGTTGACATCATGTTGAATCTTATTCGTGGCAGGGCATTGACCCAACCAGTTTGATGACGGTCGACGAAGTATCGCAAGGCTTGATCGACTGTTTTGTTTGTGCGTTCACTCGCGCCATCTGTCTGTGGGTGGTAAGCGGTTGACATTTTTAGCTTTACACCTGTCAGTCGGTGTAGCGCTTTCCAGAACTTGGAGGTGAAGATCTTGTCTCGATCTGAGACGATACTTAAGGGAAGTCCATTCTCGCAATACCAGTGGTCGAAGAAGAGGTTCGCCACTTCCTTTGCCTTCATGTTCATCCGGCATGGTACTAGTCGGATATCTGCGCCAAGTCGATCGGTAATTGTCATTATGCCGTCGAATCCCTTTTCGGTAGGTAATGGACCGATGAAGTCGATGGCGATGGAGTCGCCTCTATGGTCTGGGATTGGTAGGGGATGGAGTGGGCCAGCTGGTTTGGTGGTACGACTCTTGTTATGTGCGCAGTCTGGACAGGCGGGTATGTAACTTTCCTCGAGGTCGCGACACATATTCGGCCAGTAATATGTGTCGCGTATGTTTGCGTATGATTTGTCGGCCCCGAAGTGACCTAGTTGGTCGTGGGCCAAACGAAAGATGGTTTCGTGGAGGTGGGTGACGCGAGGAATGACCAGACGGTTGTTGAGATACAGTAGTCCGTCTCGTTGTTGTAGACCTGGTAGTGAGTTCAACAATTTAGTTAGTTTAACGCACCATGTATCTGTGAGGTAACCGGCTTTGATGTCGTCGTAGAGCGACACGTCTGGTGTGATCGATAATACGAGCACGACGGGTGTTAAGGATTTTGCAATATTTGTGGGCATGTTGACGGTCCTTTTGGCATACGAAGGTATGTCGTCTTCTGGTGGTAGACGTGATAATGCGTCTGTGACGGTGTTGTCTTTGCCACGAATATATTGGATGTCGAAATCGTATTGACCGAATGCCGAGTAGTTCGATCCTCCATTTCTTGAGTGCGCGTACAATCGCTAATAACTCTTTTTCGTGTACCGGGTAGTTTAGTTGAGCCGTTCGTAGCTGCATTGAGTCGATAGTGCTGCCGTGGTCCGGTCCAGAACCACGGTTCGAACCGAACTTTTGGTCCGGTTCTCTGTGGTTCGGTCCGCGGTTCTCATGCTGGCCAGAACCGAACCGGAAAATGGTTCTCGGTTCTAGGTCCTCCCGAACGGTTCCATTTTGGTTCGGCCTTCCCGAACCATTCCGAACCCTTGTTGACTTCGACTTCGAACTTGCATCTGCCTCGAATTCAAACTGTGCTTCGTGATTCGCACTCTCAGTTGATTGTGCCGCATTGAGGCTTTTGGAAGGTAAGTACCAACTAATTTAAACTCTCAAGTCAGGAACAGTACTCAAAAGCTCGCACATATCCGACTTGCAAAGGCACGAAAATAGACAAGAATGGAACATGAACTCCATGTATCGGGCGATGCGCTACATTCCAGAAGAGGCCTTCTGGTGATCCTGAGAACCCTCTATTAAGGGCCACTGCTGCGTAGCCTGACGTACGACTAGGACGGAGCACCACGCTGATGGAAGGGATGTAGAGTCATATCTGCGTGGATGCCACCAATTGGGTTCTCAGCTTGTGCGAGCGGGGCTGAACTTGCCTTCACTGTTTGTCGTGGTGAGTGTGTTGAAAACTGCAACTGCTGATTAATTCTTCACTACATGTAAGTACCGCAGCGCAACAATGCCCATCGCCCTTACAAATAATCATGCAGTGCGCATTGCAGCGTGTCCCAACGCGTGGTGACAAGGCGATAATATATGACTAAAATGACACTCTGCACGCCCATCTCTTCCTTGAAGTTCCTTCCTCTCAGATCATTGCGATTTCAAACCAGCCTTTGCAATACTAGGTAAGTTCTTATCTTTACTAGACAATCGATCAGATGCGACTTCTGAGCACAGACGATGAGCCGGTCTCAACTGAAAATCCTCTCTCAATTGGCATCATCGCCTAATGATGTGGGGTCAGGTCTTGCGCAATGCATGGGGGCCTTGCGTCTCATTTCATCCCTGCCGAGAGCATCGCCCATCATGGTCGAGTATTCGGGTACGAAGGGTTCCATAACCATTCGGAAGGGAACATCTCTCACGTGTGCCGTTCAGGGTGAGCCTCATCTCATTTCTCGCGGTTCATTCTTCTCGAATGTTAGTCTCACCAATGCTAATCAATTCGAGTAGACTGTTGCCGGGCTTCTCAAATCACCCATGGAGCTCCCTGAAGACTCACGCATCATGTCTGCTGCATTCTACCGCGAAGACGGGACAATTGATCCCGCAAAGGTACTCATCGACGAGGACTCGTGGAAAGAGCTTGTACCATATGTGCATACACTGCACATCGAAGACGAGCGTCAAGCGCATTCGTTATTTGCCACGCAAGTCCTGTCATCAGCAACTTCGCAGAACGCAAGGTTGTCTCCCTCCCCAAGTCCAGCGCTGACTTCCCCAACATGGAGTCTGAATAGCAATGCAAACACTTTCGTCCCCAGCAAAAATACAGCGACGTTGAAATCGCAGGATGGAACAAAGGTCAACCTACAAGCGCTCAGAAAGGGGAATATCTCTCCCGCATGTATGTATCTTTCATCTGGGTTCAGACAGTAAAGCTGATATCAGCCCGTAGCCATCAAACCGTTATCATCGTTGGTGGGTCTAGCAGACGCATAATGGCACTTGAAAAATTTATGGTTCGGTTCGCGTTCGGACCAGAAAAAAACCGGACCGGACCGCAAAGAACGGTTCTTGATGGTCCGGTTCTGGGTTCGACGATTTTGTAGAACCGGACCATGGTTCGGTTCGCGGTTCTCGTCCAGGACCCTCTGAACCGGACCGAACCGGACCACGGCAGCACTATGAGTCGAAGGCAACCGGACATGCTGTTTGTGGTGTCAGGCCCACACTAAGCATGGCTCCGACGCGCCAGTCACTGGCATTGCAGGTGACGAAGATCTTGTTCATTCCAAGGTTGTTGTGGTCTATCGTGGTAAGGCAGTCGCGACTTACGACCAGCTGCTTGATTGCATCGAAAGCCGCTTGATGCTCGTCGTTCCAACCCAGCCATTGTTGTTCGGCAGATTTTGTCGTCAATGGCGTTAGTAGGCGAGTGTGGTCTGCGAGACTTGGTAGGAACTGGTCGAGATAGCGGACGAGACCTAGAAATGAGTGTACGTCGCCCATTGATTTCGGGATGGGCCAGTCCAGAATTTGTTTGGCTTTCGATGTGTCGGCTTCGATTCTGTTCGCGGATATTCGATGTCCGAGGAAGTCGATTTCTGTGCAGAAGAGTGCTGTTTTCTTGGGTGAGCAGAAAAGGGAAGCTTTTCGTAGTGCATCCAATACTAACTTGACATTCTTGGCGTGTTCTGCTATGGTTTGCGACCAAATAATGATATCATTGAGGTAAGCATGACATATTTTGCCGATAAGACCTCGTAGTGCGATGAACATGCGCCATTGGTGTGTTGCGGGAGCATTCCTCCCTCCCTGTGGCATTACTGTCCATTCGTGTAACCCTCTGGGTGTGTCGATGGCGGTATATTTAATGTCGTCTGGGTGGATCCTCGTCTGGAAGAAAGAATTTGTCATATCAATTTTGCCGAAAATTTTACCTTTCGTGCAGTCGCGTAAAATTTCGTCTATTCGTGGTAGCGGGTGGTTGTCGGGCACAGTGTTAGCGTTTAGTGCACGGTAATCATTTACCCACCATGGTAAGGCAGCAGGGTCTTTCTTTGGTATGAGAAATGCCGGAGAGACGAAGGAACTTGAAGACGGTCGTAGTCTTCCCGCAGCAATGTGTTGGTTGAGAAGCGTGTCCCACGCTTCGCGGTACTTTCGGGGAGTGTTGTACAGTCTACATTGAATGATAGTGTTTGAATCCTTTAATTTGATTTGGTGAACGATATTGGTAGGGAGTTCGTCGATGTGTGGGATGTCCTCTGGAAACCTGTCTTCGTACTGACGTCGCATTTCTTTATTGAGGCGTTCGAGTTGTTCTTTGTTCACCTCGATGAAAGCGAGAGTTTCGATATGTTTTTGTAGTAGCGTGACGACATTGGGTGTTTTTGATATGACATTGGTGTCATCGTGTCGGGTGCTCAAGACGGTCTTAAGTTCTTTGAGTACATTCTTGCGCAGTTGACGTAGCTCGTGTTCTGTCGCAATGTGTGGTTTCACGTGTTTTTCATATGTTGGAGGGTTCAAAAGGTCGTAGTTCGAAGCTTTGGCAATACATGTGCGACAGTTGTGATCTATAACAAGGGAATTGTGTGATAAGAAGGGTCCTCCGAGGAGGAGAGGAACGGCAAGCTCTGGTGCAATAATAGCGCGTATCGCGCAAGAAGTCCAATCATGATTAATTGAAGATGGGGTCAAGATAACGTATTCAGAGAATGAAAAAGTGGAAGAAGAATTGTTTAAGAAAGCAGAATTTGCTTGAATCTTTTCATGCAGTTTGCGTTTGCGCTAGTGCTGCCGAAGTTCAGTTCCGTCCAGTTTTTTCAAAATAATTGAGGACCGAGAACTGAACCTCGGTCAAGTTCACAAAGGTAGGGTGGACTCTGGGCTGGACCACTTCGAATGGGTTCACAATGGTCGGGTTCGAGTTCGAACCAGTTCGAACCGCCGAACGCAACATGAAATTAGCAAAATTTTCCAAGTACGAACAATTGTAGTAGGCTAGACTATTCAACAATAAAAATTTGAGGAGCAATGAGCTCAGCCTGCACCATTGCTGAGACATGGCCTTGACGGTACGCACTTTTTAACAGTTGAAGTGCCTCGAATGTCTCTGGAAGTAAGCAGTTGCGACGTGTGGTGCCGGTGATGCCACCACTAGAGAATGCGTGTTCAGATGCTACCGCAGACCCCTGAATAGCGAGGTAATCTTTTGCGATGCGAGCAACAGTGGGATACTGAACCGAGTGATGCTTTAAAAAAATGATTGTCAGCTTCAAGTTACACGGAATATTAAGGAAATGAGGGAAGTGGACTTACACCCCACCACGCGACTACATTCTCAACATCCTCCAGTGGTGCAGCTAAGTAGTCCTCCAATTCCTGATGAGGCCTTTGACGAGCTGCGTCGTGTGAGACGTGAGCTTTGATTGCATCGCACATCCAGCTCTGGCCGTAGGAACCTTGGCGTGAGAGGGATGGTGTAGCAGAATGTGTCGTCGCGGCAGATGAAGGAGGGGCACGATAATACTGATCAAACTAGATACTAAGTTAGTGCGCAGACAATTTATTGAGATACCATGGACTTACCACATCTTCGAGCCGTTTCACTCCATCCGCAAAGTCTTGAGACACCCATTTTGCCTTAGCGTAGGCAACTTTGTAGTTAGGGTCGAGGGCTGCATGAAAGTAAGAGTGTTGTCAAAATGAGAATGTGTGAATTAAGAATGGGGCACGTACCAAGGCAGATGAAGTAGACATATGTGTCATTTGTCTTGTGATACCACTTAGCCAGATTGTCCAGGCCGGATGTGACAGATGCTGAAAGTATGTTGAATGTTGAAGTGCCAGCCATGCGTTCCCACGTCTCTTGAAGATATTCGAAGACAGGAATGGTGCGCCAGACTGTAGGCTCCCGAGTAGCCGAGAAAGTCTGTTGGGCGTTAGCAGGCTCCTGCGCAGTGTAGTGCTAGTTAATACAGAAGGTGAAAAAAAGACAGTTGAAGGAACTGACCTGTAGCACGTCTCGAATCAATTCCAACTTTGACCACTCCTGCTGTGTGAGCTTGAATGCCGAATAGGTTTTCCCTTGTAAGTTGGGGACTTCATCGCTGTCGTCAGCAAGTTGCGTGAACCTGTTCACTCCCTTAAAATCAAATAAATTAGATAGAACATAAAACTTAATATAAAACAAACCTTGCGTAAACGGATCACTCGCTCCAACATTTTGAAGAGTGATGCCCAACGTGTTCGAACCCATTTGAGAAGTTCGAGAGGGGGGAGGTCAACCTCGGCGCAGCACTTCTTGAAGAAAACACAAGCTTGCGGGGACTTTCATATTTGCATGACAAGTGAAAGCGCTTTACTGATAGTATTGGCAACGTCAAAATCGGTCTCGTCATTGTCGTCATTGTCGTCTTCTTCTGCTGTCTTCTTGAGTAAAGCACTGGCGGGTGTCGGAGCCACTCTCTCAACAAAATGCTTTGCTGCAAGATGCAGCGCGTGTTCCATACAACGGTCCCAGTTGGTGCCATAAGGGTCAATCTCGATTGCGACAGTTCGAATTGCTGTGTCATTGTTCGTGGCGTTGTCGGCAGTGAACCAGCCGACCTATGATCAAATGATTAGAGAAACAGTATGTACAACAACATAAATAATAAATACTCACCTTTTTGTGTATATCGTACTTGTCGATCACTTCGATAAGAATACCACCAATGTTAGCGCCGCTGTGGTTACCCTTGATGAGCCTAAAGGCAAGTTGCTCCGTCTTGAGTTCCCACTCCTGGGGCTTGTCTGCGGGTGAGTTGATGTAATGCACTGTGACAGAAAGGAATGGGTTGCCTGGTTCAGATGTCCAGGAGTCGAATGTCATTGAAATCTTGCTGTCAACGTGCTATGACAATTATAATGAGTGAAAAGCAGTGAAAAGCAGACAATTATTAACACTTACTGCTAGTTTTTCCTTGACTCGTTCAACAGCAAGTTTTGCTCTCTCTAGAATCTCATCCCGTGTCTTAGTGCGGTGCGGAATATCTTGATCTATGAGACTTGGCCAAAGGTATTGCAGGAGGCGGCGAAAGGATCCTTTGTCGACAAGTTGAAATGCCTGTTATTGTGTGAGTACGTGAAAGAAAGAAAGAAATAGTGAAAGTCACAAACCTCATCCTCAGCAACAATAAGCTCGACAATATAGTCGACAAGGCCTGACTTCGTAAACTGCGGTGGCTTGGGGACAAGGGCACAATCGAGAGTTCGCTGCCCTCCATCAGATACCTTGACATTCAAAGGAATAGCGCGCTCATGCATGATGATGCCTTTCTCCTCACAGCGACTCTTGTAGATTGGAAAGTGGCAGTTTGGATTCCGGGCGATGTGAGTACGACGGGTAGAGATACTGCCCTTGAAGAAACAATTTTGAAGAGGCAAATTTGCTTCCCTATGAGACAGAAGGCAAGTTAGTAAAAAGATGCTCTCGAAAACAGGGAAGAGAAAAACACACTTGCAAATGTTACACCACCATCCATCCTCACTTTCACCGGTGTGTGCGTTCTTGTGGCCTTTTTCCTCGGTGAAGATCATTCGCAGATCTGCTGTCCACTCATCTTTCTTCAAACTTTTGCGAACCTGGAGGTCTGATATGAGTAAAGTAGGAGAGAGCCTGAAAATACACTTACATCTCGGTCGGCATCTCCGAATGCTTTAATCTGCTGGTAAGCTTCTTCAGCTTCCTTGGCCTCTTCGTCGTCTGAATTGGCAACAAATGACTCGTCCTTGTTTGTAGATATGTTGTTGTTGTTGTCATCACTGCCGTCATCATTGTCCCCAATTGTAGAAGAGCTGGTTGCAGAGACAAGCGGGCGCTTGGTGGCAGGGGGCATGGTGGTAGTACCTGAATGTTTGGGAGGAATGGCACTGCTCGCTGCTTCTCGCACCTTTGCGGAAGGCTTGATAGGCCGGCCAGAGCGACGAGAACCAGCAACAACTGTTGCAGGCCGGTGAGAGCCTATGAAAGAGTACAGGGTACGAGGGCCAGGGGGCAAAGCCTTAGACGAGGATTCAGGATGGGGCGAGATGGGCATGTCGTCGTCAGGATCATGAAACCATTCGATTTCGGATGCATCCTTCAAAATGCCATTAGCATTAACTGCAGAGTTAGACATGTTGTGATAAATGGACTCACCTTGCATATACCCCACCCTTTTATTCTTGGCTGATGTTCTGCGCAAGGCCAGAACGAGATGTGAATATTCATTTCAATCGATCGTGTTGGTGATGATGGCGCCGGTGAGGATTGTGCCGGTGATGATTTCACCAGCAAACTTACTGATGTGTCGACAGTGAGTATCCTTCGAACCCTGAGGAGTCGCAGAACAGAAGCAACAAACCTGCAACTCTAATGATGGGTTTGGACCGGTTCAGACTCGTCCGAACAGGTCCGAAATCCATCCGAGACCACCCGAACGAAGAATGTATGTAAAGTTCGGTCCTGTATTGTACGTCGAACCCCTGACCGAATGGTGGTTCCATTTGCAAAAGTTCAGGTTCGAACCTAGGTTCGGGACTGAACTGCGGCAGCACTAGTTTGCGCAGGCCGAGTCGATTGACGACATTTTTGTCAATCAGAGCTAAGTGCGACCCGTGGTCAATCAAAGCGTCGAAATGTTCAGAGAATTGAGAAGAAGGGCCTGTCAAGAGACAGGGCCATATAAGGTGGGCGGTTTCGAAAGGGGCTATGCACATGTCATCTTCAGAATCGGATCCGTCGTCGAGAACGGATGACGGCATCACAGCTCCCACTGGTCCAACAGCCATTACAGGTTTCATCTTGGGTTTGGCTGCGTTAGCATCGGACTCGGTGAGGGTTTTGTAGGAAGATGTGTCTGGCGCTCCGTCTGTACAGTCTTTGGATTGATGTGATACGTAGAACTTTCTGCATTTGAAGCAACCTTTGTGCTTCATCAATAAAGTGCGCATTCCGTTTCTGTAAGCAATCCTAGACGAGGTGACGAGGCGTTGTAAGTCTTTGTAGATGAGGAGGATGGTTTGTATGTGGTTGCGATGTTTCTCTTTGATGACCTGTGGATCTCTTCGGCGATCTTCCTTTGAGAGGCCAAGTCTTCAAGACGTTCGTCGTCAAGATGCTTGACCTCTTCGATCCATTCCTTGAGGGACAGGTCGTCAGCGAGTTTTGCTCTGAGTATGGGTATGGTCAACTTGTCGCAGATATTTGCTTCCAGTTGATTCCGCAATTGGACATCATCGAGGTGCGTAGGGTTTCCGTATAGTAAGGTGTTTAGGTTTTGAAGGTCTAAAGCCCACTCGTAGAACCTGCGGTTACCTTGTTGAGAACCTAGGACTTTTTTGCGCAACTTGGTTGCCCAGTGGCTTTCAAGCCAAGCGCTTCTGAGGGCTGACATATACTCTGCGAAGGTACCTGTGTCAAGGGTCGCCCGTTGTGTTAGATACCAACTGCATAAGTGTGGGTCTGTCATTCCGGAAGCGATCATTTTGACTTGATCCGCTGCATCGACTTGTTTGTGTAAGAAGTAGGTGTCGCAAGCATTCTCCCAGTCGCAAGCGACTTGTGGAGTGATCTTGCCTGGTGTAAGCTTGGGAGGTTTGTTGGGGGCAGATTGTTCGACGATAGCGGACTTTGTCATTTTGTGGGAGTGGGAGGGGGGTATATGCGTCTGTTGTGGTTCTGAATCTGAAGAGGAATCATAATATCTTTTCTTCAAAATGGTACGCGTTGAGCGAAAGTGATTCCGTGTAGCCTGTTAGTGTAGACTACCGATCCGTTTTGAGTGCGAGTATTATAGCTTGTCCCAAGGGGATTGCTACTGAGGGATGTCTTCGCAATAAATGCAAAGGAATCAATCCGACGGGCTTAAGATCTGAGCGGCCGGTGAGCGGTGGGGAATCCGATGTGAGAGGAAGATGTCCGGACGGGAACGATTTTGATGGGACGGATGTCTAGCGGTGCGGATTTGGTCAAGGTGTCGAGGTAGCAAGGTATCGAGGTGGCAAGGTGTCTAGGTGTCGAGGTCTCGATGTAACGAGCTACCGGAAGTGATCCGAGGAACGGGAAGAGGTCCGTTGCGGTACGGAAGACTAAGGGGACTTGTTGATCACACCAACTTAGACAGTAAATCCAAGGGAGTAAAAGGAAGTGATATTGGTAGAGTACGATGCAACTATTTATCTTAACCCGTGAAAACTCGGGACCCACTTAAGCGACGGTAGTATAGGCGAGGCCGTAGCGCGATAATATGTAAGGGACGGCAAGCGGCCTCATGTATGGGAATGTACATGTAAACAGTCTGCTGTTTGATCAGAGTGATGAAAGGAGAGAAATAACGCACCAATGGGGATGGATGGACATGGATGGACAGGAACGAGGGGCAATTGAGGGAATCCGTCGCAAGTTGCATACCCGTTAGGTGTCCGGGAGGGCGGGAGTCGACGGAATAGGCCGGATGAACATGGACGTGAATACCTGACTAGGTGAGCTTCGGATTGTGCATAACTGGTGATTGTGAGGCTGGCGCCAGAATGTTTGGTACATCTGCGGGGGACTCAAATACTGACCGTCCCCGGTCAGTCCTGTGTGCGGAATGGACTTAGCGGTTTTCTTGTCAGAACGTCACATGACCGTGTGACCGGCTAGTCGGAGCGAAGAAGTGCGGAGTCTTTTGCGGAGTTCGGGTGGATGGTGTGGACGCGTCGACGCGTTGTTCGTCCCTATAAATTCTCCACATCTAATCCTTCCTTTCTTCCTTCCACTCTCCATCATCTTTCCTCATGGCACCTTTCAACTTTGCTTCTGCGTCCGTCGCTACTGTCGATCCCGAAGTTGACAAACTTCAGCGTGATTTCGCGGCCCTCAAGACGCGTTTGGGCGGCGTCGTCGCGTGCATTCCTGATGAGACGGGTGATGCGGTGGAGGATAGGATTCAGTGGTTGTGGCAGTGGAAGGTTTTATCGGTACGTTGCGGTGACTTCTCCTTTCATGACGCGTCGCTAACCTTTGAATAGAGTGACCTATCCGTCTGCTCCACGGCCAGGCTTGCCAAGGGTCTCCCCTTTGATTTTTCTGAGGCGGAGGTGGCCAGCGGTAATACTGCCAACGCGGCCTTCGATCGTTTCACCGCGGAACTGAAGGCCATCGAAGAGAAGAAGGCTCGCCAGGCTACTGAAGAAGCCGCACGCAAGACTGCTGAGGCTGAGGCCGCTAGGTCCGCGGACGTCGAGGAGGAAGAAGCACCCGTTCGTGCTCCGCGACAGGACGGGAAGAGGAAGCGTAGCGAGGCGGTAGTGGAGTCCGATGATGATGATGTCGCGGACAAGGAGATTGTGGTACAGGTGCGTGCTTGTGTGTTTGTTTCCCCTGCATATTTTGCTGACTTCCTTGTTTAGAGAAAAACACCCGGCATAGCTCCCAAGCATGCGACCCGCTGCGTCAAGTGCGCTCAGACCGACCGCGACTGTTTTGGTTTCCCCGGGGTCGCTTGCAACGGGTGCAAGAAGTTGAAGGTCGGTTGTATCCATTCCAACCGCAAGAAGCGCCGTGTCCAGGCCGCCCCTACCCCTCCTGTCCCCTCCAGCTCTCGTTCCGGTACCATCCGTCGCCCGAAGTCTACCGTTTCACCTCCCATCGTACTTTCCGACTCTGATGGCGACGCCGAGTCCGTTATTTCCAAGGCACCCGCTTCTCCCAAGCGCAAGGAGGCTGAGGAAAGTGATGATGAAGAGGAGGATGAAGTCGAAGAAGAGATTTGCGGTGCGGACAAGGAGTTCCCTAGCCTCGCCAACTCTGGACTTGGGGATGAGGAGGTTGCTATCCGGGGTGAGATCCGCCGTCTCCGCGCCAAGGCATACCAAGCCAATGCGCTGATGATGGAGGTCGCTAATGGACTTGATTTGATTGAATACCGCCTTAACCGTCGCCGTACTTAGATGCCCGGTTTATATCACTTGTACTTATAGCTTGTTTGAAGGCCAAAGTAGCCTTAGTGAATGAAGTGTCCGTGTCCGTGTCCGTGTCCATGTCCATGTCCGTGTCCTGATCCCCATTGAGTGCCTGTGAGATAAGTAATAGTAAATGAGCATGCGCTTGCGATGCGGAAGAAGGTGAATGAAGACGGGTTACTTTGCGGATTCCCGTCCGTCTTGTCTTCTTCGTTGCGCTTCCCTCATCTATGCCTTCCCATGTTCCCGTGATGCGAGTCCGATAACAAAGGGGCGTGGTGCGTACGGCACGCGTGTGAAGTGAAATATAGGTATTTGGTCCGTTATACGCACTGAAAAGAAAGAGGTATTATGAGTCTTGGATATATAGGATCGATCGGGACGGATTATGATGTGGTTTCTTGTGCTGTGAGAGCGTGTCTGCTAAAATGGGTGCGGTTGAGATCGCCGGACGAAACCCGGGGTAAAACGGATACTGAATATGGTACGGAATATTGTCTGTGCATATATATATGAGTCCGATGGTGGTGCGAAGTGGTTTATTCTTCAATGTTGATATTGAATTCTTCTTCGTCCGGCTCATAACCGTCTTCTGCCGCTAGATTGTCCAATGCTTCATCCGTTATTCCGGTAATGCTTGTGACGGATATTTTTGTCGTGCTGCGAGAAAAATAGGGTATTAATCGGAATGCTGCATATCGTAACTTGGACACAGATCCGTCGATCTCTGCAAGGAGATATGAACCGCCTTTAGTCCGTCGAAGGACCACCATAGGACCGAGATATCGCGGCTTCGTCTTTCGACTTAGCTCCTTCTCAACTCTGGTGTTCCGTACCAATACCAGGGTTCCGGACGGGAAGTCGTAATCCTTGATTGAGTTCCGGTACTTTTCCTCGAATCTGCGGATTGACTGATACCTTGATTCGAGTACTTTGTCTTTGATGGCATCTAGGTCTTCTTGTCGTTTCTGTAGTTGGCGGGCGCGCCATGCGATGAGATCTGCGGTAGAGAACTTTTCCTGGTCCGGAAGCGCAACCAGGAAGGTTGCTTCAGCTAAATCAAACGGAAAAACCGGTTCGACTCCATGAACCATAAAATATGGTGACAATCCGGTTGACTCTTGGATAGTTACCCGTTCTGCCCAAAATACCGTATGCGTGACCTGGTACCAGCGGGATTCGTCCCCCTCGCAACTTTTCATGATGGCCTCCCGGACATCAAGATGCCGTCTCTCAACTATACCATTTGCTTGCGAGTTGTATGGCGAGATGCGGATAGGGTGGATACCGTATCTGTCTGCAAGTGAATCAACTGCTGCACGGAACGCGGGTCCGTTGTCCGTGACGATCTCCGTGACAGGACCCCATCTGCATAGGATGTCTTCGAATATGAAGTCGGCCAGGATCTTTGTCGTTTCTCGGCGGATCATTCTCCATTCCGGGTATCCGGTCAAAGCGCAACGTGCTTGAACTAATCGGTCGAATCCGCCCGCTTTGGGCATCATCATCGTGTCCATGTGTGCTTTCCGGAATATTCCGTATGGAATAGGAACGGACGGGGGGATATGCAGTTTGCGGGTCTGTCGGATCTGACATTCGTGACATGTTTTGTTGTACCATTTGATATCGTCAATAATCATGGGCCACCAAAATCGTAAGAGAAGACGGGTCCGGATTGTCAGTATACCTTTGTGTCCGAGATCATCATGGGCTTCTTTGAGGATTCGTAACCGTTTGCCCACCGGGACTACTAGTTGATGCTTGCCGTGGGAGTGCCGTCTCCATAGGTTTCCGTCCATAATGAAGTATCTAGCTGCGGATGTAACAAACGCTTCAAAGTCGCGGTCCGTGAGCTGTGCAGGTCTTTCCCGTGTCTCCAGGAAGCGTCTGATTTCGATGATCCGGGCGTCCGTTGCTACTGCGGATTCGGAGCGGGGTATTTCAACCTCATCTGTGGAACTGTCCGCAGAGTCTAAGAATGCTAGAAGGGTTGGGGGACGGGCATCTGTCAGTGGTACGGGTTGCTCATACGGTATGCGTTCAATAAGATTCGCAATGCCGGAAATGCGGTAGGCTCGATCGTTCAGGATTTCCATGCAAAAGGAGTACGACCGATCTAGCCAATCTTCGTGGTCATCATCCTCATCCGGATCATCTTCCGTGATTGGTCTCCTTGAGAGTCCGTCGACACCGGTATGTTTCGCAGCAGATACATGTACAAGTTTGAAGGAAAATAAGAGTATACCTGCAATCCATCGGTTGATCGTCGCATTCGGTTGGAGGTCCGGGTTGTTGATCATACCCTTGATGTACTTTGCGTCGACCTCAACCGTTAGGTTGGTGACACCAAAGATAAATACGCGGACGGCACGGAGTGCGCGGAATAATCCGTAGAGTTCCAGTTTCGCTTGAGAGTAGCGGCTTTCAACTTCCGTGAGTGATATGGATCCGAACCGGTTTGGATACCGTTTGCCGTCTTCGCCGATTTGGAGCAATATGAACCCGACTGCTACCGATGATGTATCCACTGCAAGGATGACTTCTCGCCCGCATTCGTAATCGATCTGTCGCAATGCGGGGGACTCTAATACCAAGTCCTTCAGGGTCTGCATAGCTGTTTGTTGATCCGGTCCGAATTCGAATGACGCGTCTTTCTTGGTCAGATTGATGAGTGGCCGTGCGATCTTGGAGA